TTTATATTCTTAGCTCGATAGGCCCGACAAACAAATTCGCTCGCACATACTCGTAAAACCGCATGGCTTGCCGGCCAAAAGACATTACGCCTCGATGACACTGAATATCGAAATGTAACCGAAATAAAATCTAAATTGCGCGAAAAACATGCCGCGAACGCACAGCGAAGCGGGTTGGACACACGGCGACACACCTCTAAAATTACTCATCTACCACACAACCTGAAGCAACTAATTTCCCCGCAATTCCAACGCAAATAAATCTTTACATTAAAAAAAAGCAGACTTAAAAACATGTCTTTGACGCGCGAAAGTTTTTACATAATCGCGAATTCAAATGAAAGGAAATGAATCGCAGTAAATTTCAATGTCGCATGAAAGCAGATTGCTATGAATTGATGTAAAAATAAAAAATAGTAATTAGTGAGTCACAGGTTTCATATTAAGAGATACTGAAGTTTTTAACTTTCAAAAAAACTAGTGGAAATTTTACTCCCAACAACGTTTGCCAAAATAATGGCATTATAAACTCGTGCACCGGATGTTTTTTTAAGTTAATTTTGATATGTACACAATTGTAGTCTATAAATGTCATAACTTAAATAGCTAAACACTTAAAACAAAAATGAACGTGCTATTTGTTCAAATTAAATCTTTGCCAAATTGTGATTTTTATTTATGTTTCAAACATTTTTAGCTATTATGCATAACTATTATGAATCTGAATCATAAATTATCTGATTTGGATTATTCATGCTTTATTTTTGAAATTTCTATTGTGAATGAGAATACTTTTCTATGTCTTCTTGCTGTGTTATATTTTCCTACATCTATGACGCAATAATTGTAGTTTTCTGTTTTGTTGTGGAAATTATAATAGGTGACGTGATTAGTAATAACACTCCTGTTTAGTTTACATGTTTACTTGTACTGCGCAATGAGAAAAACGAGCGTGCACTTGAAATGTGAAATGTTTGCGCTTGACGTCAAACTTGCGGGCGTCGCGACGCCAGCAGGCACGCTGAACTTTTTGGCCACAACTACATGACGTCAAACTTTGCGCGCCGAGTGGCGAATGTAAAAAAAAGCGGCTAACAAAAACGCACTAAATTTAAAATGCGCTTTAAAGCGAAAATAAATACAATCACACATGTGTTGCGTTGTTGCTTTTAAGACATTCCTGATTTTATGTGTTTTAAAACAATGTTCAATTATTTTGTTAAGAGTAATACGCACAAAATCACTTTAGTCGCGTTTTATTTGGAAATTATATCATTATCATGAAAAATTATGGGTTTTTCAAGGTTGTGAGACACAAAAAGTGGTACTTTAAACATGTATGGCTAAAGTTGTGACTAAAGTACTTTAGCCACGGACTTTAGTCACAGAAATTTAAATACAAAAAACTCAACGTAGAAAACGAGTGAAAATAGAAAAAAAGCGTGAATATCACGTGACTAAACGTTATTTACTACTGAAAATGTCCTGCAATTGACAAAAGGATATCAATTTGCTTTCCTGCCTTGTGTATCTAAATAAATATTGTAATTTAATTGCTAATGTGTTATGCTTGTAGTCTGTAGTATCCTGATATGTTTTTGTCGTGTTTTCCATATATTTTCTTCATGTTAATGTTGATATAAATCCATTATACGCCATTAGCGCAAAAGAACAGTTTTTTTTTTGTTTTCGTGCGTGTTTAACATGTTTGCTATTAATTGAGAGCATTGGCTTTAGAAATATGTATTTTTAACTAGTTGAAATTAAACGATTTCTCTCTTTTCAGGGGATACTTTTACTAATTCGTTGATGGATTATTTTTCTTTGCCAAATTTCGTTGCATAGGTGTTTAATTATAACTTTCTCGATTAATTTTGGTATTAACGAGTAAAAAACAAGATGATTGAAAAAAGGCACAGAACTTGTGTGTTTATATTTACAGGCTTTTGACATGAGTGCTGGCGATGAAAAACGTATTGTAAAATTAGTATTTGTTTTGGCATTTGACATAAAAAAACAACGAGATTTATGATAATAGGAGTTCATTTTTGCTCACCTGTGATATTGTAGGTTTTATTGAATTAACTAATCTATTTTAGGAGAGGTAAATGTGCTTTTAATCATTATTTATGAAAATCCTATTTCTGGTTTTTAAAACTTTAACTATTGCGTAGATTGCGCAAGTATAAACTCCATCCTGTGACTAAAACCCGTGACTAAAATACTTTATTCACGACTTTGACCATCCGTGATTAAATAACCACTTTTTGTGTCTAAAAACCGTGGAAAACGTTAAATGTGTTGTAAAATATTTCCAACACTTGTTACAACTTATAAATCTATAAATTACCAGTCATATTTAATAAGCGCCCTGGGTTTTATTTCGGCGATGTGTTTTGGCTAAGCAAACACATTAAATCGTAAAATTAAACGCGCAAGAACTTGAAACTTCAATTAGAATTAGTGAAACATTTACGCAACGCAATGTATTTACATATTTTCAACTTTTCTCACATCTGTGCTCAAATTGCGCACGTTATACAAATTCTTCAAAAATTAACATTTCTACTAAATCTCCTCACCACTATTTGTTATTGAGTTTAGAATGAATTTAAATACGTTTTCCTCTTGTACTAATTTGAATTCAAAAAATTCAGTCGTAGATCAACAGTTGACGAAACCAATAAGTAAATCTAATCAAATTAGATCGAGGCGTGTGTTTGCTTATCGTGGCAATTCGATAATTCGCCATATTTTGCTCTGTTTATTCTTTGTCATACGGTGCAAATAAACCGATAGACTTGATTTGCAAGTGTCGGTAGTTTTTGTAGTACGTGCGACGCAAAATTAAAATTAGCAACACTTGCGGTATTTTTAGCGCCAAGCAGAGCGTCGCCTAAACTTAGTTAGCATTATAGTCTAATGGTCTGAAGCAGCGTACTTGTGATTGAAATAGTTTCCAAATATTTGCATGCGTTCATGTGGTTGTTTTGATGAATAGTCGCAGTTGGCGATTTTCGCGTTTCAAAAAGTTGATGATTATCGTATTGACGTTGGTCTACTGACAAGATGAAAACAACGCAACGCCCAACAACATAGAAAACGTGTTAGAATATGTGCTAATGCCACTGCTTGATTTCCATCAATCATAAAAAATGACAATTATTCTAAAACTCTTAAAAATGCAAAAAATAGATTAACATATTTTCTACAGGTTTTAATTCTGTTGTGATGTGACATTAAAGTAAAAATTTCATGATTTATAAGTTTGTTTGTAGTTTAAGAGCAAATGTATGCTTTTTTCTTGTTTGACTTGTGACTAAAGTATTTTACTCACGGTTTAAAGTACTTTAGTCATGGTCTTAGCTGTTCGTGTTTAAAATACCACTTTTTATGTCTCAAAATCGTGAAAAACTAGTACTTCAAAGGTAAAAGTAGAAAAAATTGATTTAATTACAATAATTACTCACGTGCAAGCACGCACAGTTTGCCACAATCACGAAACCACCCCAAAACGTCATATGGTTAACAACCAACAATCAAAACCAACATATATATTGTGTTGTTACATCTAAAGGTGTAGACCTAGTCTACGCACGCATGCTTTGTGCCCTTTAAAGGCCCTTACACTCGTTTTCTCCCGATACTATTGACACGATACGACACGACACTAACCTTTGAACTTTTCCGTTTTGTTAAAGTTTCAAGCCTATTTTTGTATATGGCTTTATTTTTATCTGTTTCGCCTGATTAGTCTATCGATACACGTTAATATTCAGCTCTTTTTTTGTTGATTAGCATTACGAAACAATGACCAGCCAACAAAATTTATAAGTTAGGTATTACCTATGCAGTATTACTCATACTTATTTTTACATAGCTACAGTTGGAAAGGTTGCATGTGATTAGACGATGAATTGATTAGAGAAGCAGTTGGTTACTCACGCAATAAATACATACATGTATTAAGCTAGCAATCAAGAAAATAATTCTCCTTAAAATATAGAAATCCATAAATCTGGATCACAACATTATTCATTTATGCAAAACCTCAAAAAGTGTTTTTAAATTTCAATGTTCTAATAAATATATTAAGTATCCAATGGAAAAAGAGGAGTGTTTGTCACGTCTAGAGTATTTTAGTCACGGTTTGCCCATCCGTGTGTAAAATACCACTTTATGTGACTCAAAACGGCGAATAACTGGCGTTTTAACGCAGGAAGTAGAAAAAAATAACTTTTTCTTAGGATACACAAATATTAAGTGTCTATTTTCCAATTACCTAAAATCTAACTGGTCCGACACGGTTCCTAATCCCCTAAACACTCGCAATTCCTATTCTAACTATTTCTACTCGCTATTTCCTATTATCTGCCCGTCTACTGCCTATATTTAGCAAGTAAAATTTTAATCACAGTATTGACTTTGTTCACGGCGCTGTACGTGAACACGAAGTAAACACATTACTTTCATTTCATTAATTTCCAATCCTAAGTAGGTACATTTACTTCAATAGTTAATACGAGAATGCGAGTTCTTGCTCGCCGACGTGCGCTCTTACGTCGATAAGAACCTTGAACCACCCGTCGAACTACATAATATCAATATCAAGTGCAAGTAAAAGTGCTACCTAGAAGTAGTCCAAGTACAGGTGAAACTTCATCCAACTTGATTTTGTTTTATTACTTCAGAAGTTGTAAAGGTGTCTTCGTAATATTCAATTTGTTATACAACAAATTAAATTTCGTGTGTGGCGTCCTAGTTTTCTACAGATTACATCAACTCAGCTTATATTTTCGCTTATCTGGGTTTAGTATTTGTAGAATTGTAGTAGAATTTCACTGGTTGAGTGTGTTATGTGTATTTGGTGACATGGTGTAGATGATTCTGCTGAAAATATACACAAATTGACGAATATTAATGTTGAAAATTAAACATTTTTCTTCTTTGTGTTTTTCTGGAAAAGCAGAAAGTTTTCTATGCAAAATCTGTAAATAATAAACATTTTAAAGAATCTATTAATCAATATTTTGCATTCCTAGAATATTTAAATTATACATCTATTTGGATTTCCCCAGAAATAATAATAAACACATCCAATTTCCAAGAATTACAATTCGCTAATGTCCTTACTTCGATACCTGTTATAATTTCTAGATTTTGTCCAATAACAATTCCTGGAAATTTAAAAACCGCTGGAAAATAATAAATGCCACAAACACAATACAACAGAATATATACTTACTCATTTGCTTACAAATTGGTTACGCAACAAGCAATTATGCAATTATTTCCAGTCGAACCGAGGCAGACAGCTTGTCGCTAACACAGCATCCAATCTCGTTGCGCTGGAACGTGGGAGGCACAGTTAGGCATCATTTTTTCTGAATACAAAAAACATATTTATTATATAAAAATGCTTGAAGACACGATTTACGAGTAATTACGGTTATTACTTTTGATAGTTTAGTCGCATGGCAGCGATGAAATTAATTTCTATTTTCTGTAATTGCACATTCAATGTTTCGATGTTGTTACCAAGGAGTTAGTGTAATGCTAGAACATTATTAAAGCAAGTAATAAAACTGTAATAATGAATGTCCTTCATAAAACACTTCAAATGAGTAAGTAAATTCAATGTCTTGATGTTCACTTGTGCTTTTCAATGTTTAATCGTTTAGTAGTAATAGCCTATTCAATGCCACTTTAGGAAATTAATAATTACTATCATTATTAATTAATAAAACTAGCGTAATAACTTACCAAACACTAAATAAACTAAATTTACAAAAAAGTAAGGTTAGGTAAATTTACATTGTTGAATTTCGCTCCATCACTTACTGCGCATGCGCAACACATGATTCACTTGCTATTTATATCAAATCTATTTAATATCTCACATGAAACTGAATATGTTTACATACCTTGATTGATAACCTAACAACATCTGTTACTATGCACTTAAATGCAATGCTCCAGCCGATATAATTGCTTAGAATGCAGCGTGAACCCACTCGAGATGCAAAACAAGCAAAATAACGCGACAAACGACTTTCACGTGTCGTATAAATCTTTAAAATGTTTATTTAATCGTTGCACACTCATGCATCGTTTGAAAACAAAGCAAACGTGCATTGTGGGTTGCCTATCATCAACACATTTCAGCACGTGTCCGAAACAAAATTTGCATCAATGTGAAACGCAGTTTCACTGCAAAACACGTAATCGACAGTGTCAACAACGTCGCGAAGTCCTATGACGGCGGTGGACAATGGGTGTAATCAAATAAAAAAGCTAATAATCCGCATTCGTATGACAAGATTATGTTGCTATCGATCGCACGACAAACAAAATGAATGTCGCGTTGCGACGGGAAACAATATAAATGCAATCGTAAAATAAAAAACAATGGACTTACTAAATCTGACCGAGTGACAATCGGCACATAGAAACACTTGAATTGAATTGATGTTGGCTAAATTTTACCAAAACAGATGTTTCAATGAGTAACCAATAATAAAGTCACGTGATTGAATCAGCTGTTTGTTTGCTCGCTCCCCCATCCGCAAACAATCGAAATTCTCATGCAGAGTTGATGCCGACACGCTCTACATGCGTCGGTCTTTATTGCGGTCACTGGAAAGTGGATTTTCCTGCTTTGTTTACTAATCCCAAACAAGTTTCAATAAATTCATGTTTCGCACGCGTGTGACAAAGAAAACGCGTTGCCTTTATGTCTAGCAATTTCAGCTAGACCAATCACACCATCGCACCGGCAACGAAATTCTACGAACGTAGCCGATCTTGTGTAGTAATGAATGTACATGTAGACGATGTAGATGTGTGTGAGTGTTTCCATTTTTAGCCAGCTCACTGCATCCGCGTTCGGCCGAGCGCGACCGAACACGGGGCAATCGCTCGGTGGCTCGATTCGTTCGGTTCCGTAGCTCGTTTAGTTTCGTACGAATCGTTGCTCTGTGCGCACGTATTTCGCAATTTGCAATCGCGTATTCAATATCGCAATCACAAACACAAACCACGCATTCGACAAATACAAAACAAACGAAATACAATACAAACACTTTTGCTTGTTTGCGCACTTACCTACACGCAATTCATCGTAAAAAAACAGTAAAAAGCAAAATTATTCGCTATATCTTTTGAAGTTGTAGCAAAAAGAGCTGGGGTTTGACACAGACAGGTAGAATCCGACTTTCACCTGGACGCCGACCGCGCTCGGCCACACTTCAAGTTGTATAATTGTATAATTGCGAATGGTGCTACGGCCGTGCCACGAAATGTCTCCGACGATGGCACATGTGGCGCGCTGTTAACACCCAACCACAGCTCGGGATCATAAATCAAATTCACACCCTGTGCGCCTGTGCGAATCAAATTTTCAAATTGTGATGTGACTCAATCGGCAGTGTTTTCGTCAAAAAAATCATCGCCCTCGCTGCTAATACGGCCCTGCGTGCTGGTTTCCTGAGGTCTTCCCACGAACGTGAAGCAAAACGGCCGCATGGTGATACTATTACACAGTTGTTTCGGTTTCAAGTGCGTTAAAGTGCGAATTCGCGAGTTATTCTTGAGTATATTTCGTTTTCGATTGCGGTTGCGTTGAGGTTGAGATTGCGCTGAGTTTGTGTGTGTCGTGCGGGCAGGCTACCTCCAAATCGATACACCCAGGCGCAGTCAGCAGGCTGCCGGCGCAGTGTTGCCAACTCTACTTGAAAACCCACCAACAGTGCAGAAAATTGAAAAAGAAAACAAAGCAGGAAATTTTGTTTTTGATGTAATACCAACATAAAAAACATTATTGTGATTCAGTTTTAATTCCAAAGTGACTACGCATCAGGAGAAACATTTTCAAAGGTAAGTTTTAGTGAAAACTGTTTGTTTTTTTTCTTTTGCCTTGAATTACGTGTTATTACGAGTCATTGATCGACGTTTATTGACATTGAAACCAAAAACAAAAAATATTTCAGTGACGTAGTGTTAAATATAATGACGTATTGATTACCAAATCAGCACAAAGTTTAACTTTAATTACTCGTGCGTTGCGGTCGTAATTTCAACAAATCGGTCGACTACGCGGATATTATTCATTAATATAAATATTTGAGGATGAATGTGTTTGAGATTGATTTATCACTGGTCAAATACTGTGTGTAACCTAAGTTTAATGTCATTCGATGTCTGGCGATTAATGCAAGAGTAATTATTTAGTTAATTGCGTAATTACTCAATTTTAGACCAGTTTTTACTGCTTGTCGCCGATTCAGCAGCAAAACACAATGTAAATTTGAATTCAGGTGATACGCACTTGCTATCATCATGAATCACACCACTTTTTTGATGACGATTCGCTATTTGTTTAAACAACACGATGTTTATAATCGCGACAATTAATTTTTTGATATATTTTTGTTTGTTTTGTGTCTAAATATTTATTTTTTTGGATAAATTTGTAGGTTCATCTTTAAATTATGTAAATTTTGTGTAAAAATGGTAAGAAATTAATTATTATTGGTTTTATTTTATACTAGCTTTAACCCATGGCTTCGCTCGCGAATATCTAAAATAATGAAGTTGCTTCCGTACGCGTCTGTAGTCACAGAAGAAGTAACAATGAAGTAGAATGGCGGGAAGTTTAAAATGGCTGAAAGTATAGTCTATGGAAGTATGGTGTACAGTCTCCATAGTGTAGTCAATTGGATTTGATGTTCACGTAGCTGTCGGTAATACAGTGTGATGGTACTATAGTACTTAGGTTTGAGCTTCATTGCTGGAATGCTAGATGGCGTTAAAGTAGTCAAATAGCCAGATGCAGAGGTATTATTGGCTAAACTATTTCTTTATTTTATTTAAAAATTATTTTTTTATTAAATAAAAAGTAGCCTATAACCATTCGGGGACCACTAAGAATATGTGTACAAATTTTCATGATGATCGGTTAAGTAGTTTTTGCGTCAAAGTGTAACAAACATCAGGACTTTCGCATTTATAATATTATAGTAGGGGTTTTTGAAGTAATTTCCTGTTTTATTTGGAAAATACGCAGGGATTTTGCTAAAACCAACGAAAATGATTTATTTCTTTAATTATTCAGTTATGACGTTAAGAAAACAGACAAAAAGAGTTAAAAATCTTTGTTTTAATCTAAGAATACAACCACAGCTTGTATTTTCCCATACTTTTTATTTTTCTTAGAAAATAAACAAAGAAAAGGGTTTTCCCAAAATTCTCCCGGGATTCTCAAACTGAAACAAAAGACAATTTACTCCCAGCATCTCAATGCCATGGAAAATCCTCTAATATATAAAATAGGATCATCCTTTTTCTACACAAACCCAAAAATCATTTTTGGGCTCCGAAAAGAGAAAATCCACGTTGTAAGTTCCGGTATTCGTGTATTTTCAACAAAGCAGTGTTAAATATGTAGTAATGATTCATCAGACTGGGAATTTTCCACTGAATGAAAATTTTATTTTACGTTTACAGGCGAAACAAGAGTGTTTGACCTCAAAATTACGCACAGCCTGCGCCCTGGTGTAAGTGTGTCGACCGTGACACTCTTTAAATTTGAATAATGAATATACCGGCGTTGGGATTGGAATTGTTTGGCGCGATTTTTTTTCCTTCCACTGCTGATTTATTTTTAGTCATTTCAGGCTAAAAATAAATCCAACTTGATCACCATGGAAATATTTACTTTAAATTTTTATAGGGAAAAATTTATTTTGAAAAATAGATCAAGACGCAATTTTTGTCGTAAACACGATGATGCAAATTTAGTGTTATGTGTTATGTGTTGCGCACATGCGGATATGTTGTTGATGGCGATGTTAATATACGAATCGATAATAATAGCACGTTTTCCACGCACCACAATGGCGCGCATTGTGTTATCGCCCTCGTCAGCCTCTGTCATTGACGCCTCATTGTTGAATTGTTGATAATGACGTGCTCGTCACACAGCGACTTACAACCTTTCATGGAATCAACGCTTAACTCTAACAAAATTGACGCTAATTATTTTTATTAAGTATAGTCGTGTTAAACCACAAATAACCGGATTGAAATTTGTGTTTTGTTTGAGTTTAAATGACGCCACTTAGGCGTAAAATGTATGAAATGGTGTTAAACGCATTAATCATAATATGTGTTAATCATAATCAATAGCGGCTGTAATTATTGATGAGAAGTGTGTCGGCGTGTCGACATCTCGAGAACAAATGCCAGTTATTGTTGAATATTGTTTCAAACTCGTGGATTTTCGCATTTCGGAGAAAAAAATGTATTTTAATCTGCCGTAAACAAGATGTAGTAAGTTCATTTATAAATTTGTTGCCTCACAAAGAGAATCGGAGACAACAAAGAAATGCGATATTTTTAGATTTTCAGCCGGAGCAGATGTTTTTCCACGCGAGTTTTGCGAGTAGTTTAGTTATTTCATTTGTCTTGCACAATTTTCAGCTAAATTCACTGCTATGACTCATCTATATATATAAAAAATGAATTGCTGTTCGTTAGTCTCGCTAAAACTCGAGAACGGCTGAACGGGTTTATCTTATCTTGGTCTTGAATTATTCGTGGAGGTCTAGGGAAGGTTTAAAAGGTGAGAAAAATTCGAATAATTGCCGGGAAAATCCTCAAAACAGCTCTTTTCTATAGAATAAAATTTGACATTGAGATTCAATCATAGTTATAGTTAAATGGTTGAATTCGAGATGGCGCGCTGAAGTGCATTATTGCCAAAACTTTATATAATTAATTTCTTTAAATTAAAATTGCTAATCTTATTGATAGAATTGACTCTTACTACGAGTATGTCTAGAACAAGAGAGTAAAAACGAATTACATTTTTATTAAACACTGCCGGAAGGAAGTCGCGGGCAACAGCTAGTCTAAAATAATGAAGTTGCTTCCGCACGCGTCTGTAGTCACAGAAGAAGTAACAATGAAGTAGAATGGTGGGAAGTTTAAAATGGCTGAAAGTATAGTCTATGGAAGTATAGTGTACAGTCTCCATAGTGTAGTCAATTGGATTTGATGTTGACGTAGCTGTCGGTAATACAGTGTGATAATACAGTGTGATGGTACTATAGTACTTAGGTTTGAGCTTCATTGCTGGAATGCTAGATGGCGTTAAAGTAGTCAAATAGCCAGATGCAGAGATATTATTGGCTAAACTATTTCTTTATTTTATTTTAAAAATATTTTTTGTTATTAAATAAAAAGTAGCCTATAACCATTTGGGGACCACTAAGAATATGTGTACAAATTTTCATGATGATCGGTTAAGTAGTTTTTGCATGAAAGTGTAACAAACATCAGGACTTTCGCGTTTATAATATTAGTAGGTATAGAGATTTTTTCATTGATTTTGTGTTTAGTTGTATTTTTAGTACTTTCCTGCTGCTGCGTACCTTCCAGTACTTTGTGGTGTTCGAGTTTATTGACTTTTCGCGCTTAGTGTGTACGTGTGAGGCACGTATCGCTGAGTATAGTTTATGTCTGCCTGCTGGGTCGATCGGGCGATGAGTGGAACGAAAGAATTTCAGGAGAATCCAGCGCGCGTGCAAATGGCAACAAAATAACGCGAAAGACAAAACATGGTGAGCTGAGAAGTGCGTTCGGGTTATGTACACGCGAGTGGAACTTTCCGCGCGCAATTCTGAGGCGGAAATTTACAATTTGCATAAAAATTTATTGTTGAGTATTGTTTATTTGTGTAAAATTTATCTAGGTGCATTATATTTGCATTATATTATAGTAGCACGTGTTGTCAGGTAGGTTGGTGAATAATAATTGTTAACGTTATCGGTTTTCGCTCATAAAGTTTGTCCTAAATTAAATTTTAGCTGTTTTTATAAACTTATATTACACAATATGATGATTCACACTAAAATTGGGTAATTTGAGGAAATTAATTTGATTGATTTAACGAATTACGTTGTTATTTCAAGTTAATTGATTTTGAACTATTAAAATTAACTAAAATCCACATTAAGTGAAATTAAATTTGTTATTTCTACAGAATGTATATTTTTGTAATTCAAAAGATGACGATGATGTCAAATTTGAGATTTTTCAGGCTAGGTTTACGTTGATTTTGTTCTTATTTTTTTTTTGCTGGAGTTTGTTACACTGTAACAATTTGCACTTTGTTAAAATGACTTTGTGCTCCCGACGCATGAACTAATACATACCGTAAAAGCGCTTGTGTCTATATGCGATTCGTTGTTTTCGCAGCCAACGAACAAACAGCGCAATAAAGAATGCAAACAAGTTAGATAAACAATAAATTACAATAAACAAACATCCAAAAATCGGCGCGCACAAAATCGTGAATATTTTGTGTTACATAGTAACTGCTTCTTCGATTTCACATCCTACAAGGCAACCTATAATATACAAAGTGATTAAAAATATTTGTTATTGTAAATTATGTAAAATTTAATTCGAACACTTTTCTTTTCTAAATTTTTGTGATTTATTTTGGTACAAATACGTGTAATATCATGAAATCTAACATTTGACTCCTTTCCGGCACTTTTATGATTTGTTATGCACGTGTCGCGGATAAAAATTTAGAAAACCTAAATCTGACTTGAAGATCATAACAAGGATGTTGGTATGTAGGTGGTATTTAATATTTTATTACCTTTTTGTAAACGTGCCATTTTTGGTGCTCATGTTTATTTATTTTTGACATTGTTTAATATGCTTAAACATTTAGTTTAGTTTTGCACACGATGATGATAAGCGTGCACACATTCCAACCACGTCATAGATGTAAGATGTAGGAGTGAGCGAATGATCCCGAACTGCATCAAACCGCATTTTCTCCAGCGGTGCTATCACGTCAGGCCTTTAAAAAGTGACCTTTTTCTCTGCTGCAGCAAGCAGATTTCGTCACAGACACACACAAAGCATAATAACACTTTTTTTAAGCTACAGTTATAATATTTACATGATACGAATAATATAAATATTTAGTCTGCGTAAATATTTGCGGAGTGATTTTGGCACTAACGCATGCTAATGAACTAATTAAAACATGCGTCGTGGGCGTATGATCTAAAATCTAAATAAATAAATGTATAATAAATTAATGCGTTTAGTCTAAGGGCATTCCCGATGACATTATCAAAGATGCAATAATAGTTAAAGTTTCGTCATATTTTAAAAATATCTCGAAAGGCAAAAAACTATTGATGGAGGAGCTGCGAATTTGGATATAAATTTTGCGTGTTTAATTATGCCAGAAAGCGTGTGGTAAATATTTAATCAATCCACTTTGATATTTTTGTATTTATGTAAATAACTAAAGATACATAGAAATTTTATTGAATATATTTCACATTCCCGACTTGCAACATAACATCGTGATAAACTGAGTAGAGATTTATTTGCGAAAACATCTCACGTGCCACTGCCGCACGCGCCTCTTTTTGAGATTGTGTTATAAAATGTGCTTGTCAGTGTTTAATAATCACGCGGAAAATAATTAAAATGCACAGACCAGTTGACGACATGATGAATTTAAATTAAAATTGAGAATCTGTGCATAAACCTCAAAGTTCCATGAAATTTTTATGAAATTTTCACTTTTTTGTTATATTAGCTTGACTCAAATTGTATTTTGGAACAAATTTTGTCCAAAACAATGGTTGTTTTGTTTCATTTGAAGTGTCACTCGTCAAATCTCATACCTATCCATTGTTTATAGATATAAATAATACTTGAAACCTGAATTTTGGCACGCGTGTCTTAACTTCCTCTCATATTAATACTTAAACTTAATTCGTCAGAGTAAACAATTGATGTCATTTAATTGCTAAATTAAAAGATTTAAAAATAACGATAACGATAATTTAACTGAGTACCTGTTTCTATGATAGCAGTATTTAAGTAATTTTCGCGTGACTTCCCGACTCATCGAAAGTTATATTCAACTATTTATATCATGCCTTACTAATCGGAAATAAATCATTTTAATGAACTATAAACTACACAATTTAAAGTGTGTCAGGCATCGTTCGGTTTTTGATTTTTGCGTACACTAGTTATAGTTAGTATCGCCATTAAAAATATTTCATAATAATTCGTCTAATTTAAACGTTTTCGTTTTTTAGAGCGTTGTGATTGCGTAAGGCTAGTCGGCGGACGATGCGCACTGCCAAATTGTAGCTAACAACAATTTCGTCGACAACCAGATTTCGCCACAATGCAAAAATTTTCCTCAGATTTTATCCTTTTATCGCACTTCCCACATTCAAAGACTTTCTTTAAAATTATTAATTTCAAGCCAATTCAATCCAATTTCTATTTTGATGCAATTATTTTAATAATTACATCAAATTTTCTTTTGTAATAACTGGAATATCAGCATTCAAATAGTCTGACCTTGTCGGGTGACAAGTTGCACAACACAAAGGCGATCGTGTTGTATAAGCGGTTTCCAGCGAAGCGATTAATTAATTATCATTACTTGCATTCAACATAAAAAACTTAACCAAAACCAAGCATCACAAACATAAGTCGAATATTTAAAACAATGAACAAATTAAAATTTAAAATACACGGGTAATTGTTGAATTTAAGACTTAGACTATGAATAATTCTTTTTTTTCTATAGTACAAATTGAAAATCAATTTTCGGTTGACGTCATCCGCTTTGCTTTTACACCTAAATATGGCGATTGTCATTTACGTGTTTTTATGTGTTTTGTGCTAGCGCCGCTAATAATAGCCGGTGAGCATTGAAATTCTTTCATTGACGAAAACAGCCAGCAATAAAACCAAAGCGCGCGCGATATAATATTCAACTGAGAACAGCGAACAAGCAAACAATTTAAGCGGTTATTCATCATGATCCGTGCTAAATATTCTATCATAAAATAAATTTCACTCATACGCAACCATGGTGTTTCAATAACAACCAGATGAAAATGACTATTTTTACGCGAATGTAATACGAAAATACGCACACAATGTGACCGAGAGAAAATCTTTTTATTTTTTATTTCTTTACCGAATTTCATCGTGGCAGAAATAAATTGGGTCCATTTTATCATGAAATGTGCTGGAATGTAAGGGCAGCGTTGATTGCGCATCCAAATTGTGCTTTTATTCCGTTTTTACTGGCTGTGTAATGCGATTAATGTTGCGCCAACGAGGTAGAAATTATGTGCGTCAGTGCGCAAATTGCATTCGAATGATTTATCGGCCATGACGTACCTAAATGCATCCATGACTGCTAGTTATTAACCAAATTAAGCTCAAAATACGACTAATTTTATTATGGTAAATTTAGTACCCCATTTTACATCGAAAAATATTAATTATAGCGATAGTACAATGTGTTTGAGTTTCGAGAAATGAATAATCGAAGTGCATGAAATAAATGGCATCGGTCCCACCTCTCAGGTGTAAATAATCGTCAACGCCACGTGTAATTCATAACTCTCAACAGTTTCAACAGTTTCGATGATTCAAAGCCTGTGAACATCTAAATAACGCAAGGGATATGAGTTCAAAAGGGAAATAATATGATAAATACGTTTTTTACTGTTGATTAATTTTAGTCATGCATCTATGCCAATGATATAAATTATATTGATCTAAAAATGACTTTACAAAGGTGAAAAATTAAAACAAACCGTTTAGTTTCGTGATAATTCAAATTGGACTCTTTTATCACTATCAAGTTGAAGTAGATAGGAGAAATGTTCGCTGGGTATTTTTAGTCTAAGCGCTTCACACGCGATTGTTATAAAGCTTGAATGCCAGCACAGCACGTTCCGCGTTTTAATCAAATTATCGATTGAACTTCCGCGGACCCTCTGAGTCGCCCTTTTCCGAGAAGTCAGCACGCTGCTAATTTGCATGCGATGAATGAGACACGAATGCGACTGGCTTTGTTGATGATGAGGACGAGGTGATTCACGATGCGCCAGTCGTGGCGAATGTCGGTCAACTGCAGATTGTGTAATGATCGTGCCGCGCAACGCCGTTTCCGCAACGCTGACCTCATCCTAAATATCAAAGCAAACAAGCAGGAAAAATTAACAAATAAACCAAGTGGAATAAATATTTTGATTTTATCAAGACCTGGCTGTGTCCTTCATGGAGGAAGGAAATACAGGAAACTTGCTTGTTCCTACGACGTCATAGATTTAATGTTGTAATGTTGGGTGAGGGTTGGATGCCTCAACTCGTCCTGTTTTCCCACTCGGGGTCGAGGACAATGTACGAGGAAAAACGCAGCGCAGATGGCCTTGTCGTGGCGCGCCGATCTGACGCCCAGTGTTTCCCTGCCCCAGTGCTCCAGACTACTCCCAGGTTCAGGACTATTCAGGACACAGCAAACTATGTGATGCCCTTGATTCTACGCAGTTACAACCGGAACCAAGCACTTGACATGCGAATTATCCCAAAAAGAAAATATAATTCAATAATTTTTACTTTTATCTAAAATAGTTGATAATAACTGTTGATACTGTTGTTTTGTCTACTAAAACCAGTTAGGATTAATAACCAAACCGGCTTTTCGTATAAATTATTTTGCGATAGGATAATTGTTATCAGTCTGAAGATTAGCAGAGGTTATGATTGCTAATTATTTAAGTGCAAATTGATTATTAACGAAAGTTAAAGAGTAAATTCAATTTTATTAGCTTGGAGACATTTTGGAAATTGAAATGAGGTCGTTTGAAAGTTTCAAAACGCTGCGCCACGAAATTTATCACGGATAACTTTACTTATTTACTGCTTTTCAGTTTTACTACGCGCTGCTCATAATTTATAATTTCAGTTCAAAAATCTGAAACGTAGAAACTGAAAAATTTCAACACTCACTGAGAAATGCGTACTCGTACATTCAACATGAGTTAACGCATCGGAAATTCGAATTAGAATTTAAACTCTGGCGCCAATGCGTTACGATCTTGACTGCAACGCGTACGGATATTTCCAAAATGTCAGGCGTAACAGTTAAAACCGAAAATATATTTCAATGGAAATAATATTAGATTCGAGCGGAAGTCGAAATGAAGGACCAGACTTGTTTTAATCGGTCAACATCTTACAACAGAACGCAGCGCAGCCTCAATGTTTTGTGTTTTAAGCTTCCGCGTCACGTCTTGAGGTTTTTCCTAGATGAATAAACACAGTAACAAATTACTTCCTAATTGTCTGTGAGTTTAGTTTGGAAGTTTATAGCGCTCGTTAAACGATTACGAAACTCACAAAATATTTTAAGATAATCAATCAATCACACAATGACTAAAATTATATTTAGCGTCAAAAAGTCAAAAATTTCAGTTGTGGTTATCAACACATCCACACAATGTCAAAATTGATAAATTTGTCAGTCGATCACACTCTTAATATTCCACTGTTTTTACACCTCCCAAGTATTATTGCCGACGCAGAAATAAATGAAATAAGATTTTTTCTGTTTTTTGCAGGTTAAGTTTAATATTAAACGAAGCGCGCAGGTTTTATGCGCTTTCCGCTCATTCTTTCGGAGATTTTACACGGATCCAAGCAAAGGGGGATGGTGTACCTGTTGGCGGATTGGGGTATGGGAGAATCTGAATTGCGCACCAGCATTAGCCGTCTGAACGCGACGACAGCGACGGTGACGACGACGCTGAGCGCCGCGCACAACAACCACCTCCACCATCATCAGCAATTGCTGTCAGCGGCGGGCACCACCAGCTCCACCACCACCACAACCACCACTGGACATCATGATGATCTCAACGAGGTGGATCTACATCCGCTCAGCAATCAGGTTAGTTTATTTAAAATTTGATTATGCAAGGAAATTGTTGAGTATTTGCCAAGGGAAACTTTTGAACAGTTGATGGTCATTCATCATATTCTTTTGATGGTAGTTTTGATGGTAGTCGTGTACCAGTTCAATGATTTCGCCATTTTTAAAGAATTTTTGTTTCGTTTACATTGGCGACGATTGTTTGCGCCATCATCGCGCGTTTTTGTAGCGATGACCGCGTAACAGGTGCGTCCGAGTGGAAACTGCCGTTATTCTTGATCACCTACCAACAAAGTGTTCAGAGAACAAAGTAACTGCTTATCCACGTGGACAGTGCCACGTGCGCGTCGTTAAGAGAAAGTGTACTTTCATCCTAACATACACCGAATTATTTTTAGGCACAAATAGTATTTAATAAATTTGAATATAATTTTAGGTCGGTGGTCACACACGCCTTATGGTTCTGAACCCGAATACCATCTGCAAGCCTCTGAACTATCGCGAGTTGGAGTTCTATCAGAACATTCAGGATCAGGACATCAAAATGTTTGTACCGAAATACAAAGGTAAGCAGAGCATCGACTTTTCGCCTCTTTTTTTTTATTAAATCTCTAATAATTAGCTGAAATCTTGCATTTGTCTCGACTGTGATGTTTCATATGTTTTTTATTCAAAGTTCTTTTTAAATTAAAACCAAATAGTTGTGATATGTTACGATGTGCCTTTTAATCGTGTTTTTTATGCTGAATTGTTTGTGGACAATAAAGATCTCTGACGATTATCGTTTTTTCTAAATGTTTAATAAAACGTTTTGCACACATTTAAACACACACACACACACACACGCAAGCAAATATTGTGATTGAGTTTTGAAAAATATAAACAATTGATCTGATTGTTGATTGATGTACTGATGAATACCTTCGTGAGGAACAAACACTCATTCATTCTGATCATTATCGATCGATATATCATTGATCACTTTCATTTTTTTGAATTTTGTTTTTGAAAATATACATTTCCAGAGGTAAGTATGTTTTCAAAGTTTTCTCTCTTTTTCTATCTTAGCTCAATGAAACTATCAATGAAATTGTTCTGAATAATTGCGGATATAGTAAAGGCCGAGAGCGAGCTGTGTTTGTAAGTGTGATTTGCAAGAGAAGAGTTCTGTCTTCTTCTGTTCAGTTTTGGCGGCCGGCGGTCGCGCGCTATGTGCCCCTCCCATGCTCCGCCTCTCGCTGCCAACCACACGCCCGAAACCGCCCCCGGGAGGCTGCGCCGCACACGCACACGCCCCGCCGCTCATCGCCACGCTTTCGAGATGGGTTTGTATAAACAAACAATACAATTTCCAAAAAAACACCAACAACAACAATCGACGAAGCGAGAAAACGAAACGATGCGAGAGACGACGACGAAAACAACCCGGGTGTAGTTTAAAAGTACAGAAATTATTTTGTTTTGTTTTTTGTTTTCGACATGCATTTTTCGTCTCATCATAATTTCATGAATCACGAAAACTGAATGCAACGCGCACACTTTAATTTTATTCGTAACTCAATTAAATATCAATAAGTTTTAATTTATATAATTTTTGTGTGTTTTACACATGTTTCTAATCGCAATGAAATTGTTTCAGGGGTAATGCAGGCGACGTTGTGTAGCGGCAAGATGGAGAAACGATACTCGCCCAGTTTCCGCGATGACAACGCCGTGGTTGCTGCACAGGCACCCAGTGGACGCTCCAAGAGCGGCTACAAGCGTAAACGCGAAGAAGTGCTCAAGATGCGCGTGCATCACTCGGGCAACCCCAAAGAAGTGTTGAAATCCATCTCGCAAAGTGATAACACCAACAAGCAGTACTTCCTCATGCTGGAGAACATAACAGCCTCCTATATGCATCCGTGTATCTTAGACTTGAAAATGGGTACACGCCAACATGGGGACGATGCCTCCGCTGAGAAACGCAGTAAGCAGATGGCCAAATGCGCGGCTAGTACATCAGCATCTTTGGGGTGCGTCTCTGTGGGATGCAAGTATACCAGGCTGATTCTGACTACTATCTGAAGAAGGATAAATACTGGGGTCGTGAACTGAATGAAGATGGCTTCAAAAGTGCTCTTGTTCGGTTCTTTGACAATGGATACGGTTTGCGAACGTATGTCATCAAGAAGGTCATAAACAAATTGGAACAATTACGAAGAGTAATCGAAAAACAAGGCAGTTATAGGTTTTACTCTTGGTATGTTAAACTCACAGCTTAGCCAAAATCAACACAGCTAATAATATGTTTGTTATTTCAGTTCGTTGTTGATTGTCTACGAAGGCAATGGCGGCGTACCTCTATTGTCACTCAAAAAACAACCATGTTGTTCAAGTTCTCCACTGCAGTATCTTGTAAATGACTGCACGCAGGAATCGGACAACTCGCGTGATGTGCCCTGTTATTACGACGCGGATACAAGCAACTCTTCGTTAGATTTGTCCCATGAAGAGGTGTCGCAGGATTCGCATCATCGTGGTTTTGGTGAAGCGGCCGCACGCGGTGCAAATTCTTCCTTTTTCCCTATCTCCGAAGAGACAATGTTTCTCGATTCCCCTCCTATATTACAACCAGGCGGACGTCTTTCCACATCGCCCGTGGAAAGCTGGATGATTTATTCCAACAGTAGCAGTGATGAGTATTCTTTAAGTGGGCAGTTTAATGGTCTTACTTCGGACGATACTTCAGATTTTGAGCTCTCCTCACCGCCACCTCCTTCTAATCTTAAGAATACCCTTCATTTTGAAGATTTGGAGCTTGAGGATGAAGACGATGAGGAATTGACACCCACAGTCACACATAAAAGTGTACCGAAACGATTACGAGTGAAGGATTCCACTGTGCCAGGGACTCCCGGCGCGAGTTGCAGTCAATTGCAACTTCAAACTGATCGTGCAAAGCGTCATTCCAGGTCGCGGTCGCGGTCTCCCACGCCGATTCAAGTGGATGTTAGGATGATTGACTTTGCGCACACATCCTTTGTCACCAAATCGGATATTAGTTCTAGTGCGGGGACGACGACGGTACATCATGGCCCCGATGGCGGTTTTCTTACTGGTTTGGATAGCATGAAGCGACTGCTTTTGGAGATCATGCATGAGGGTTGAACTGGTCACGGAGTGAATACAGAACATGACAAGACAACGAAATGCTCACTGCTCGCTGGTGAGCAATGGGACGCTTCGGAATTGGTTACCAGAATTGAGATCGGCACTGAGATGTGTAACGAATTTAGAAAGTACTTGCAACTACTCTAACCCTTGTTACCAGCCATTCGTTGTTGCTGTTGTTGTTTACTATATTTAGCAGACCAAAACGACGCTCACTAAATATTTATATTAAAATCCAAATAGTGATACAGAACTATCGTAACATATTGAACATAATGACGGGCACACGGAAATGGCTGCCGTTTAAGAAACGAATTCATTAGTGCAGTGGCACTGCATATCACTTTAGACTTGAGGGCGAGTGAAACAAAGACAGAAATTGATACAATAAATACAATCCTTTAAAGAATGAAATTAAAAAACAAACAATAATTAGACTCTAAGCATCGCCCACGTGGTCGAATGCCGAACCGATGCGAACAATAAGGCCGTACGAAGCAGAATATAATCTTAGCAATCACTATGATATAGTGTGTTGAATTTGGCAGATTCTCTTTTTTTTTCATTTTTGATTCATTCTCGTTCATTATAGAGAGGAGCTGTGCGACCGGATGTGAAACAAAGTTGTTTATAATGACTGCCATTAGTACTTTGTAAATAATGACCCTTAGTCTTTATCCTGGACGTAGTCTACTAAAATAACGCTGAGAGAAAAACATAATGAAAAAAGACACCTGAATTGTAGCTAGGCATTGTGCAAAGAATATTTTTAGACACAACCACATTACTCTTACTAATCTAACCTAGACACTAAACTAGAATTATTCATCGTTTCATACACAACACATGCAAATGATTAATTTATTATTTTTCTATTGATTTCTTTTATAAATCGTAAATTTTTGACGCGATGTGCAATTGACGTTGTAGGCGTTTATCATGTTTATAACAAATTCGAATGGCGCGGGAGGAAAGAACAGTATTTTATTTGTACAAATCCGTTCGGATGGACATGGACACGAATTTATTTTCAAAACTCTGGTGCAAATCACTTAAACATTTGAGCTGCATGTGAACCCCGTGCGTGGTATAGTTGATTGTTTTTTTTTCCTAGACGATAATGAAACGAAATGATTCCCTGTGATTTTATTGATAATTATTATTATCTACATTATATATTATATATTGAAGGTATAGAGTTTGATGTACTGTAACTTTTACGTGTAGTTGCGAAAAGTTTCACACTATTATGATTGCGATGCGAGGGTTGTGTAGAAAGTGCAATGTGTAGATGTTCCGTGCGATTAAATGGAGCGTTGTTTTTAGGGGTTGGTGCGCCAAGATGGCGGAAGAAACGCGCGGCCATGATGTTTAGACGGCGTGCGGTTGTTCTGCTGGGCGGCCCGATATTTTCGTGCGCAATATGTACATAATTAAATGAATGATGATTAAATTAAATAAAACATATTTGAAAATAGTTTAATTTTTGTAAAATACCATTTCATGTTCAGGTCCTATGTCCAACTGAATTTTCACTGAGTTTTCACTTAATAAACGCAGTAGACGTACATAGATGTTTTGCAATGATTTCCTATGTTGAAATTTCATGAAAACAATTTAAAAACGTCATATGTTTTTTCATATTGACGTGTAATCTAAGCTAGAAAAATAGTTGAGATAAGGACTAATTAAAGTAATAAACTCGAAAAATATACAATACTTGGAAAAAACAAGCAATTGTGAATTTCTAGAAAAGTAAAAGAACCCAAGTATTAATTAAAATAATTCAGTTTGTTATCATCGCATGTAGATTTTCTTGAAATTTCTCAAACTCTTTGAATAGTTGAAAACATTTTTACCCCTGAAAACAAATATATAAGCTGCGAATGTTTGTGGTTTGAGTAGCAATTGAGTTCACAAAACCACACACAACTCATCATGAAGTTTCAATACCTTCTTTCCTTGGCTCTTTTAATCGGTGTTGCGGTAAGTTGTATTCAGGTTTTTTTAATATTGGGTTTAACCCGCGGCTTCGCTCGCGAATATCTATATATATAAAAATGAATTGCTGTTCGTTAGTCTCGCTAAAACTCGAGAACGGCTGAACGGATTTATCTTATCTTGGTCTTGAATTATTCGTGGAGGTCTATGGAAGGTTTAAAAGGTGAGAAAAATTCGAATAATTGCCGGGAAAATCCTCAAAACAGCTCTTTTCTATAGAATAAAATTTGACATTGAGATTCAATCATAGTTATAGTTAAATAGTTGAATTCGAGATGGCGCGCTGAAGTGCATTATTGACAAAACTTTATATGCATAATTTCTTTAAATTAAAATTGCTAATCTTATTGATAGAATTGACTCTTACTACGAGTATGTCTAGAACAAGAGAGTAAAAACGAATTACATTTTTATTAAACACTGCCGGAACGAAGTCGCGGGCAACAGCTAGTCTAAAATAATGTAGTTGCTTCCATATGCATCTGTAGTCACAGAAGAAGTAACAATGAAGTAGAATGGCGGGAAGTTTAAAATGGCTGAAAGTATAGTCTATGGAAGTATAGTGTACAGTCTCCATAGTGTAGTCAATTGGATTTGATGTTGACGTAGCTGTCGGTAATACAGTGTGATAATACAGTGTGATGGTACAATAGTAGTTTGGTTTGAGCTTCATTGCTGGAATGCTAGATGGCGTTAAAGTAGTCAAATAGCTAGATGCAGAGGTATTATTGGCTAAACTATTTCTTTATTTTATTTAAATAATAATTTTTTATTAAATAAAAAGTAGCCTATAACCATTCGGGGACCACTAAGAATATGTGTACAAATTTTCATGATGATCGGTTAAGTAGTTTTTGCGTGAAAGTGTAACAAACATCAGGACTTTCGTATTTATAATATTAGTACGGATCTGAACAAATATTTCTAAAAAAATGAATCAACGGGATAAAAATATAAGCTTTTCAAATGTACAAAAAATTTACAACAAATACAATGATGTTTTTTGTATTAGGCCGCTCAAAGAGACGATATTAGAGAGTGCGTCCATAAGGCATTGGAACCCATGGGTCAAGATTTGGATCAATGTGTGGACGGCGATGACACTCTCAAGGAGTTAAAAGCAAGCCTCATCAGTATCATAACTGATTCGAAAAATCTCCATGATAACGCCGCAAGTGAAATCGATAGTTGTGGGGATGATATGAACTGCAGAATTCAAACCGCTGTAAAAATCTTCAATCAAGGAGTTGACATTTTCAGGAGAGTCGTGGACTTGGACCACAAAATGAGAGAGCTACATTTGAGTCAACCCACCAAGGATTGTTTCGTCACAAGTCTGCAAAAGGCAGCTGATTCTGTGCGACAATGCCTGCACTTTTAAATTGTATGTGTTGTACTCGTAGTTCTGGTGAAGGGCGAATAAATGTAATCGTTTACAAGTATTAATTTGTTTTTCACATAGAACCTTTCAAGTTGTGAGTCATCATTTTTGTCGTGCTGCGTAGGCATATTTGGCATTCTATATATTTTTTCAAGATAACATTTAAGGAATGCGCACGGAGTTTTTGTAAAAATTTTCCAATAAATAGTAATAGTAATTAATTTTAGTCAAATACAAGGAAATGCGCATTGTTTTAATTTTTTTACACAAATTGTAAAAATTAACAACATATTTTGATAAGCGCCTGCTATATAAAGAAGAAAATAAACTTTAGAAACAATAAGTTTTATAGTTCCTAACTTTCAACTACAACGGCCCTAATATGAAGACCTTTATTGTTGTTTTGCTCTTCGCTTTTGCGGTAAGTACAACAACAACAAAACTTAATTTAAAAGTAACATATCATAGTATTACAATATCACGAGTTTTTATTACTCATTTGTCAAGTGATTATTATGTATAATATTTTGTTTTGTATCAATTTCTTTAGACTGCGCAAGATTCCCAAAATCCTGCCCAGTGCGTCGTGAATACCTTCCAAGAGGGTATCGTGGGAACCTGGAGAGCAGCTATAAAAGAATGCGTCCAGGAAAACGAGCATTTTGATGACGTCCGCGCAGCTATCGAGCAATATGCCACTTCTATTGACGAACTCCAGAAAAAACTCGAGGGATGCCAAAATAATATTCGGTGCATAATCAGACAGTTCTACGGTGGCATTGGAAATGTAATTTCGGAGCTTGGTAACCTGAATAGAGTGATCGCTTCCCATGCAACTCATGCTGATGAAGAAACCATGAAATGCTTCGAACAGAAGGGACAAGAAGCCTGGAAGAAGCTTGGGGAGATACCAAACTGCTTCAATCTTTAAAGTTCGCAGATGTAACCAGAAGCCAATATAATGTTGAAATAATTCATTGCAAATACAATAATTAAAGCATATTGAAGGTGTACTTTTTTTTATTTTATTCCTATAGACATTTTAGGAATCGTTCAGGGCACCGTATGAGGGTAGCGGTAGATGTGACTCGTGTTCAGAGCACCGTAGAAGGTGCCGGTAGAAGTGACTCGTATCCAAGATACCGTATGATGTTAGCGGTATAAGTGACTCGTGTTCAGGGCACCGTACGTGGATGAATGTATAGCTGACTCTCATTTGCTCATTTTATCTTGTGAATTATTATGTCATACTTTAAATTTCCAATTTAGATATCTAGCCTATCTTATATAGAATTTTCCGTAGATTATGAATTTTCAATCCGCTCCTTTATATCTTTTTTTAGTTTTCGAAGAGAATTATCCAAACTTTTATAATCTTGATTGGTTGGTCGCTAGCGCTTTTAGTAAAGATATTCGCCACCGAAAATTCTCTATATCTACCAGCAAGCGGAGTATTCGACGTGAGAATTGTGTTTGTATATAAACAACTTTCTTATCGCATTCGCCGTGCCAGATGCGATGCGCATAATTCTCGGCTGTCTTCGCGCTGTCGCATGCCGCGCATGTTAGTTTAGTTCTCATTGCAGGTACATTGTTTATTGCAATTCACGTACAAGGTCGCGTGCTGTCGACCCGCCGGCTTTGCGCATCTCTTGATCTCTTATCATAAACTCTCGTGTCGTAGCTTACTCGGCTACGGCATGCGCTATCGATGGATTGCAACCAGTTTTGTGCCGGTCTCTGTTTGATCCAGACGTGTTTTGAGCGACTCGTATTGTTTGTTCGGATTTCTGCTTTTTAATCGACTATTTAATTGTAATTACATTAGTAATGTTATTTACTATTTGCACGTTTAATGTAACAAAAGAAGTTGATAGTTGATCGCGTTTCGTGTGTATACTTATGCATGTTACAAAGTTTGGTTTGGGTTGCAAAATTAATTGGATATAAATTCGCTCCCTTGTTGATTTATACATCATTTCCTTGGGTACGTAATTTTTACCTCAAAATCATGTATTGTTATTATTAAATCATATGAAATGTTTCAATTTCTTTTCTTTTAATTTCAGGCCTTGCTATGCCTTGGGGACTGAGGAGCACAACAATTTGTAAGTTCATATTCTTCATTTTCATATTTTTCATTCTAATTTACACGACAAATATTTATTGCCTCATTACGTTTTTTACGTTATCTCGCGAACCCTGCTTAAAGCGATTGGTGAAGGAGTTGCCAGCTGTGCGTGAAAACGAGATAGATACATTATAGGTTTTATTGCGCGAGGAATTCCACTATCGCTTATCAGTATTTGTTTGTGTATAAACAAGTTTTCTAGTCGCATTTATTAGAATATTAAAAATTACACTTCGCGGAGCAGTTTTATTTCATGATTTGTCTCTGCCTTAGTATGTCGATATGTTAGCATTGTTCTAACTATCGTTCTCTTCTTTGATTTGGCAATCGCCTTCGAGTTCAGATGGTCGAGTCACGAGCTAAATTAGAATGCGAATTTGATTCGCTTTATCGGTCGACTTCCGATTTAAAGTAAAATAAATTGTCACAGCCCTTCTCTCACTTTCCCTTAACAATGTAATTTATTTCGCAGATTATCATTATCCTCAACACTAGTCTACATGTTACAACGCGTGAAATACTGGTATGGTATCTTTAAGCGTTTGTTTTGTACCTATCAACATGTGCACGTTTTAGTCATTGCACGCGAACGGTTTGTCACACAAACTTGAGCGGGGTGTCTAGAGATGCGGAATTAAATTCTCCGTCGGGTTGTATTTATTAGCGGTAGAAGTGACTCGATTCAGGATACCTTACGAGGCTAGCGGTAAAAGTGACTCATATTCAGGGCACCGTATGAACCCGGCGAAAATCTGCATGAAAAAAATCACCCTTTTTCATGAAATGTTTGTGTTTTTTCGTGTTTGAGCGCGATCTAGGCGGCTCACTAACTTCAGCGTGGCGTCTAGAGATATGGAATTAAATTCTCGTCGGGTTGTATTTGTTTGTTGTGAAATTCGACCTGCAAAATTTTTGTTTTTGTCACCCTTTTTCGTGTGATATTTGTATTTTTGCAGGAATTCGCTCACTATCTTCCTGCGGAATTAAATTCTCCGCAAATTTACATTCGACCGCAACCGGCAATATATTGCATTATATATTTATCATTTTCCTAAATAACTTTTGTGATTATCTTACAAATTTACCCTTAAAATTGCATTTTTATGTTCGAAAGACTAATTTTTGCTCGTTTTAGGATTTTGCACCTGAGTCTGACATCGTAGAAGGACCATTCTTGTATCAGATTGTAAGTAATTAAATTTCTTTATCATTTTCCTAAATAACTTTTGTGATTATCTCACAAATTGACCCCAAAATTGCATTTTTATGTTCGAAGGACTAATTTTTGCTTGTTTTAGGGATTATGCAGCTGAGTCTGACATCGTAGAAGGACCATTCTGGCATCAGATTGTAAGTAATTAATTTCTTTATCATTTTCCTAAATAACTTTTGTGATTATCTCACAAATTGACCCCAAAATTGCATTTTTATGTTCGAAGGACTAATTTTTGATGGTTTTAGGATTTTGCACCTGAGTCTGACATCGTAGAAGGACCATTCTGGTATCAGATTGTAAGTAATTAATTTCTTTATCATTTTCCTAAATAACTTTTGTGATTATCTCACAAATTGACCCCCAAAATTGCATTTTTATTTTCGAAGGACTAATTTTTGCTTGTTTTAGGGATTTTGCACCTGAGTCTGACATCGTAGAAGGACCATTCTGGTATCAGATTGTAAGTAATTAATTTCTTTATCCTTTTCCTAAATAACTTTTGTGATTATCTCACAAATTGACCCCCAAAATTGCATTTTTATGTTCGAAGGACTAATTTTTGATGGTTTTAGGGATTTTGCACCTGAGTCTGACATCGTAGAAGGACCATTCTGGTATCAGATTGTAAGTAATTAATTTCTTTATCATTTTCCTAAATAACTTTTGTGATTATCTCACAAATTGACCCCAAAATTGCATTTTATGTTCGAAGGACTAATTTTTGATGGTTTTAGGGATTTTGCACCTGAGTCTGACATCGTAGGAGGACCATTCTTGCATCAGATTGTAAGTAATTAATTTCTTTATCATTTTCCTAAATAACTTTTGTGATTATCTCACAAATTGACCCCAAAATTGCATTTTTATGTTCGAAGGACTAATTTTTGCTTGTTTTAGGGATTTTGCACCTGAGTCTGACATCGTAGAAGGACCATTCTTGTATCAGATTGTAAGTAATTAATTTCTTTATCATTTTCCTAAATAACTTTTGTGATTATCTCACAAATTGACCCCCAAAATTGCATTTTTATGTTCGAAGGACTAATTTTTGATGGTTTTAGGGATTTTGCACCTGAGTCTGACATCGTAGAAGGACCATTCTTGTATCAGATTGTAAGTAATTAATTTCTTTATCATTTTCCTAAATAACTTTTGTGATTATCTCACAAATTGACCCCCAAAATTGCATTTTTATGTTCGAAGGACTAATTTTTGATGGTTTTAGGGATTTTGCACCTGAGTCTGACATCGTAGAAGGACCATTCTTGCATCAGATTGTAAGTATTTAATTTCTTTATCATTTTCCTAAATAACTTTTGTGATTATCTCACAAATTGACCCCCAAAATTGCATTTTTATGTTCGAAGGACTAATTTTTGCTTGTTTTAGGATTTTGCACCTGAGTCTGACATCGTAGAAGGACCATTCTGGTATCAGATTGTAAGTATTTAATTTCTTTATCATTTTCCTAAATAACTTTTGTGATTATCTCACAAATTGACCCCCAAAATTGCATTTTTATGTTCGAAGGACTAATTTTTGATTGTTTTAGGGATTTTGCACCTGAGTCTGACATCGTAGAAGGACCATTCTTGCATCAGATTGTAAGTAATTAATTTCTTTATCATTTTCCTAATAACTTTTGTGATTATCTCACAAATTGACCCCCAAAATTGCATTTTTATGTTCGAAGGACTAATTTTTGCTTGTTTTAGGGATTTTGCACCTGAGTCTGACATCGTAGAAGGACCATTCTTGCATTAGATTGTTAGTATTAAATTATCTTAAATAACTTTTGTGATTATTATACAAATTGACTCCCAAAATTTATGCTTGTGCGTTTTCTTTAATAAAGAATATTTTTAAGTTTTTCTAATTATAATTATTTTTGTTATTTCTACCTGATCACATATTTATCGATTCCTTAAACTATTTATTTTGAAAAGTGCATGCTAGTGCCATCTATCAATTAGAAACGACAACAACCGAAAGTTTTGAGCTTCGGTCCGTCGCCACCAGAGGCAGCACCTTACTAGTTACCGCGAAAACTTTATCAGCCTCCTCAACTTTCTGCGATCCTAATATTCCATCTTTATTTTCTCGACTCTGAGAGGCAAAATGACACAAAATTTGGACTCGAAACAGTCGAAACTCAGGATTTGGTATTCGGATCGCAGAAAGGGTGAGGAGGTATGTAAATAAAAGAGGCGGTAACTAGTAATGGCGGGTAAAATGAATGTTTAAAAATCTTTATTCAGCAAATTCGGTTTTCAAATTCTGAAGGATCTCGACAACTAAGAGGGCTAGAAAATTAAGAACTACATAATATTGATCCTTGAAAAATTCCCTACAAGGTGGCATAAAACTACATTATTAAAAAATTATCAAAATGACACAAAAAATTTTTAAAGAAAAGATTTTGTTATAAAAAAGGCAAAAGATTTCTCTTTTTTATGATGAAAATTAAAAGTTGGAAATTTTGAATTCTGTTTTCGAATTGTGATAGACAAGTTAATTCTACATCAATTAGTTTGGTATTTTTTTGCTAGCATTAACTGCTTAGGCCCTATTTGCAATTTTATAGAAAAAATTGAATATGCCCCGAAACAAACTGAAATAATATATATAATAATTTGCCGGGAATTGCTATGTCCACTTTCTGCGTTCCTAATACTACAGACTGATGAGCAGCAACATTTCAGCAAATTTCTCGACAAATTTTGTCGAGAAATCCATTGAAATTGGTGACAAAATTCTTTTGAATATTAGGATCGCAGAAAGTTGAAGAGGCTAAATCTCCAGCAATCTTGAATAGCGGGCGTAGTTTAGTTACTCGTGGATAGATGACACTAGTGATACCGTTTTTAAATAAATATTGATACAATATAAAATTGATTTTGAACTATTTCTCATATCTAGCAGTGGCATTTCCATTAAAGTTTAAGGGTTTTATGGATTAATTAAAGGAGTAACGATGTTGTTCTCCGTTTGGAACAAATAAAACAATAAAAATTTATAGTTAAAAGTATAAAACAACAATTTTATTCAAACATGTAGAATATACACCCATCAGTAACTCAATTTCTCAATATATACATGTAATTATACAATGCTCTTTTTACAATTTTTAACATAATAAACAAAAATGAAATCAAAAACAGCTTCAAAATGTTGTAAATTCATTCAATCGTTTTTGGAATCATCATCAACACCGGCAATCCAATCTTCAATTTCTTGGACACTATAAATCAGAATGAATAACAGAATAGTAAAATATAAAATATTATAAATTGCAAAAATATAACATACGTTCTTGGAACTTTAGTCCAGTTGCAACATCCATTTTCAGTAACCAAAATATCATCCTCAATACGCACTCCACCAGAACCACGCCAGTTGGTCCTTATTGATAAACTTGGCCATCTCAGGATTAGACAAAGCTTCATCTAACAACTGGAAAATATTTATGTAAATAAAGTATACATATACATAAATTACAAGATCCATAAAGACTCCCAATTAGGGCACCGTACGAAGGTAGCGCCTGTACTGACTCCCATTCAAGGCACCGTACGAAGATGGTGGTAGTAGTAACTCCTGGAATCAAACCTATATTAGTCGTGATGATCAAATTTAAAGCTGCGTAATAAAACTACAATTCCTAGCGCAACGAGTACTACGGCGCAAAACACAACTTTCAATATAACTAGCGTTATCGCGAATATCTCGTAAACTAAAAGAGATAATTAAGATCTGATCGCAGCGTCTAAATCTACGGACCAATCTCTATCAGATAGGATAGTTAAAAGGGAAATCTGAGAGATGAAATTTTAAGTCTTAAGAAAAAAATTGCCAAGGGGGGGTGCTTGATACTTTTTTTCGACGATTTTCAAAAATTCATATCTCTTAAACTAAAAGAGATAGCTACCAACGAATTGTTGATTATGAAAGATTGGAAGATTCTCTATCAGATAAAAATATAAAATAATTATATTTCCTACAGTAAAAGGTCGAAAAACGCGACTAAAAGTGCTAAAAGTGACATTTTGCAATTTTGCCCATTTTATTCAATCGCGAATATCTCGTAAACTAAAAGAGATAATTAAGATCTGATCGCAGCGTCTTAATCTACGGACCAATCTCTATCAGATAGGATAGTTAAAAGGGAAATCTGAGAGATGAAATTTTAAGTCTTAAGAAAAAAATTGCCAAGGGGGGGTGCTTGATACTTTTTTTCGACGATTTTCAAAAATTCATATCTCTTAAACTAAAAGAGATAGCTACCAACGAATTGTTGATTATGAAAGATTGGAAGATTCTCTATCAGATAAAAATATAAAATAATTATATTTCCTACAGTAAAAGGTCGAAAAACGCGACTAAAAGTGCTAAAAAGTGACATTTTGCAATTTTTGCCCATTTTATTCAATCGCGAATATCTCGTAAACTAAAAGAGATAATTAAGATCTGATCGCAGCGTCTTAATCTACGGACCAATCTCTATCAGATAGGATAGTTAAAGTGGAAATCTGAGAGATGAAATTTTAAGTCTTAAGAAAAATTGCCAAGGGGGTGCTTGATACTTTTTTTCGACGATTTTCAAAAATTCATATCTCTTAAACTAAAAGAGATAGCTACCAACGAATTGTTGATTATGAAAGATTGGAAGATTCTCTATCAGATAAAAATATAAAATAATTATATTTCCTACAGTAAAAGGTCGAAAAACGCGACTAAAAGTGCTAAAAAGTGACATTTTGCAATTTTTGCCCATTTTATTCAATCGCGAATATCTCGTAAACTAAAAGAGATAATTAAGATCCGATCGCAGCGTCTTAATCTACGGACCAATCTCTATAAGATAGGCTAGTTAAAGTGGAAATCTGAGAGATGAAATTTTCATTCTTAAGAAAAAATTGCCAAGGGGGGGTGCTTGATACTTTTTTTCGACGATTTTCAAAAATTCATATCTCTTAAACTAAAAGAGATAGCTACCAACGAATTGTTGATTATGAAAGATTGGAAGATTCTCTATCAGATAAAAATATAAAATAATTATATTTCCTACAGTAAAAGGTCGAAAAACGCGACTAAAAGTGCTAAAAGTGACATTTTGCAATTTTGCCCATTTTATTCAATCGCGAATATCTCGTAAACTAAAAGAGATAATTAAGATCTGATCGCAGCGTCTTAATCTACAGACCAATCTCTATCAGATAGGCTATTTAAAGTGGAAATCTGAGAGATGAAATTTTAAGTCTTAAGAAAAAATTGCCAAGGGGGGGTGCTTGATACTTTTTTTCGACGATTTTGAAAAATTCATATCTCTTAAACTGAAAGAGATAGCTACTAACGAATTGTTGATTATGAAAGATTGGAAGATTGTCTATGAGATAAAAATATAAAATAATTATATTTCCTACAGTAAAAGGTCGAAAAACGCGACTAAAAGTGCTAAAAAAAAAACATTTTGCAATTTTTGCCCATTTTATTCAATCGCGAATATCTCGTAAACTAAAAGAGATAAATAAGATCTGATCGCAGCGTCTTAATCTATATGAGGCGTGATTATCAAATTTAAAGCTGCGTTTTACATCTTTGTTTCCAATATTAAATCATCAATCGTATCGTATAAGAACTTTTCTTGCAACAATTAAATACAACTGGATAGAGAATTTAATTCTGCATATTTGGACCCCGCGCCCAAGTTTGTAATACGTTACTCCCAATAACAAAAAATAATTAAATTATTTAATGCTAACGCTTTAGTAGAAGGCGGTGGACCGCACAGAAAAAAAAAAACATAAATGCAAAGTAATGATCGACGCAGAAAATAAAACGAAATATATAATTGAATGCAAACTGTATAAGCAACGACGAGGCAGTTTATGATAAGAAAGCAAGATGCAGCAACATGCGGCGTGAGGTATTGGCAACGACGACACACAGCAATGCGATAAGAAAGTGTATATTGTGTTCAAACAAACACAATTCTTGGGTCGAAGGTTCACGCAATTACAATACAATTTTTAGTCCATGCTATTTCTATCTATAAATGATACAGTAGTTTCGATATTTACATTAGTAAAGGTAATAAAAAATTAAAATTCGATTTGCGTAATTGTGATTTCTTATGCTGACAGATTGCCAGATTTGAATTAAAATGTTAGTTATATTCATGAAAGAATTGAAGAATATTTGCTTAAATTTACGATACTAATATAATAAACAGCAACGGTATGTTTTGATTCCTCGAAATAAAGATTCGATACCTGCTGGCTGCAGGTAAACAAACTTATCTCTTGCGCGAAATCGCGTGATCGCACACGGACACGGTGTACACTCACTACCACCAACAAGCAATATTTAATGCAAAATCATACATCGTAGGGCCATCTAACCTTTGAAAATATTTATCAACTTCAAAACACATTTATAAAAAGTCAATACATATCTGGAAATTTTGAAACTTTGAGTATAAGTCGCGTTACGAAATTTTCTCGCAATAAATTTCTGTACAGGGGGAAACAGAATTAAATTCCCCATCTAGGAAAATTCACTCGAACTAATTACAACACCGCGTTCGCGAGTTATAACAAAAAAACTACAATTTCTAGCGCATCGAGTACCTACTACGGCGCAAAATACAACTTTCAATATAACTAGCGTTATCGCGAATATCTCGTAAACTAAAAGAGATAATTAAGATCTGATCGCAGCGTCTTAATCTACGGACTATATCGATGATATTTAAAAATAATTTAATTTCGTGGAGTAAAAGGTTCAAAAACGTGACTAGAAGTGCTGAAAAGTGCATTCTTTTCTTTGCTTTGCGAATATCTCCTAAACTTAAAAATTTTGTAGAAGCAAGGCACGCGACCATTTGTGTCACAGGTAGGTAGTACGTGATAAATAGAAAACTTGTTTATAAACAGCAAATGTAAATTTGACCGAAAAATATAATTGAAATATAAACTTACCAGTGTACAGCTTATCGGACTGCCTGGCACAACGAGTGCTGTAACTAAACGGAAACATAAATTAAAACAACAACATTTCATACAATTTAAATAAGTTATAATTAACAATCAATACAAAATAAACAATCTGTGCTGTTAAGTTAAAAAATACTTACACGAGCCTGATGGATCCGTCTTAATGATGAGAATCAACATGGAGGCGATATATATTTAATTAATTTAGCAACCGATACCAAACACATCGCCGAGTGAAGAATATTATAAAATTCACTATCACGTGACGATCAAAAAACCGGCATTTCCGAACATTGATCTTAAAAGTCTTTCAAAATACGACTGGATTAACTAGCGACCGGCACGAAACTGGCTGCATTCCACCGATAGTGCATGCTGAAACAGCGTAAACAACGACGGGATGGAATGTGATAAGAAAGCAAGAGGTGCGCAAAGCCGTCGGCGCACGCGACCTTGTGCGCGAATTGCAATACGCACGATACATGCGATCAAAACCAAACTAGACTTACGCTGCATGCAAGCAAGTAGATGAGGCGCGAGGAGACAGCTCGCGGAGACATATCGATTTTATGATTTATAATGCATTCTAGTGCCATCTATGAATGGCACTAGTATTTGGATAGTAGTATAAATTTTATATATTATAAACTACAATTATTAGTAAAATAATATTTTATAGAAATGACTATTTGAGATTACATTTCGATAAAATAAAAACATATGATATCTTCGCATACTTTTATTACAATTGTTTAGCTGACAATACTAAAAACATCAAACAATTACAAAAACCATATTTTGTCTAGCACTCTTAATATCGCTGACGTTTTGACTATTTGAGATTACATTTCGATAAAATAAAAAATGGTTGTTTGTAAAGTAGGTTTACGATCGAGATGTTTACGTGATAACGTCTTATTGGTGATATAAGTTTTTTTTGTTGCAATTGTTGTAACACTTCACTTGCACTTCACATTTTGTTTCACTGTTAAATATTCAACGAAAAGCTGAGTAAAGTTAAGTAAACACTTACTGTACGCTATACCCTCACAATATCGCCAAAACGATATTTTTACTAAACCATTGCAAGTCAATGCAAGTATTTGTCAAGCCTGATGTGGATAGCTATTTCGACCATTAGAGGTCTCATCAGCACACCTACTGGCGAAAACTTAACCGCACGAGAAAATCTCCATTCGTTTGTATGCCGCTAGAGTGAGAGAGACGGAAGATCGGTCCACTCACTCGAACACTATGCCTGCCTCCGCTCGTGTGGATTCCGCGTGTCAAGTTTCACGGAATGACTGGCAGCGCTCGAGATGAGACGGGAGATCGGTCCGTCTCTCTCTCTCTCGTTATACCTGCGATCAGGCCTCGTGACACAAGTTTCTGAACATGTCACCCGACTAAAACGATTTTAAAGACGTTATCACGTCAATTATTACAATTGTGTAGCTGACAATATTAAAAACATCAAACAATTACAAAAACCATATTTTGTCTAGCACTCTTAATATCGCTGACGTTAATATATTGCTTAATCGGATTTCCCTGAAACAATTATTTAACGCGCAATACAAATACAAGTACTAGTGTTTAAATGCATCAAATACGGTTCGGTATACTTAAGTATACTTAATTTCACATATTTTGCGACTATTGTGATAACCCAGCATTGACTTCTGTGATATTGTATCGTGGTAATGAAGTATAGTTTAATTCACTCTCTTTCTGATCAGTCGTACATCATAACAACACTTTCAACAAACATGAAGATCGAATTGGTTTTACTAATTGCGCTTTCTATAATAATACACACCCAGGGTAAGTAATATTTTAAACGTAATATTTTAATCCCTTTGATTATCCATGTGTTTTTATTTAGCACAAAGTTGCGATGGGAAGGTGGATAGAAACTTCTGCCCTGAGCAAGCGGCCAGCTTATCAATTACAAAGCAAACTTCTGAAGATGATAAAGGAATTCTCATTGTAACCATCAATTGTTTTGATACTTCCGGCAAAGTAATTGCAAAATGCAGCGACAATATTGAAAGTCCTTTTCCCAATGTCATCATTAGAAGTTTTCAATATATTGGTAAATATAAGTCTTATCAACCATCCAATCAGCCTTCTAATAGAAATAACCAGGACAATGTTGTTAATGATGACGAAATTGAGACTTTCGAGTGAATTTCAAAATAAATGTGCAAAATTATATGAATATGATATCAATAAATAGAGTTGTTATAATTGAAAATTTACTGAGTTGTCTTACTCATCTTTTTTAGTTATCGAGATATGCACAATCAAAGAACTCTCAAAACATGAAAATGTTTACTTTTTAGCACTTCTAAATACTAATGTCTTATCTTATAGAGAATTATCCAAACTTTTATAATATTTGATTGGTTGGTCGCTAGCGCTTTTAGTAAAGATATTCGCCACCAAAAATCCTCTATATCTATCAGCAAGCGGAGTATTCGACTCGAGAATTGTGTTTGCATATAAACAATTTTCTTATCGCGAGAGAGTGCCAGATGCGATGCGCATAATTCTCGGCTGTCTACGTGCTGTCGCATGCCGCGTATGTTAGTTTAGTTCTCATTGCAGTTACATTGCCTATTGCAATTCGCGCAGAAGGACACGCGCCGGCTTTGCACATCTCTTGATTTCTTATCATAAACTCTCGCGTCGTAGCTTGCTCGGCTGCGGCATGCGCTATCGATGGATTGCAACCAGTTTTGTGCCGGTCTCTGTTTGATCCAGACGTGTTCCTCGCGACTCGTATTGTTTGTTCGGATTTCTGCTTTTCAATCGACTATTTAATTGAAATACATTAGTAATGTTATTTACTATTTCCGCGTTTAATGTAACAAAGGTAGTTGATAGTTGATCGCGTTTCGTGTGTATACTTATGCATGTTACAAAGTTTGGTTTAGATTGCGAAATTAATTGGATATACATTCGCCCCCTTGTTGATTTATATTCTCCGTTGGGTTGTATTTGTTTCTGCAGGAATTTGGCCTGCAACCCGCAAATTTACACCGTATTTTATATATTTATCATTTTTCTAAATAACTTTTGTGATTATCACACAATTTAACCCTTAAAAATTGCATTTTATGTTCGAATGACTGATTTTTGCTGGTTTTAGGATTTTGCACCTGAGTCTGACATCGTAGAAGGACCATTCTTGCATCAGATTGTAAGTATTTAATTTCTTTATCATTTTCCTAAATAACTTTTGTGATTATCTCACAAATTGACCCCCAAAATTGCATTTTATGTTCGAAGGACTAATTTTTCTTGTTTTAGGTATTTTGCACCTGAGTCTGACATCGTAGAAGGACCATTCTGGTACCAGATTGTAAGTAATTAATTTCTTTATCATTTTCCATAATAACTTTTGTGATTATCTTACAAATTGACCCCCAAAATTGCATTTTTATGTTCGAAGGACTAATTTTTGCTTGTTTTAGGGATTTTGCACCTGAGTCTGACATCGTAGAAGGACCATTCTTGCATCAGATTGTAAGTATTTAATTTCTTTATCATTTTCCTAAATAACTTTTGTGATTATCTCACAATTTAACCCTTAAAAATTGCATTTTTATGTTCGAAGGACTAATTTTTGCTTGTTTTAGGGATTTTGCACCTGAGTCTGACATCGTAGAAGGACCATTCTGGTACCAGATTGTAAGTAATTAATTTCTTTATCATTTTCCATAATAACTTTTGTGATTATCTCACAAATTGACCCCCAAAATTGCATTTTTATGTTCGAAGGACTAATTTTTGCTTGTTTTAGGGATTTTGCACCTGAGTCTGACATCGTAGAAGGACCATTCTGGTACCAGATTGTAAGTAATTAATTTCTTTATCATTTTCCATAATAACTTTTGTGATTATCTCACAAATTGACCCCCAAAATTGCATTTTTATGTTCGAAGGACTAATTTTTGCTGGTTTTAGGATTTTGCACCTGAGTCTGACATCGTAGAAGGACCATTCTTGCATCAGATTGTAAGTATTTAATTTCTTTATCATTTTCCTAAATAACTTTTGTGATTATCTCACAAATTGACCCCCAAAATTGCATTTTTATGTTCGAAGGACTAATTTTTGCTTGTTTTAGGGATTTTGCACCTGAGTCTGACATCGTAGAAGGACCATTCTGGTATCAGATTGTAAGTAATTAATTTCTTTATCATTTTCCTAAATAACTTTTGTGATTATCTCACAAATTGACCCCAAAATTGCATTTTTATGTTCGAAGGACTAATTTTTGCTTGTTTTAGGGATTTTGCACCTGAGTCTGACATCGTAGAAGGACCATTCTGGCATCAGATTGTAAGTAATTAATTTCTTTATCATTTTCCTAAATAACTTTTGTGATTATCTCACAAATTGACCCCAAAATTGCATTTTTATGTTCGAAGGACTAATTTTTGCTTGTTTTAGGGATTTTGCACCTGAGTCTGACATCGTAGAAGGACCATTCTGGTATCAGATTGTAAGTAATTAATTTCTTTATCATTTTCCTAAATAACTTTTGTGATTATCTCACAAATTGACCCCCAAAATTGCATTTTTATGTTCGAAGGACTAATTTTTGCTTGTTTTAGGGATTTTGCACCTGAGTCTGACATCGTAGAAGGACCATTCTGGTATCAGATTGTAAGTAATTAATTTCTTTATCATTTTCCTAAATAACTTTTGTGATTATCTCACAAATTGACCCCCAAAATTGCATTTTTATGTTCGAAGGACTAATTTTTGCTTGTTTTAGGGATTTTGCACCTGAGTCTGACATCGTAGAAGGACCATTCTGGTATCAGATTGTAAGTAATTAATTTCTTTATCATTTTCCTAAATAACTTTTGTGATTATCTCACAAATTGACCCCAAAATTGCATTTTTATGTTCGAAGGACTAATTTTTGCTTGTTTTAGGGATTTTGCACCTGAGTCTGACATCGTAGAAGGACCATTCTTGGTATCAGATTGTAAGTAATTAATTTATTTATCATTTTCCTAAATAACTTTTGTGATTATCTCACAAATTGATCCCCAAAATTGCATTTTTATGTTCGAAGGACTAATTTTTGCTTGTTTTAGGGATTTTGCACCTGAGTCTGACATCGCAGAAGGACCATTCTGGTATCAGATTGTAAGTAATTAATTTCTTTATCATTTTCCTAAATAACTTTTGTGATTATCTCACAAATTGACCCCCAAAATTGCATTTTTATGTTCGAAGGACTAATTTTTGCTTGTTTTAGGGATTTTGCACCTGAGTCTGACATCGTAGAAGGACCATTCTGGTATCAGATTGTAAGTAATTAATTTCTTTATCATTTTCTTAAATAACTTTTGTGATTATCTCACAAATTGACCCCAAAATTGCATTTTTATGTTCGAAGGACTAATTTTTGCTTGTTTTAGGGATTTTGCACCTGAGTCTGACATCGTAGAAGGACCATTCTGGTATCAGATTGTAAGTAATTAATTTCTTTATCATTTTCCTTAATAACTTTTGTGATTATCTCACAAATTGACCCCAAAATTGCATTTTTATGTTCGAAGGACTAATTTTTGATGGTTTTAGGGATTTTGCACCTGAGTCTGACATCGTAGAAGGACCATTCTGGTATCAGATTGTAAGTAATTAATTTCTTTATCATTTTCCATAATAACTTTTGTGATTATCTCACAAATTGACCCCCAAAATTGCATTTTTATGTTCGAAGGACTAATTTTTGATGGTTTTAGGGATTTTGCACCTGAGTCTGACATCGTAGAAGGACCATTCTGGTATCAGATTGTAAGTAATTAATTTCTTTATCATTTTCCATAATAACTTTTGTGATTATCTCACAAATTGACCCCAAAATTGCATTTTTATGTTCGAAGGACTAATTTTTGCTTGTTTTAGGGATTTTGCACCTGAGTCTGACATCGTAGAAGGACCATTCTTGCATCAGATTGTTAGTATTAAATTATCTTAAATAACTTTTGTAATTATTACACAAATTGTCTCCCAACATTTATGCTTGTGTGTTTTCTTTAATAAAGAATATTTTTAAATTTTTCTAATTAAAATTATTTCTGTTATTTCTACCTGATCACATATTTAACGATTTCTTAAACCATTTATTTTAAAAAGTGCATGCTAGTGCCATCTGTCAATTAGAAACTACAACAACCGAAAGTGTTGAGCTTCGGTCCGTCGCCACCAGAGGCAGCACCTTACTAGTTACCGCGAAAACTTTATCAGCCTCCTCAACTTTCTGCGATCCTAATATTCCATCTTTATTTTGTCGACTCTGGGAGGCAAAATGACACAAAATTTGGACTCGAAACAGTCGAAACTCAGGATTTGGTATTCGGATCGCAGAAAGGGTGAGGAGGTATGTCAATGAAAGAGGCGGTAACTAGTAATGGCGGGTAAAATGAATGTTTAAAAATCTTTATTCAGCAAATTCGGTTTTCAAATTCTGAAGGATCTCGACAACTAAGAGGGCTAGAAAATTAAGAACTACATAATATTGATCCTTGAAAAATTCTCTACAAGGTGGCATCATTATTGAAAAAGATCAAAATGACACTTTTAAAGAAAAGATTTTGTTATAAAAAGGCAAAAGATTTCTCTTTTTATGATGAAAATTAAAAGTTGGAATTTTTGAATTCTGTTTTCGAATTGTGATAGACAATTTAATTCTACATCAATTAGTTTGGTATTTTTTGCTAGCATTAACTGCTTAGGCCTATTTGCAATTTCATAAAAAAATTGAATATGTACCGAAACAAACTGAAATAATATATATAATAATTTGCCGGGAACTGCTATGTCCACTTTCTGCGTTCCTAATACGACAGACAGATGAGCAGCAACATTTCAGCAAATTTCTCGACAAATTTTGTCGAGAAATCCATTGAAATTGGTGACAAAATTCTTTTGAATATTAGGATCGCAGAAAGTTGAGGAGGCTAAATCTCCAGCAATCTTGAATAGCGGGCGTAGTTTAGTTACTCGTGGATAGATGACACTAGTGATACCGTTTTTAAATAAATATTGATACAATATAAAATTGATTTTGAACTATTTCTCATATCTAGCAGTGGCATTTCCATTAAAGTTTAAGGGTTTTATGGATTAATTAAAGGAGTAACGATGTTGCAAGCTATGTTCTCCGTTTGGAACAAATAAAACAATAAAAATTTATAGTTAAAAGTATAAAACAACAATTTTATTGAAACATGTAGAATATACACTCAATTTCTCAATAGTAACTCAATTTCAAAACATGCATATATACATGTAATTATACAATAATCTATTTTTAAATCTTTTAACATAATAAACAAAAATGATATCAATAACAGCTTCAAAATGTTGTAAATTCATTAAATCGTTTTGGAATCATTATTAACACCGGCAATCCAATCTTCAATTTCTTGGACTCTATAAATCAGAATGAATAACAGGATAATAAAATATAAAAAATATTTTATAATAATAAATTGCAAAAATATAACATACGTTCTGGGTATTTTAGTCCAGTTGACACATCCACCTTCAGTAAACAAAACATCATCCTCAATACGCACTCCACCAGTACTGCGAAACCTCTCCAGTCCAAGTTCCCAGTTCCCATTCAAGGCACCGTACGAAGGTAGCGGTAGAAGGTGTAACTTAGGGCACCGTAAAAGGGTAGCGTTAACGTTTACGTCAATGAAGAACTCATCGGACTACATCGGACTACGGCGAATACTGTAAAAAAAACATAAGTTAAAACAACTTGCATAAGTATGCATACAAAACACGAAAAGCATCACCACTTTTGATCAATAATGTACATTAAACGCGGCAATAGTAAATAACAATACTATATTTGCGAATTACAATTGAATAATCAACTGTTGATCGAATAAAAATTTAGCCATTTTTTACATTTGGCATGGTACATATATGCGATCTAAACTATATTAGAATGTGCTGCATGCGGCAAATGGCAACAGCGTGAGAGGATGACAAGGACAAACAAGGAAAATCTTCTAATTTTTCTCAATTTGTTCAAAAATTAAACGCGATAAAAAAAGATTAAAAATTCTTAAACTAGGGAAAATTTTCTATAAAATGAGATAATTAAATTGAAAATTTAAGAGATAAAATTTTAATTCATAAGAATAAATAGGCAGGGGTGGGAGACACACAACTTTTAATATAACTCGGGTTACGGTATCTTCACGCAATAAATTTCAACACAGGAAGATACAGATAAATTCCGCATCTGGGAAAATTAATTCAAACTAATTATGAAACCGCGTTCGCCAGTTATAACAAAAAAACTACAATTCCTAGCGCGACGCGTACTACGGCGCAAACACAACTTTCACTATAACTCGCGTTACGGAATTTTCTACAAAACATTTTTATACTGGGAGATGCAAAATTAAATTCTGCATCTGGGAAAATTAATCCGAACCAATTATGACACCGCGTTCGCCAGTTATAACAAAAACTACAATTAAATTCCGCATCTGGGAAAATTAATTCAAACTAATTATGAAACCGCGTTCGCCAGTTATAACAAAAAAACTACAATTCCTAGCGCGACGCGTACTACGGCGCAAACACAACTTTCACTATAACTCGCGTTACGGAATTTTCTAGCAAAACATTTTTATACTGGGAGATGCAAAATTAAATTCTGCATCTGGGAAAATTAATCCGAACCAATTATGACACCGCGTTCGCCAGTTATAACAAAAAAACTACAATTCCTAGCGCGACGCGTACTACGGCGCAAACACAACTTTCACTATAACTCGCGTTACGGAATTTTCTAGCAAAACATTTTTATACTGGGAGATGCAAAATTAAATTCTGCATCTGGGAAAATTAATCCGAACCAATTATGACACCGCGTTCGCCAGTTATAACAAAAAAACTACAATTCCTAGCGCGACGCGTACTACGGCGCAAACACAACTTTCACTATAACTCGCGTTACGGAATTTTCTAGCAAAACATTTTTATACTGGGAGATGCAAAATTAAATTCTGCATCTGGGAAAATTAATCCGAACCAATTACGACACCGCGTTCCCGAGTTATAAGAAAAAAACTACAATTCCTAGCGCGACGCGTACTACGGCGCAAACACAACTTTCACTATAACTCGCGTTACGGAATTTTCTTACTGGGAGATGCAAAATTAAATTCTGGAATTTTCTAGTGACAAAAATCACCCTTTCATTCAAATTTTTGGCGGGTTCCTACGGTGCCCTGAACACAAGTCACTTTTACCGCTAGCCTCGTAAGGTGCCCTGAATCGAGTCACTTCTACCGCTAACAACTACGACCCGGCGGAGATTTTAATTCTGCAGTTTTTGACGCCCCGCTGAAGTTACTAGGTCGCAGAGTTCGCATAGAATAATGAATATATACAAAAATATACCTAATACTGACAATAAGAAGTATCAAACATACATACATACTGTACATATACTAAGTACATAAAGATATGATGAGACTTACCAGGAGTGCAAATCATGAGATTGAGAATCGTAGAACAAGTATTGATGTCAAGTAGCAAACATATCAGAGAATGGATTTGCATTAAAACCAGAATTGTTCGCATGAATCGACACTACAAAACTCGAAATTTGGAAAATGGTTGAACTGTACTGAAGGGAAATTCCCGATCAAGTAAAACTGCGGTAAGAACGAATTGAAATAAATCAATGAAATATTTGATCTATAGAATAGAAATACTAACACCGATAAATAAGTAGAAGTCAAACAATTCTCGTGTGCAAGTTGTAGGGTACGGAATAAATATATTTTTATCAGTTTTATTTTCATGCACCAGCCGGCCTAGTAACCGAAAGAAAATGTCAATAAATTCGCATATCAGGGGCATTCCAGTGCAAACATTAAACATCGGTAAAAATAAGCATTAACCAGGTGGGCAATGTATTAAATTCATATTAATTCAAACCGGAATGAAAATTACAATGACGCTAAACTGAACTATGCCCATGAAATGAAGAATTTAATTATAATCTCACCCATGAACTCTCACCCTGTGTATTGTAACTCATGGAACGTCACTGGCCCTCACTGGTATTTCTTCAATTACTATAATAAATGAATAAAAGTTAAAACATGTTATAGGATAAATGCAAAATAAAAGAATGTTATCGATTCGTGCATCAAAACACGATGTTGGTTGTCGAAATGTGTGTGCACGGTGCATTCCACACGGCGAACGAGATAAGAACACACTAGTTGTAAACAAACACCGATAAGCGTCAATAGTCAGAAGATTGAACACAATGCTAGCTGGCAATATCGGCACAAGTAAGAAAGGCTTAGATTTTAATTTTTATATGAATTTACTATATTAATTAGGTTTTAAGACCGTATTGTTTGCAACGGAGCTGAGATACCGGCGGCGGCCATGATGCGTCTGAAAGGCGAACACATTCACGGCGAACGCGACGATATATCGGATACTGACAGACGCTTAGAATGAAAAACTAAATCAATTACATTTATCATTCTAACTTTAAATGAAGTCCAATGTTATTTACGCAAGTGCAGAATAAAATAAATAGCAATTCCTACCAATTGGAAGATGGCCGACGGCACTTCACAACAGGTAAACAACATAGCCGCGATACACTTACGCGCAAATAATAAATAACAATACTAAAGTTGTACTAAAGTCAAGTTAAAATTAAATAGTCAATTGATGATTGAATATAATTCGAATTGGAAAGTAGAAGTCCGGATAAACAATACGAGTCGCGCAAAATACGTCTGGATCAACCAGCGACCGGCACAAAACTGGCCGCAAGCTGCATAAGTAACGACGAGGCAGTTTATGATAAGAAAACAAGAGGTGCGCAAAGCCGGAGCGTCGATCAGACGCGACCTTGTGCGTGAATTGCAATAGATGCGCAAACTCGGCGGCGCGTCGATGGAACGCGACCTTATGCGCAAATTGCATTTGGCAGTTTACCTGGGATCAAAACTAAACTAAGATGCAGCAACATGCGGCGTGAGGTGCTGGCAACGACGACACACGGCAATGCGATAAGAAAGTGTATATTGTGTTCCAACAAACACAATGCTTTATTTTACAATTTTTAGTCCATGCTATTGCCATCTATAAATGATACAGTAGTTTCGAAATTTAGATTATTAAAGATAATAAAAAATTAAAATTCGATTTGCGTAATTCTGATTTCTTATGCTGACAGACTGCCAAATTTTAAATCAAATATTTAAGAGATATTTAATTTGAACATGCATCGTTTTTCCTTTACCAGGGAACACATTAGTCCGTAATCATCTGCTGATAATAAAAATGTATTAGAATTAAAATAAAATTGTTAGTTAGATTCATGAAAGAATTGAAGAATATTTGCTTAAATTTACGATCCTAATATAATAAACAGCAACGGTGTGTTTTGATTCCACGAAATAAAGATTCGATACCTGCAGGTAAACAAACTTATCTCTTGCGCGAAATCGCGTGATCCACACGGACACGGTGTGCACTCACTACCACCAACAAGCAATATTTAATGCAAAATCGTACATCGTAGCGCCATCTAACCTTTGAAAATATTTATCAACTTCAACTCTATCAGATAAAAATATAAAATAATTATATTTCCTACAGTAAAAGGTCGAAAAACGCGACTAAAAGTGCTAAAAAGTGACATTTTGCAATTTTTGCCCATTTTATTCAATCGCGAATATCTCGTAAACTAAAAGAGATAAATAAGATCTGATCGCAGCGTCTTAATCTACGGACCAATCTCTATCAGATAGGATAGTTAAAGTGGAAATCTGAGAGATGAAATTTTAAGTCTTAAGAAAAAATTGCCAAGGGGGGGTGCTTGATACTTTTTTTCGACGATTTTCAAAAATTCATATCTCTTAAACTAAAAGAGATAGCTACCAACGAATTGTTGATTATGAAAGATTGGAAGATTCTCTATCAGATAAAAATATAAAATAATTATATTTCCTACAGTAAAAGGTCGAAAAACGCGACTAAAAGTGCTAAAAAGTGACATTTTGCAATTTTTGCCCATTTTATTCAATCGCGAATATCTCGTAAACTAAAAGAGATAAATAAGATCTGATCGCAGCGTCTTAATCTACGGACCAATCTCTATCAGATAGGATAGTTAAAGCGGAAATCTGAGAGATGAAATTTTAAGTCTTAAGAAAAAATTGCCAAGGGGGGGTGCTTGATACTTTTTTTCGACGATTTTCAAAAATTCATATCTCTTAAACTAAAAGAGATAGCTACCAACGAATTGTTGATTATGAAAGATTGGAAGATTCTCTATCAGATAAAAATATAAAATAATTATATTTCCTACAGTAAAAGGTCGAAAACGCGACTAAAAGTGCTAAAAGTGACATTTTGCAATTTTTGCCCATTTTATTCAATCGCGAATATCTCGTAAACTAAAAGAGATAATTAAGATCTGATCGCAGCGTCTTAATCTACGGACCAATCTCTATCAGATAGGATAGTTTAAAGTGGAAATCTGAGAGATGAAATTTTAAGTCTTAAGAAAAAATTGCCAAGGGGGTGCTTGATACTTTTTTTCGACGATTTTCAAAAATTCATATCTCTTAAACTAAAAGAGATAGCTACCAACGAATTGTTGATTATGAAAGATTGGAAGATTCTCTATCAGATAAAAATATAAAATAATTATATTTCCTACAGTAAAAGGTCGAAAAACGCGACTAAAAGTGCTAAAAGTGGAATTTTTTTTTTGCTTTGCGAATATCTCCTAAACTTAAAAATTTTGTAGAAGCAAGGCACGCGACTATTTGTGTCACAGGTAGGTAATACGTGATAAATGTAAAACTTGTTTATAAACAGCAAATGTAAATTTGACCGAAAAATATAATTGAAATATAAACTTACCAGTGTACAGCAGCCAGTCCGATACTGCCAGGCACAACGTGTAACTAAACGAAAACATAAATTAAAACTTAAAACAACAACATTTCATACAATTTATATATATTATAATTAACAATCAATGCAAAATAAACAATCTGTGCTGTTAAGTTAAAAAATACTTACACGAGCCTGATGGATCCGTCTTAATGATGAGAATCAACATGGAGGCGATATATATTTTATTAATTTAGCAACCGACACCAAACACATTGCCGAGTGAAGAATGTTATAAAATTCACTATCACGTGACGATCAAAAACCGGCATTTCCGAACATTGATCTTCAAGTATAACACAAATTTAGAAAATGGAAGTCCGAATAAACACAATAAAAGTCTCTCAAAACACGACTGGATTAACCAGCGACCGGCACGAAACTGGCTTAATCCACCGATAGTGCATGCTGAAACAGCGTAAACAACGACGGGACGGAATGTGATAAGAAAGCAAGAGGTGCGCAAAGCCGTCGGCGCACGCGACCTTGTGCGCGAATTGCAATACGCACGATACATGCGATCAAAACCAAACTAGACTTACGCTGCATGCAAGCAAGTAGATGCGGCGCGAGGAGACAGTGCGCGAAGACTTATCGATTTTATGATTTATAGTGCCTTCTAGTGCCATCTATGAATGGCACTAGTATTTGGATACTAGTATAAATTTTATATATTATAAACTACAATTATTAGTAAAATAATATTTAATAGAAATGACTCTATTTGAGATTACATTTCGATAAAATACAAACATATGATATCTCCGCATACTTTTATTACAATTGTTTAGCTGACAATATTAAAAACATCAAACAATTACAAAAACCATATTTTGTCTAGCACTCTTAATATCGCTGACGTTAATATATTGCTTAATCGGATTTCCCTGAAACAATTATTTAACGCGCAATACAAATACAAGTACTAGTGTTTAAATGCATCAAATACGGTTCGGTATACTTAAGTATACTTAATTTCACATATTTTGCGACTATTGTGATAACCCAGCATTGACTTCTGTGATATTGATTCGTGGTAAGGAAGTATAGTGTAATTCAGTCTCTTTCTGAACAGTCGTACATCATAACAACACTTTTAACAAACATGAAGATCGAATTGGTTTTACTAATTGCGCTTTCTATAATAATACACGCCCAGGGTAAGTAATATTTTATACGTAATATTTTAATCCCTTTGATTATACATGCATTTTTATTTAGCACAAAGTTGCGATGGGAACATAGATAGAAACTTCTGCCCTGGGCAAGCCAACAGCATATCAATTACAAAGCAGACTTCTGAAGATGATAAAGGGATTCTCATTGTAACCATCAAATGTGTTGATAATTACGGCGAAGTAATTGCAAAATGCAGCGACAATATTCAAAGTCCTTTTCCCAATGTCATCATAAGAAGTTTTCAATATATTGTTGATAATAGAAAGAACCAGGACAGTGTTGTTAATGATGACGCAATTGAGACTTTCGAGTGAGTTTCAAAATAAATGTGCAAAACTATATGAATGTGATAGAAATAAATAGAGTTGTATCAATTGTAACTTGTTATAATTGTAAATTTACTAAGTTGTCTTACTCACACTCATTCAGACACATCAAATATCTTGGCTGCGCAATATTCGTGAGTTCATTTTGCTTTGAGATCTTGTTTTGCATGTGGCTTTGTTGTCAGGTTTCCTATAAACTTTCTCTGAAAATGTTTTATATATAATTTAAATAATATAAAACCAGCTGCTTCCATCAAAATACTACTTACTTTTGTACGGCGACGGCTTTAACAGGCCAGGAAAGTGTCCATGGTTTTCAAATGCCGGAAGAATAACATTCGTATCAATAGGAGTCCACGGCTTAAGATAAGGATCAACAATTTTAGCGTGAGAAGAATACTCCTCGTGCAAATCAAAGATGCTTGGAGCGCTACAAATGATACATACTTTTATAAACTGAATATTAAAGATAATAATAACTTACAAACTGTCAGTTGCTTCTTTCAGCAATGTTACAAATTTTCCATGTTTGGGTTCATGCCGTAATAAATATTTCCCTTCATTGTGATATGCCATACCCAAGAGTAGCTTGTACAACACAACCAATGCCTGGCGAGGATTGATTTGTTGATGTGCTGCTTCCTTGCTGATCTGTTCAAGATTAGCTTCTTCGATTTTGACAACTTCCGAAGTGCAATAATGCGTACGAACACGCTGAAGAACTGAGGCAGGACGGAAGGTTAGATCTGTCCACTGTGACATTATCTCCTGTTCTGTAAATACATTCGCACCATACTTTAATTGATATTCCATCTTGGGTACAATTGTGACCGCTTGTAATCCACCTTCACATGGCCGGCACGCATCGTTTTTGGTGCGTACGAGAACTTTGAAGGATTTACTTGATCTATGCTTGAACATACGACTATTTTCAACTTGCTTTTCTCTGAGAACCCACAGCTTATAAGCAACATTATGCAAAATACGGTCATCTGAAGATTCCTCTATTCCCTCATCAATTAATTTATCCGTACAATCATAGCGAAAGCCTTCCACTGGACAAAAATTGGATCGAACGAGAAGCTTATGACATCGCAAATTAAGATCCACTTTGGAAATTGTTTGTTTGAGAAGTGGTTTATCAAAAAGTAATAATTGTTTTGTATTACCATTTGATAGAGTTACATTCTTTATGACAAGTGGAATTGTCCATACCTGATTAGTATCAGTATAGTGTAATATCCTTTTTAATGCACTCAGTGATATTGCAACATCTGCTTCGCCAGTGAGTAAAAAGATTCAATATTTTTATCCTCGCTAACTAAAATAACAATTCACAAGTAAATATAGAATATATCTATTATATAACTGCAAATTTTATGAATAGACTTGCTTGGTGTAAACTTACTTGGCAATTTAGAGTAATAATTATTATTTGTTGAGGTAGGTAAGAGTTTGGCATCCAAAATACATGGTTCTTCAAGTAAAGGAGGCATATATTGACTGACTGCACCCTTCAAGAAAGATTTGAATTATTAACCTATATTCAATTATCAATCACTTCAAATTCACAAACCAGATCATGTGTGTTTGCAATATGTATCATTTCTACATCAATATCAGTTTCTGAATCATTCCATGGAAGTGAATCTGCTGGCGTATAGAACTGTGGTAGTTTTAAAATATCTTTTAATTTGTGCATTCGCTCAGTGAATGCAAATTTGTACAATGAATCATTCATTTGGATTCCACGTTTACAAACGAATTTCCAATTGTCTTCTGCCATTTTAAAAATCTTTTATTTTCCTTTAAAATATCAGCCTGACAATTCTAAAATCAGATGTATTAAATTTATCAGTAGAAATCATCACACCAATTAATTCTTTATAATACATACATTGAATAACTCTTTGTCACCGAGCTCAAACCTGTTCAGATTTAGCCTTCCTGATTTTTGCACTTTTAATGCATTTATAAATCTTTGATGTTCAATGGAATTGAACTGGGAAGTTTTACATTTAGGCCCAATATATTGAGAGTAATATTTTTTACCTGGGTAGTCATCATTTCCTCCACATCTCCTATGCAAAACATCAAATTGTTTTCGGATGCTTTTAATATTTAAGTTACCTGTGAGTGATTGGTGCATATTCGAAGAGACATAATCATGCTGTGTGAAGAAGTAAGTGTTATCGGTTAACAGATTCTCACGCCTGCAAAACAACAACAATAATTGATGAATTTAATATTCATTCACTATATTTACCAATTAATTGCTAAATACTCATCCATTTCAAATGAATAAGGTAAGTGTGGTTCGTGTAACCTCAAAGATGATAAACAACTGGTTTACTTGTGTATGTAAAAGTTCAAATATAAAGATAACATATAGAATTCCGCGCGAGATTTTAAATGAATATAATACCTGTATAACATAAAATTTAATCTGGACAGGAATGGATGCTGTACTTTTATCTAATGGTGAGTAAAATATTGGAAGCATAAGGAAGGTAATAAATTCACTAATTGAATGCTCATACTTTATTTAGCTCAGAATCAAAATTGAAACTTATTCCTTCTTTTCTCTGCAAGCCAAAGCATTGGTAATGCGATTGGTGGCCTTTTGGACTTCAGCAGCAATACAAGCTGTAACTTCATCACCCATTTCGGAGACCTTGGATTCCAATTTCTTGTTTTCATCCATAACACCCTCGAGGTCCTTCAGGAGTGCATCATATTTCTCAACTGAATCGGCTTCCTCATCGTAGAAGGCTTTGGTCTTCTGAATCTTCTCTTCAATGGAGTTAATAAAGTTGATGATATCATCATTACCTGCGACGCATTTCTTGCTGCCTTCAATGTAGGTGATGCTATCAAAGATATTCTTAAATTGTCCAGTTGCACAATCTAAGAAAGCGTTTTGCTCCTGGCCGTTGACAGCCATGGCCTTAAATTTAATTAGAATTAAACAAAGTTTATAAAGTTTATGAAAGGTGAATTATTACCACTGCTGAGAGGAAGTAAATTGCAACCCACTTATTCATAGTGAAATTTTCGATTAGAGCTGAAAATTAACTGATGGTGATGTGTGCTTTTCAACTGCTTTTATACTGTTTCAAATATCAATATCAATACATTCCTTGAAAAAAAAATGTTTATAATTATACCGCTTATAATTTAAAAGTTAAATTCGCGATTTTTTGGCATCCAAAAAGTTTAGATAAGGATTTTCCACTGGTACTGTTTCCATGTCATGCAAAGAACGTTAAAAATAAGCTTATTTACAGAAATAGTTACTGTAAACTTCATTAAAATACTGCTGTAACATCAAATGGAATATATTATCATTATAATTATTTTTTTAATATTAATATTTGGATAATCACACTTGATAATAAGTAAACTATGTGCTTTAAAACACAAAAATAACTCATTCAATATAATTGCAATCATTTATATTCTAAAACGGAAATAAGTTCAATCCAAGTATAGAAAATGTTTGATTGACTGTATTTTTTAAGAAATATTTGATTAATTAACATGCATTCAATTATAAATTACTAGATGAATGCAAATTTGTACCATAAATCATTCAATTGAATTCCAATTTTAAATATCTTCTATTTTCCCTAAAAATATTGATCTGACATCCCTACTAATATTATAAATGCGAAAGTCCTGATGTTTGTTACACTTTCACGCAAAAACTACTTAACCGATCATCATGAAAATTTGTACACATATTCTTAGTGGTCCCCGAATGGTTATAGGCTACTTTTTATTTAATAAAAAAAATTATTTTTAAAATAAAATAAAGAAATAGTTTAGCCAATAATACCTCTGCATCTGCCTATTTGACTACTTTAACGCCATCTAGCATTCCAGCAATGAAGCTCAAACCTAAGTACTATAGTACTTCTACTTCATTGTTTCTTCTTCTGTGACTACAGACGCGTACGGAAGCAACTTCATTATTTTAGATATTCGCGAGTGAAGCCGCGGGTTAAAGCTAGTTTCTAATACTTTGATGTACAATAAAATTAATTTTTCATGGAGGCAAATGTAAGATATTGAATGAAATTTACTGATTGAATGCTCATACTTTATTTAGCTCAGAATCAACATTGCAATTTATTCTTATTCCTTCTTTTCTTTGCATGCTAGTGCATTATTAATACGAGTGGTGGCCTTGTCTAATTCAGCTGCAATGCAATTTGTAGTAGCCTCATCACCCAGTTCGGAAACCTTGGACTGTAATTTATTGTTTTCCTCCAAAACACATTCGGCGTTCTTTAGAAGGGTGTCATATTTCTCAACCGAATCTGCTTCCTCATCATAGAAGACTTTCGATTCCTTGATTTTATTTTCAATGCTGTCAATAAAGTTTATAAGATCCTCATTGCCCTCAACGCATTTTTTGCTGCCATCGATGTAGGTGATGTTGACAAACATACTTTTGAATTGTGTGGTTGCACAATCTAGGAAAGCACTTTGTTCCTGGCCGTAGACAGCCATAGCCTTAAATTTAATAATAATTAAATAAAGTTTATTAAGTTTATGAAAGGTGAATTATTACCACTGCTGAGAGGAAGTAAATTGCAACAAACTTATTCATTGTGAAATTTTCTATTTGAGCTGAAAATTAACTGATGATAAAGTGTAGTGTTTGACTGCTTTTATACTGTGTAAGCCATCTATAAGAATACATTCCTCGAGTGAAATATTTGATAATTATACTGTTTTGAATTTAAAAATAAAAATTACTAATTTTGTGGGGCATCCAAGAATTTCAGATAAGGCATTGTTTCATGTCAAATACTACTTTTGCGTTTATAAAAATTATATGTCACGCACCTAACTGCATTCCACATGTCGCCAAAGTTAATAAACTTAAATAAGATATTATGTTGTTTTAAAGACATGTACAATTGTTTGGAATGCAAATATCTGCCACGTGCTATGATACTCCTACTGTTTCCATGTCATGGAAACAACGTTAAGAATTTGGTTATTTAACGAAATACTTACTAAAAATTGCATTGACATATGATTATAATCATATTATTATTAATAATTGGATAATAACACAAGATGATACGTAAACTATGTGCTTGAAAAAACAAAAAATAATTCAAAATAATTGCTATAATTTTCCGAAATGGAAATAAATTCTATCCAAGTATTGAAGGTGTTTGAAAGTAAAATAAGTAAAATTTCATTAAAAAATAAGATACCAGTCGTTGTACTTTATTCAAAACTGATAAATTGAGTAACCTAACCTAACCTAACCTAACCTAACCTAACCTAACCTAACCTAACCTATACTTAGAAACCCTAACTTATTTTACTTTGGAAAAAGTTTAATCTTGTAGCCAGTTTGTTATTAAAATCAAAACTACAATGACTGCTGCCCTGCCATTCTTTGCTTAATTTGTTTAATTGGTTCTCGATAAATGATTGCAATCCCAGCAATTTCTACTTTTATTCAAGTTGTTGTTGCCCCGGTAAGTAAATTAAAGTAAATTATATACTCAACAATATTTACTCCATTTATTTTCATGTATTTGTTAGCAGCAAATTTTTCAGTGACTGATTACTGATAAGGTCGACATGGACGCGGTCCCATTGGTCCACACCAAACAGGAGGTGGATATCTATTCGATGGCCCCATACCTGGCGGATGATCAACGCAAGCCGCGCAACAAGGATCATCATAAACACAACTGCATTCCTTCGGTTTAATATGCAGGCAGCAGGGACGTGTGCAACATTTGGGTGGGCAATACTTGCAGGGGTAGTTTTTAATCGTGAAATTCTTAGGACGAGGCGCCCAGAAACAACCCGGCTTTGGCTCCAAAGGCGGACATCTTGGTTCGCACAATATTCTTGGCTGGTCTTTCGGGTACTTTACCACAAAATATCCTGGTTTTGGTTCGCAATAACACCGGCAAAGCGGGTTCTTACCATCGAGGGTCTGACCTCTAAGACGATCAACACAATCAGAATAAGCCATACTTATTTTTATTAAAAAAAAGACTGAAATAGTAAACTAAAAATTTAAAATGACAATTATCATCAAAATTATTTTCTAAAGTGTCTATGGTTTTATAAATAATTTTATCAATTGTTTTTTGTCATTAAACAGACATTTAATCAAAATTAACCGCGATAATCGGCGGAAAATCAAATAAATTCATCGTCTTTCTCCTAAAGTATCAAAACTAAATTATCACCATTTTAAAATGGCCTACAATTACCAAATACCCAATTATTGTCCGATGTGCTCATCGTGCCTCAGTAGTTCTCACAACAACACGACTCCATGCTACTCTCAATACAATTGTGATCAATATTTACCATACCACTACTATCAATTCCCATCAAATCTACCAGAACAAACCAAACCCAGCACGGATAAACGCAAGAAACTTACCCGTTCCCAATCATCCTGTTGCATAAGTCGGGAGGCATGCAGAGGTAAGCCTGCATGTGCACACAACCTGTCGTCCCACAAGTGTTGTTCCAGTTTCCGAGCGGCCGTGCATCACCGTCCGCAAGAACGTCGTGGTAGTCAACCGCAATCGCGCGACTTCCCAGCATCGAGTTGCGATATTAATCGACTGATGGAAATGGTGCGTGATCCGCAATACTACAGCAGCAGCACGTGCGATTCTGCATCTTTATCTTCATTGGGAGATTCAGCTTCTTCTTCATTTTTACAACCTAAACCTACTCGTAAATTACTACTAACGGAAGACGGAAAAGTAAATTTTTTCATTAAAAATATAATATTACATAATAATTATAATTTTTACCATCAGGGAATTAATTGTTCGAATTGTGGTGAGAGTATGAACACTATAGTGACATTTAAACCCCCTCGCAAGTTGTTTAATTCTGGTGAAGAGAGCCGATCAGCAAAGACAATTGAAAATCGACCGACAAGTTCAATGCTGTTTTGATATCTCATCGGATTTTTGTTCATGTTCCCAGAAAGTGTGTGAATTATGTGCGAAGAAAATTGTGTGTACTTGTTCCAAGATAAGATGCTGTATGTGTTCTAAACTTAAATCAACTGCTGACCGCAAGATGTCTCTGGTGTTGGTCTGTAAATGTCCACAGACTTACAAACGCTGTGAGATTGGATCATTTCTGAGGTTTAATTCAAGTCCTGCGTTGGGTCAAGAACAATGTGATAAACTAGAATGCGCTAGCTGTGCTGGAAGATCATTTACATGTTAATTTTAATTTCGTAAATAAAAATGTTATCCCTACTAGTCCTGATGTTTGTTAGACTTTAACGCAAAAACTACTTAACCGATCATCATGAAAATTTGTACACATATTCTTAGTGGTCCCCGAATGGTTATAGGCTACTTTTTTTTAAATAAAAAAAATTACTTTTTAAATAAAATAAAGAAATAGTTTAGCCAATAATACCTCTGCATCTCGCTATTTGACTACTTTAACGCCATCTAGCATTCCAGCAATGAAGCTCAAACCTAAGTACTATAGTACCATCACACTGTATTATCACACTGTATTACCGACAGCTACGTCAACATCAAATCCAATTGACTACACTATGGAGACTGTACACTATACTTCCATAGACTATACTTTCAGCCATTTTAAACTTCCCGCCATTCTACTTCATTGTTACTTCTTCTGTGACTACAGACGCGTACGGAAGCAACTTCATTATTTTAAATATTCGCGAGCGAAGCCAAGGGTTAAAGCTAGATATCTATATGTTGTCAGTGTTTTAAAGTATTTTAGTCACGACTTTAACCATACGTGTTTAAAATGTCATTTTTTTCATTTCCACGCAATTTTTAAGTAAATTTTAAAAGTGTCTAAGGTTGTCATGGTGATAAATTTCCTAAAACAACTTCAATAACTTATAAATCAAAATCAAAGTGATCTGAAGTTGTTATGGTAATACAGTGAAACAAATGATCTGTTTGTCCACCCGCGATAGTTCAGTAATTCTAGGTCGTTCGTACAGAGCAAACGCAAAGCGCAAGCGCTTCCAAAATTTCCGTGCCCTCTCCCGCCCACGCCGTGTTTTCCCCATTTCCTTCCGTGAGGGGTGCCGCCACACAATAAAACCAAGATGTACAACGGGGACTACTGCTGCACGTGCTACGCGCCGTCGATGAACTACGTGCCGGTGAACCACTACTCGGCGATGAGCACCCAGACACCGGTCACGTGCACCATTAGCTATGGGCGACCCTTCGTCACTGGTTCGCCCTTGTGCAACTGCTGCTATTCGCAAGCGGCGTGCTGCGGTCAAGGTGGGTGTTGTTCACCTGGATGCTGCTAAGTAATTGAAAGCAGCTTAAAACACCGAAGAAAATAAAGAAGCTTGAAAAAATGCACTAATGAAGAAAAGCATTAAATCATTAGTCTGAATTTTGATCCAATGTTTCAATTAATAAATAATCAAGATGCTGATTTATTAAATTGAAAGATGCATGATTTATGTTGTTAATTAGTTTATTTTGTGCATGTTGGATCAATGGCTGCGTGCAATCTGCAGTTAAGAGGCGATTAATATGAAATAATCAAAAAATAAAGAAGGCTTTGCTATTTTTTTCAAGGAAAACATGCGTTTTATTTTATTTGGGACTAGCTGTTGCCCGCGACTTCGTTCCGGCAGTGTTTAATAAAAATGTAATTCGTTTTTACTCTCTTGTTCTAGACATACTCGTAGTAAGAGTCAATTCTATCAATAAGATTAGCAATTTTAATTTAAAGAAATTATGCATATAAAGTTTAGTCAATAATGCACTTCAGCGCGCCATCTCGAATTCAACTATTTAACTATAACTATGATTGAATCTCAATATCAAATTTTATTCGATAGAAAAGAGCTGTTTTGAGGATTTTCCCGGCAATTATTCGAATTTTTCTCACCTTTTAAACCTTCCCTAGACCTCCACGAATAATTCAAGACCAAGATAAGATAAATGCGTTCAGCCGTTCTCGAGTTTTAGCGAGACTAACGAATAGCAATTCATTTATATATATATATAGAAAGATGTTGCTGTTGAAATTAATTTTTCATTGAATGCGTGTAGCCGTTTTTTAGTTCTTATATTGTCAAAAAATATTTTTTGGTGGCGCTGCTGTCGCATTTCAGTCAAACCATTTACAGACCACAAAATCTTGGAAAAAAAACAATCCCGCATCTTTTAATTTATATTAGGTCTTGATATATTTATAAACAAACAAATAAAATGAATGTCAAAGCCTGTTTGTCGCATTAAAATCAAGTAAGCGTTTATCCGCTTTAATGACAGCTGGTTGACAGGGCCACCAAAATGGTACTATCTTTTTCCGTATGCATGTATTATAACCGTCGAGTACCTAAGATGATTTTTAATGGTAAAAACCTGCACCTAGTCTGAATGGAATAAAAAATGAATTAAATATTGTTTAAAATATTAATAGAAATAAATGAATCTGGCAGCACTGACGTTCCACATTTGTCCCGCTGCGTGCTTGTTTCAAAATTCAAATTCAAAGATGGCGTCAATCAAAGTCCGAAACAATTGCCTCAAAATATAATACAGTTTGTGATATGGGTAGCTGCGAAACGGAGGAAAACAATTATTTCAAAATCAAACATAAATATGCATAGATCCAAGTGGCAGTAAGTGTAGCAATTTTTTGCTGCGTCAATTATCAAAATTTCAGTGATCATTTCGGCACATCGATTCCGAAAAATCTCAATATAAAGACCCACACCTGAGAAGCCGACAACGAGCCGACACGACCACAAAAGTCAAAAGAGGAATCGACGACGTCGCCGAATACCGAAGCGCAACGGTCCAGCAGCAGAACCGGAAGCTGAGAGAACCATAAAACAGCCCCCTCGACGAGGTACTCCATCCATTCGGCATAAACATGTCGTGCTGCGGCGCTTACTCGTACACCTACTGCCTTCCATCCTGTGCTTATGTGCCCGTCTCCTACTACGCCCCCATTCCGACGGCGACACCGATCACCTACACCTACAGTTTCGGCAAACAATTCTCAACCGGCTATCCATGCTCCGGGTATCCATATTGTTGCAGTAATGGTTGTTGTACGGGCGGGCCGTGTTGCTAACGGCGAGCACTAAGAATGTACACATCTTTTAATTCTACACCTGCAATATATATATTTACGCATTGTTGCCGAAACTGATTTTATTAAAGAAAAATGCATATTAAACGTTTGTTTCGCGTGTTATTATCAAATACATAATCAGAAATTATTTGTTTATTAAATCTAGTTTACTTACTTTGTTATCTGTATCCATGGCAACGTAATTTGACAATCAATATTAATTTTTTAATATCAATCAAATATCAGAATCAGTTTGAGATCCACTAAATTCTCAGTGTTAAAAAATATTTTTCAAAAATGAATTCCAACGCGACTATTGACAACCAGTTGAACACCAAGCAGAATGGCAACCAGAACGCACCCGCCACGCTGAATGAAGACAGCACGAATGGTGCGAATAACGAATGTGTGAGCGGACACAAGAGGAGACTTGACGCAGTCGTACTGGGACCTAGAAATGCACAATGCATATCAAAGGATGGAATGATTTGCTGTCCTTGTTCCGAAGGCATAAAGTATTCGTATTTCGCGCCGACGCAGTGCTACGTTCCGATGGAGTACTACGTGCCTGTGCAGTGTTGCGTTCCGGTCGAGTGCGAGATTCGTTACGGCACGCCGTTCATTCCCGGCAAAGATAACCCTGCTTCAAATTGTAACTGATTGTGTTGAGATATTAAAATATATCATTTTGTTATTGGAAATTGTCCACGATAATAACATGTATTTTATTATTTCGGTCATACGCTGTCTACTTTGGGTAAGTAAAAAAATACACATTAAACATTATACTCGTAATATAAATATGTTTCATTAAATGGGATTACGCATAATGGCCGCGCCTTCTCTCATTGCGAATTGAGCTGCTCAGACAGAAGGAAAAGATGGCGGCGATCAACTCAGTAGCGCAGAGGCCAATTGCAACGTAGCCAAGGATTTCAACGTTGTCCTTCAGTGATCGGTATAATTTCTTGTTGCAAGCATCGTCGAAGAAGGACCGATCTGCTTGGTGGCATGACTGCGGTTTACCTTCACAGCAACTGGATGGCAGTTGCGTAAAGTCTCCGGGGCCGTTATTCCCGCAGCATTTAAGCTATTGGCAAAAAATTATTGTTTGAGTGATATGTTTTTTTATATCGTTGTAAAGAATACTTACAACTTGTTGCATGGAATCGATAGCGTCTGTGGTGGTTTTATCACGGCCGTACTTTGCGTAGGCTTTGTCCATTGCCTTGTAGATTTCCTTTTTGAAGCTTCCATCGCTTTCTTTTACCTGCAGGAAAGCAAACACGCCCAATGCTATTTGTAGGATGAAGATGGCGAGGAGTATCACACCGTACTGTGAACAAAAACAATATTTAAATCATTGGTATTGATAGATATTAGTTTTAATTTAAACTTACGGTAGTTAACATGCATGTGCTCTCTGATGGCGCCACAGCATCCGAAAAATGAGATAACGAATACAATAGTACCGACGACGATTACAAAGGTCGGTGCTAATGCGTAGGTTCTATCATCGATTGCGTTTGTGATGTCGTTCAATTCCAGTTGGTACAGGATACCAACAGCCAACATCGCCAGCCCAGCAAGCTGAAAAAGAAAAAAACAATTAAAATGTGTAAAAATACTTATTTTAATTTTTCTTGTATAAAATAGGCAACACACACATCATGGCATCCACTGCGCAGTGAAATTAGATGATTTCGAGCAAACTTTCGGTTTTAGTCTAGTTTTAGGAGTAAGAATTTGTATATAAATCAGGTTAGTCGGTCAATTCTGAGTTTTTTTTATTGAATTACTAAATTAAGAAAGCATTTGAAGACTATTGGTCTATTAAAAATGTCTCAGACAAATATAAAACTTAATTTCATTAAAAAAGCAATGTAAAGTGTAACACGGGTTGCCCACTTTTCGCACATACAAAAATTCATCTACATTTGTAAATGTGTTGCAACATTTTAAATTTTCAAGGTAGGAAGTGTGTAGGTATTGAAATAGCGTACATATGTGTATGTATAATATCCGGTGTTAGTCATACGCTTAAACTAACTAGGGAGTAATGTTGATTGACGTGAATTTATAATTCTTGGAGCCAAGGTTTTTCGATTTTATTCATCACCGGCGTGCAGGCAAGGTGATTAGTTCTACCTTTTGTAAATAACTTACTTATGTAAGACGTAAAACAATTTGAAAGTAACCAACGCATTGTATTTGTGTTGTACGAGTATCCGAACATTGCAAAGTGACAAAAGGTAATTGCATTACAATGTACTGTTTACTGTCTCATTTAGTGCTCATTAGTTTGTAGAGTAAATAAGGATGAGCACCTCTTTAACGTCAGCGTATGTGGATATTTTTATCAGTTATACTGGGACTTTCCTTAATGTTATCTTTACCGCACCGCACCTGTTGACAATTTATTATATCACGTCAGTAAACAACACGCTGTAAAACCAATTAATTCTATGCGTCATACTGTATATAAAAGAATTATGAAGATTAATTGTTGATTATAGAATAACTTAATTCATATTGAAAAAAACAATACTTGCAGTGATGAATTGAATTTGCGAGGAACTTAAATCAAAGTATAACAGATGGCGCTGTAGTAGGTAAATATTATGTGTGGGCATAGTTTATTAATACAAGCATTTTAGTTCAACCTTGGGATGCAAGTGTGTTTGTGCTGGATGTGGAGTGATATAGATGATGGCTTTGCATAATGACACTGTGTTTATTACTCAGTAAATTGTGAAAACGAGAATTTAATAAATGATAAGATGGCAACTTTCATGACATGCGCAATAAGTCACTTAATTAAGTTTTATCTTGTTCAGACTCAAAATGGCTTACGTATTCAATAAAAAAAAGAATGAAAAAGGTGCTGAATTGATAAATGCGGCTTTCTTTTTATTAAAGTACAGAGCCTGTGTTGATTCTAGGTTGTCCGGAACAGTTAGATACAAACATATAACTCAAGTTAGTCGTTTTGCCACGAATACCCGTATACTCTTTAAAACCAATTGTCAATTGTCAAAAATTACACAAACCATAATGTGAAAAATAATCAATATTTCACGTAATTAATATTTACACATAATATCACACGAACCAAATAACCTGATACAATAAATGTTATCATTTTTTATTTCAATTCACAATTTGAACCGGTTCCGACCTGTTTGTTCAGCTGCAATTGCGCAATAATTAAATCACGTGCACCTATATATATAAAACCACGAAGTACACAGTATTTTACAATGAATTAAATAACCTTTATTAAAAATGTTTTGATGTTTTTACTTACGGCAAAGACGAGATTGAATAAGAACACTAAGTATTTAACGATTCCACTTGCGCAACCCATCTTGTATGTATATTTGTTTCACTGGCTAGACAAAACAAGTAATCCAATTTTTAGAAACCTAAACGATGTAGACCGCACTTTTGTCCCGCTTTTGTTGCGAGAAATGTTCTATACTTGTTGACGCGTACACTGCTAGCACAACACCCACCGATAGACACAAACTGGCAACCGTGGCACAAACAGTGTGTAACACGTAAAAACTCAATGGGAGGGAGGCAGGTGAACAGCAGCGGTGATCAACACAGTGTACATTCGCTGGTTTCAACAAGTTGCGTTGAACTGCTCGGAATACTTGAACGTCGCCATGAGCCATGAGAGTATTTATTCCTGATATGGAGTATCAACATTGCGCAGCGTACCGAGTGCAAAACTCATATCAGCACTCTAGGTTTTTTTCATATGCGATGTAAGTTGAGCTTGTTGATCATGCGCACACAGTATAAGTAATAAATTTAATTTTGAGTCTTGTTACGCGTGCGTTGACGCATCATTTGTGCTGGTTTGGAAGGCTTTCGAGTGGAAGTAATAAGATAACAGAAATTAAATTATTGATGTGGAATTTGTCGAAAATAACATGTCAAAATTTGATTATACTGACAAATCAGCTTATTATGCATTAGTTTTGTTCCTAGCCTGAAATAGCTCAATTTAAAAAATGATGTAATTTTTATAAAAATAGATTTTCTAAAGTATAAGCAACGAAGCTGCGTGGGAAACATGAAAAAATTTAAAAAATTTAAAAAAATTAAATATGTTTTGACCTGTCATGTGTCATTTTTCTTTCAAAATAATGACATTACGAGAATTTATTAAACCGAATAATTTTTATACGTGTAGCATTGAAACGCGTTCGTAAATTGTTAGGATTATGATGTTATGGATTATTGAAGTGGCGTGAGTCACCTTCCTACTTATGTGATCGATAATCAGTCTATACTGGAATTAATGTGGATATGGGTTTTTCTCAATTCAATTGTATTACATTTAATTATTGTTATTCACGAATTCTTTACCAATGACATATAAAACTCAAGTAGTAGCTGTCAACTTGTTGAAAGTGCCAGTTAGTCATTTATTGATAACGGTGAAAATAACTCAACAATAAATATCCCAACGGATTAAATATTTCAGAGAATGAATTTTGTAATAAAAATTTGTCTCAATAAGAAATTGTGATGATGTTTATCATGGCAGTTTATTTTGAAAATTGGAAAAATTGACATTGGCAGTAAATATTGTTCAAAATAATAACCAAATTCCTTTTTTGCGATATAAGATAAAAGGAAACTGTAATGTTTTGTTGTTTTGCTTTTGACGTGTGACGTATATCGTCATTTGACAGGTGACACCTACGTGAACAGTGGGCCTAACCTAAATTTTATATACTTGTATACATCTAACTGGGTACAACCATAGAGGGCGCTTCAAGGTTATTTTGATTCCAGCCAAGAATAGCATTCTTAAAGTGTGTTAAGCAATAAAATTAACCAATTCACCATGAAATTATTTCAGGGACACGAGATTCAGTCATCGTCAGACACATTTACCACTAATTCTGATAATAGAAATAGGTGTTTGTGCTGGAAACTGTTTTGGAATTCCCAAATCTAATTTGCAATCGGAAATACATTGTGTACATTGTGAACATTTTTTATCAACCAAACAACTGCCATAGATAACGCAGTTTCGTAATGAAATATATGCATTCATTAGAAATATGTATGTACACATATGAATATTATCTAGAATCATAACAATGTCGTCACTACACATGGCGCACCAGCACCCAAAACGCACAAACAATATTAGTCACTCTTTTAAGTTTAAAATGTGTAAATTACTAGACGGAAATGTTGCTGTGATTCATATTAATTGAATTTATATCATTTGTTTTCTCATAAATTTTATTATCATATCATCGTCATCTAAATATATATAAATTAATTGCTGTTCGTTAGTCTCGCTAAAACTCGAGAACGGCTGAACGGATTTATCTTATCTTGGTCTTGAATTATTCGTGGAGGTCTAGGGAAGGTTTAAAAGGTGAGAAAAATTCGAATAATTGCCGGGAAATGCCTCAAAACAGCTCTTTTCTATAGAATAAAATTTGACATTGAGATTCAATCATAGTTATAGTTAAATAGTTGAATTCGAGATGGCGCGCTGAAGTGCATTATTGACTATACTTTATATGCATTATTTCTTTAAATTAAAATTGCTAATCTTATTGATAGAATTGACTCTTACTACGAGTATGTCTAGAACAAAAGAGTAAAAACGAATTACATTTTTATTAAACACTGCCGGAACGAAGTCGCGGGCAACAACTAGTTGAATTATATTTTCGTAATTTAGTTACTGACGATGCTTACTGTATGTCCACCAGATGGCGCGCACGCAAATTTTAATTTCTCTGAGAATTCGTAACTTTATTTCATCGTTTTCCTACATTTTTCTTCTTCAATCATAAAAATTAAACATTGCATAATATGTATGTATATTTATACTTATTAAATGTTCCATTATACCATTAGATGTTCAATTCACATCTGCATCAGTATCATAACCAAACATGCGATATCGATAATCTACGAAAAAAGATAAATATTTACTAAACAAACAAACACTCACTAAAAAGCTAGCAAACAAAGGTAACGAAATGTTTACACGATAAATTGCCATGTACAATATCGCCAAACAACTGTTATTTCATCATTTAATTTATTATGACATGACAGCTGTCAATAAATTCATTTCTTAGAATTTAATGTAATTGTCTACTACTCTAGGAATTGCAAGGTATGCAACCATATTAACACAATCATTACCTGTAGAAATGAATATACAATCATACAGCCTCCAATTTCAAACGAGATGCGTTTTATGTTGAGCACTACTGTGACCGCGCATCCGTTCAGCTCCTGCATGCTGGGACTATAAAAAATGCGATGACACAGAGTTTCATTGTGTAAAACCAATGCGTCGTCTTTATAATCGTTGACGCTGTTAATTCCACAGCAACTAAACTAGAATAATACAAAAGGTAAAGTAGGAATCTGTATTAATTCATCTAATAACATGCTTTATATCAGTGTTGTGTCACAGAATTTAAAATCAAAAGTTACCGCATTATGTGTTTAAATTGTTTATCTGTATATAAAAATATGGCAATGTTGAATGTTGATATCTCCGTGTTTACACAGCTTGATATTCTGTTTTGGGGATTGAGTGTTGTGTGTTTGTACTTGTAGATCTACGATAATCGCTGCAAAACATCCACAAAACATCAAAAATGAATCACCAATCGATTGCAGCAATACTCACATGCTGTTCCAGAATATAAAAACGGTCACGCGTTTTTGCGTCATGGTCTAACAATTGTGTCATTTTCATGCGCGTGCTCGTAGTGGAAGGCTCAGTACCATTCATAAACGCCATGCAGCCGATTGTTAACTCAGCAATCAGAAGTAAACCCAGAAATATTAAATACTAAAAGTAAATTAATTTTAAATCTAATTTTCATGATGATAAAGTTGCCTACGTACAATTCGGAGGAATGTCACATTACAGTTGCGTACAATACAACAGCCGACCATTGAAGAAATGAAACTTAGGGCTCCTAAAATGATCAGAACGATTGGTAACTTTAAGAAACTAACTTTAGTCACGTAGATTTCTATCAGGGAAAGGTCGTCAATGTATACAATGCCCAGGCCAACAAGAGAAGCACTCAATAACTAAAAAATTAAATTCAGGTTTAAGTAAATTTATTTATTTTATTCTTAATTATGTTTACTTACAGCAAAAATAAAATTAAGTGCAATTAGCAATGCTTGCAGAACATTTTCGTTGACCGGAATCTTCATATTTTTAATTATTAACAAATTAATTAAGTTTTAAGTAATTAAGCATTTGTGATAACTTTATCAATCACATTGGTATATCACAAAATAATCTTAAATATTGCAATATTTTAGATATAATTATTAACTTTGTGTATTTACTGTAATGTTGTATGTCAATTTTTTGAACTTTGTAAACTACTCGCTTGTTGATGGCTTCTGCGATGGGAAATTACTTTGTTTTGCGCAGAGAATAAAATAACCTGATTTAGTTCAACAAGGCATCACTGCGCTGATGATAAGATAAGAGTGTTTTTTAATAATGGATAATCATGATTTTATTAAGTGAATGTTTAACCAACCGACGCATGTTGTTATCTACAACAAACGCCAACAAGCTGCACTCTGGCGTTTTCAATCATTTATCTGAGAGAAGGTGATACCAAATAGAAAAGTATCTATTATCAATTTTATTCAGCCATTCTTTTAGAGAGTTTTCGCGTCTTTCTGTATTTTTACGACCGAAATCGTATTTCGGCCATGATCTTAATTGATTCCAGAGGTACTCATCGCGACATCTCTTGTCAGACGACAGAATCAACAAATTTTAACATATGCGTTGTGTAATTTAAACTTTTATCATTTTATTCAATCGCAAATATCTCGTAAACTAAAAGAGATATTTAAGATCTGATCGCAGCGTCTTAATCTATGGACTATACTCTATCAGATAGGATAGTTAAAACGGAAATCTGAGAGTTGAAATTTTAAATCTTAAGAAAAAAATTGCCAAGGGGGGGTGCTTGATACTTTTTTTCGACGATTTTCAAAAATTCATATCTCTTAAACTAAAAGAGATAGCTACTAACGAATTGTTGATTATGAAAGATTGGAAGATTCTCTATCAGACAAAAGTATAAAATAATTATATTTCCTACAGTAAAAGGTCGAAAAACGCGACTAAAAGTGCTAAAAAGTGACATTTTGCAATTTTTGCCCATTTTATTCAATCGCGAATATCTCGTAAACTAAAAGAGATAATTAAGATCTGATCGCAGCGTCTTAATCTACGCACTATTTTCTATCATATAAGATAGTTAAAACGGAAGTCTGAGAGATGAAATTTTAAATCTTAAGAAAAAAATTGCCAAGGGGGGGTGCTTGATACTTTTTTTCGACGATTTTCAAAAATTCATATCTCTTAAACTAAAAGAGATAGCTACTAACGAATTGTTGATTATGAAAGATTGGAAGATTCTCTATCAGACAAAAGTATAAAATAATTATATTTCCTACAGTAAAAGGTCGAAAAACGCGACTAAAAGTGCTAAAAAGTGACATTTTGCAATTTTTGCCCATTTTATTCAATCGCGAATATCTCGTAAACTAAAAGAGATAATTAAGATCTGATCGCAGCGTCTTAATCTACGCACTATTTTCTATCATATAAGATAGTTAAAACGGAAGTCTGAGAGATGAAATTTTAAATCTTAAGAAAAAAATTGCCAAGGGGGGGTGCTTGATACTTTTTTTCGACGATTTTCAAAAATTCATATCTCTTAAACTAAAAGAGATAGCTACTAACGAATTGTTGATTATGAAAGATTGGAAGATTCTCTATCAGACAAAAGTATAAAATAATTATATTTCCTACAGTAAAAGGTCGAAAAACGCGACTAAAAGTGCTAAAAAGTGACATTTTGCAATTTTTGCCCATTTTATTCAATCGCGAATATCTCGTAAACTAAAAGAGATAATTAAGATCTGATCGCAGCGTCTTAATCTACGCACTATTTTCTATCATATAAGATAGTTAAAACGGAAGTCTGAGAGATGAAATTTTAAATCTTACTAGGGATACTATGATACTTTTTTTCGACGATTTTTGATAATTAATATCTCTTAAACTAAAAGTGATAGCAACCAACGCATTGCAGCATATGAAAGATTGGAAAATTCTCTATTCGATAAAAGTTGCTAAGAATGTTTCAGAACAATTCCAAAAAGAGCATAAACGATTTTAACTTTATTTCAGTGTATACATTGATTTGAAATTTATTTGAATTAAAGATGATAAAAAATTAAATAATGGCATATACATACATACAAAATAAAAATAAATATTTACATACTACACATGCGTATCAAGTCCGTGTTCTATATACTCAAAAATAAAAGCAATCATTTGTAATATAACATTGAATACATGTTATAACTGCTTAAACCGCTATTTTAAAATCTCCTAATTGTAGACCCAATTGTCAGTTCCTTAATTTAACGTATGTCTCTATATGTCTACAATTCTTCTTCAGCAATATGCAGATTGGCATGACCAGTGCTGCAAGGAATACTCGGAATTTGAAATCCTTGCTTAGCGAAACCCGAATAACCCGGCGCAGGTTCCGAAGGTACCACAGGTTTGGTTTCTGTCACTACAGCTTCATTTTTTTCATCATCTACTTCATTTTCTTTAGTTTGATTCAAAGGTAGAACAAATTCAAGCGCATCAACCGTAGGAAACATAACTGGATGCGCATCATCACTCAAAACTGTCGGCGAAAACGGATCTTCCATAAATTGTCGCCTATTGGGAGTTAAATCATCGGCTGTGCTGTTTTCAGCGCTCATATCCGAGAAATCAATGTCATAGTTAATATTAGACAAACTGGATGTATTCCTAACAGCGCCATCTACGTCAGACTGCTCCACAGGGCTTGCAAAGTTTAATAAATCACCATCGGACTCTTCAACCTTTATAATAGCAGGTGGTTTATTACATTCAGATAATTCAGATTGCCCTGATGTAGATGCATTCACATCCATGGTATTGACAATATCCAACTTGAAATTAGCTTTTTTATCGAGGGCAACACTGAGATTCTTGAGATTGAACTCGTAGAACTTCGTCTCAATATCCTGGGAGCCATCTTGCGTCGGGTTTGCTAACGATAGTAAATTATCAACTGATTTGATGTCTTTGGATAGTGCACCTAACATTGGAAGTGATTTCCTTGGTTTTATTATTAACGGGGTACGTGCTAGAACAGCTTGGACCTGCGTAGATACTTCATCCTGTAAAGAATCAATTTTTATTTATATTTACTTAAAATTTAATTTAATTAAAAAACTAACTTGTAACAAAGAAATCTTGTCTCGTATCTCGCCAGTTTTCATGCGAATCTCATCAGTGCGTTCGGTAAGATCACGCAACAAACTCAAATGTTCGTTTAATTGATGCATACCTTCACAGGCAACCAAAGCAGACTCCCATGCACTTACAGTTTTAATATCACCATTCATATACGCCTGAAACTCAGCGTCTTTCATATTTAAAGACTCCGCTGTCAAATTTTCAATGAACGAAATCGCACAACACTAAAACAATTAATTTTACTTTAAAAATAATTTCTTTCAGCACCAGATGGCGACACTTACCAAATTAGTAAAATAATACCCAGTCTCCCCTTGCATCAGTCGACTATCATTACAAAACCTTTGAATATACAAAATATTACTCTTCAATCTTGCAGGATTTGCTTTAAGGACAACAAAAATCAACGCCGGTAGAAAATCATCGGCGCTCACAGGACTCTCCTGACAGTTCTGCAACACTTCCAACACACTCCGACAACACCTAACCACACACAACAACTTCTCCTGTGGGGCTTTCACTGAATCCATCCCGATTAAATCAGTTATAGCGGTGTAGACTAAATCTCTGATATGGATACTAGTCTCGCTTATACAGCAATCCAGATGATGCGCGTTCACCCAACTCAGTTTCCGAATACGAGCCTGAATGATGAGATCGCGTTCCTCGTCATTTGTATGCGGTGGGCAGAATATGTGCTCGTAGGTGCTGGAAGTGACAAACTTCTCGAAGAATTCCAACATGTGGACTTTGTCTTGTTGATCCACAGGTTGGTAAACTTGGTTGTTGAGGCGACCTGCAAATACGTTGTAATATTTCTGCGCACACTCGGAGATTTCTTCGATTGGGCGATTGTTGTCTACTTCGTGGATTATCTTTGAATATAGGTAATTGACTTGTTTGAAGAAGTCTTTATTCACGTGTTCGGGCAACACGAACGTCTTGAAATATTCAACGGTGAGTTTTTCTGCTTCTGGGTTTGAATGGACTGCTTCATAACGATCAGATCTGCCAAAATCTATAAATTTATTGGTTTTAGTAAGAATATCAACCAAAATAACCATTAAAAATTGTAGTATTAAATGATTTTCTGTGTTATTTTGGTGTAAATACTGTAATAATTTGAGAAAACTTCTGAATTACTTAGATTTTCATTGTTTAATGTTAAATTAATGAAGTTTACCTAATTTTTTAAAGTTAGGAGTCAAATTCTTGATCAATTTGTTCTTTTTATCAGTCTGTTGGCGTTTTTTTTCCTCAAATTTCAAAAACTCAACATGTGGCTTGCTGTTGCTGCTGCTGGAACTCCCAGTTGATTGCCTATCAACTTCCTTTGCTTTCTTTTCCCTCTTTTTCTGCCTCTCTTTTTCCAGAGCATTGCGATAACACTGAGAGCAAAAACCTAACAACAAAATACAATTTAAAATACATACATTTAACATTTTCATTAACCTACCATCCCAATCTGCATTCCCATAAAATCCACAGCCTCTTTTGCATTTTAAATCAGCAGAGGTGATCCTCAATGATGGTGATTTCATTGAATACATTTTGATTGCTATTATTTTCTTTAACAAACACAAAAAACGTTGTATTTTTTGTACCTACGTTTAGTCCTTAATTGTGAGGAATCACATAAATTTTCGTACGTTTTTATCAACACGGGGTCACTAGCATCACGCTGTAATCACATTTGCTTTCAACAACATTAAGAGCAGTCCACAGCAAACATGTTATTAACTCACTGGATTGGCTGGACAAGTGCATGGTGATATAAGTCAACAATATAAGTACGCAGTTGTAAAAAAAGTGTTAAGATACGTAGAATCAACGGCAGAATCGGTGCAATCTTGGGTGTAATCATATAAATTCCATAAACAATAAAAACCACTTTGACCGACCTTGTGATTATTTATTTTTGACATATTGACAAGTTAAACTTTTTGTTTTTATGTTGGTATCATTGCTACTACAGAAATTAATATATTTCAATCTCAAATTAATTTATTTTCTTGGTAAACTACGTAATTTATAGTTTATATTGTCTGTATTCAAATTTTTAATCATTTTCTGGTAAATTAAAAACAAAAATGTTATTTAATCGCAAAAAATTTAAATAAATTTAATTCAAATTAATTAATAACTTTAAAATATACGTAATTTGTAACATTTATATTGTAGTAATGTCAAATAATATTGTTTTTTAAATTTAAAACAATTAAAACCCTAATATTGCAAACTAAATTTAGTGACTTTATTTTGTAACTTTATGTTGGTTGCATTGTTGACTTGTCACTTGTTTTTCATATTTGACAGCTCGTATGACAAAGTTTTGACTTTCGCGTAGTGCGTTTAAATGTGTCTGTGTATGTGCCGTGGTATCGTGTGTATTAACAAGAGATCTCGCTTCGTTTCCTATCCATGAACGCTTTCCACACCTTTCACGCGTAGGGAAAGCGGAAGAATCAATCGGCAGCGCAAACAGTAAACAGAACGTGCGACTGGCTTCACCGACACTGGCGAATTTCCAATGATAACGGCTGCAAACGACGTCTCTAGTCTCGCGTGAGAAGCGAAATGGCCAAGCTGGTGGACGTGTATCGGTCCTCAACACATCTCAGCCGACGGCAGTTGCCCCTCGAGGTGGATGAGTCGCTAACGGTGAGAGTTCTTATTATTTCTGTACTTTCTTCATATATCTATTACGTAAATAAGGGAATATAATTGTTTATTATCGTCGTGTTTTTAAAGTGTCTTTTATAACCTAGAAAATTCATTTCCTAATATTTATTTTAGATGGTCATGGATTTGAAGTCGTTTGGTTTAATTGCTGATACTCAACAAGTAAAAGGTAAAGAGTTGGATGAAATCAGCCGGAAAATTGTCTTGCTCACGCCCGCCGAGTTAAAAATGGCACTGCAAGTGTCGCGTTTAGAAATTCTTCATGTTCTAAACCAGTCAGTTCCTTGCGTTGGATGCCGCCGAAGTGTCGAACGATTATATTACAAACTCTTCAAAAACGACTACCCAACATTTGACCCACTCATCATCCATTCAGAAGGCATCGTCACAATCCGCGAAGACAAACAGAACTCACCCCAATTCCTTAGCAGTATATTCCATGGTCACAGGTGAGTTTAAAGATGTTTAGTTCTAAATAAAGCTGTTTTGAGGTGTTTATTAATTGCGTGCATGTGTTGTGAATTAATATTTGATTTTGCAGCGCTCGCTTGAATAACCTAGTTGACAGTCAGCCGAGAAGGAACAAAAAAAGCCACCGCTGCCTGCTGCATTCGCTCGACTCGCAGCGCAGCCGGCCGATTACGCCCGCCTGGCGCGACGTGTGGGATTGCATGCGTGCGGAGTGCAAGCGCGATGTGTGCACCATTAAAGATGCCAGTCTGCGTGCCACGCTAGAGACATACTTGCGGAAACATCGGTTTTGTGGGGATTGTCGGACGAAAGTACAAAAGGGTAAACATTACTAAAACAATACTGACCATTGACTAATTGTGATAATTTAGTGATGAATATGTTTCTATTACTATGAGGTTGTTATTGTTTTTTGTTTGTTGCAGCATACAGCTTGCTCATTGAGGAACCGGAACCCAGCAAGGAGAAATCTTATGTTGGTGCGCTTTATGCAGGAATCAAGCCGTGTATCGAGCAGAAGCACATTCATCTTCAAACCAAGACTGAGTATATTGCTAAATTAATTGGACGGGCTGAACCTGAACTACTTGGAAGGTATGTCATTTTCGTGTATGACTGGTTGCCTACATTATCATGTGTAGATTTCTACTTACCACACAAAATTAGGTTACATTATTTTTATTAAATTTTTGATTAAAATTTTGCAGCCGTCGAGAAAGACATGCGAAAACCTTAGAAATCGCTCAAGAAGAAGTCCTTACATGCATCGGCATTTGCATGTACGAACGTCTTCATCGCATTTACATGCGGATGAAAGAAGAGGAGTGCACGTGCCAAGTATTCGCCGCCGTCGCTGTGGATGCGCTCTGTCGCAGTTTCGAGACTGCCGTTGAGCGCAAACAAGGCATCTCGCAATTGGAGTTGTTGTATGCTGAGCTCACCGCGAAGAGCAACAGAAACAAATTCGTAAAGAACAAAAAAGCTTAAACGAAAACGAAAGAAAGGTAAGGCAGGGGATGCGGCCGGTAAGGAGAACTGCAACGAGGAGGAATGCCCTGTGGAGTTTGATGAAAAGGATGAGAGTGATAAAGAGTGTCGCTGTGGTGATGGCAATGGTAAGGAGAAATGCGAGCCGCTTAATTGTCGTAATTCCGCGCAGAATGGAAATGGTAATAAATCTGTTCAGTTGTCGCCAAAGAAGTTGCATAATCATAGTCATCATAATGGCGGAGGTGGGGGAGGGACATTGGCAGACGCTGGTGGGTGTGGTGTGGGATGGCACGGAAAGATGGGAGTGGCCAAACAGAAATGTGATAGTAACTTTATTCCACGTGAGAGGGTGGCTGCCGTGACCACTCGCACGATTGTGGCTATTCGTCAGAGAATAACAACGGCTGTTGCGAGTCAGAGTCATTGTCGAGTGTGCCCAGCTCGCCGGATGGCTCGGAGTTGGCGTGTTCGGATGGTTGCTGCCCGGTTGAGCATATCGTCGATGACAACTACTTTAATCCTAGCAGGCTTACTGCCTACGGCGCAGGTCATCAGCTTAGTTTACAGGAGATGCTTGAGGTATGCAACCAATCATACACTGTAATTTAATCTGACGAAACTCGAATTATTTTGTTTACAGGAGGAATTTTACTGTGATGGAACAGATTACATAACGCCCGAAGAGGTGCGCGAGTTCAAATCGAATACGCATGTTGAAGAAGTCCGGCAGCAATTACGTGAGACGCTGAAGAAGCGTTTTGCACAGCTGTGCGCCACTGGGCCACTGCAAATGCCACGGTTTTTTGTGACTAGCAAGTACACGACGAATTGATACAAACACCACGCGCCTAGCTTAGTTTAGCATCAAAATTTACTCTATCGCAATTAGTTTGAATTTAATTAATTATTGCCAGTTTTGTGCTGTCATAGGGGGCGCTGTCAACACTCGTGTTTTAGCCCCGTCAACGGCAAACTGTTTTATTGCATTCCACAGGCAAATGCACATTATCATGGTGTTTGTCTTTTTTAATCAAATTTGGTTGCTAGTTGACAACATGAGAGATTAATTGATGCTGATTGGAGGCGTGGATTATACTGTTTACATTGCATGTTAACAATGCAGATTTGCAGGCGTTTGGTTAGCGTTCTGTAATTAACGTTGGTTCTAAATAAATGAGACAATTGAATTTGTCAAACTTCATTTCAGGTTTAAAACATCCTTATTGATAAAAATTACATTCAAGGTCAAAGATGTCAAAATGGGTTACTTGCATCTTCCAATCAAATGATGAAGTTTTATGTTGTTTTCAGGATGTAGTCATTTATTTCTTATAAACCAGTTATTACAAAACATCTATACAATTAAATAATATCATAACATGTTGTTACGGAATACCATCAACTTCACTTTAAATTTGTTTAAATTTATAGACATTTTTTAATTTATATATGGCCCAAGTGAAAATTTGGACATTTGTTATTATATATCATATGTTCATGTCATTAAATGGTGCCTACAAAAGCCAGATTACAATTCTGACTAGAGAGCAAGATAACAAACAACCAATCTACTTAAATCTAACTTAATCTTGAATATTCATGATATATTGTTACAAATTTACAAACATTCGACTGATATCTTCATTAATTAATAGTTTTTTTTAGATTACATGAGATTTGCAGTGAACGCAATATAATAACTCATTTGTTTCATTACAAGTACATTCCGTTGACTAGATAGTCAGCGTCATGCGCGAAAGATTTGCCGCCACGTCTTAACCGTCTCCGCACCACTCTAAGGCGACAACCGATGAGAATTCCCATCAACGCAGTCAAAACTAATCCTGAGGATTTAATTTTAAGTATCAAAACTGTATATAAAAAGTTATATTATTAGTTACCCAAAGATAGTGACAAAACCGCTCCGCCAGGTGTCTCTGCAATACCGTCTTCAATGGCCGTTAGAGTTTCCGAAGTAATTTTGTATTCCGTAATATATTTGCCAGGTTGATTGTGATCATGCTCATAATTATTTCCAGTATTAGAGTGTGTGGGTTTTGAGATTGACGATGTCAATGCGATGTTTTGATCCGCAAAATGCTGTTTGGAGTTTTTCAAATCATTAGCGACTTTTTCTTGTTCATGCTTGCCAATTTCTGAAATAATTCAATAAGTCATTAGTTTCAAATATGATTTAAGGGTTTATATAAAATACCTTTTGTTTCTATTATTTGCGGCAAGTCTTTGGTCGCTGGTTGATTGTAAATCATTTTGTTTGTTTCGGTTTTCGCTAAAATATAAATGATTTACTTTACTTTTAAAAAACAAAATCGAAAGTTTAAGAAAGTAAACAAATCATCGAGATGAATCTAATTTTTGTGGTCTCGTGTTGAAAGTGCAATGTGTCCTGATGTGCTAGTTTTATTTTGCAACGACAATTATATTAAGCGTTGTGACAAAAGTTATTTGAATTCATTATTATATTGCGAAATCTTATCGAATGTTTGATAAAAAACAAACTCAACAATAACAATAACAATGGAAACGTAGGTTGAAAGTGTTTGGTTACTTTAAGTGTAGTGTAGGAAAAGGAAAGGTTAAATTTAATGGTTGTATCCGCAATGACAAAGTGCAATTACGGTGAGTGTATACATAGCACATTCTGATTAAAATTCCAAGGAAAAATGTTCCAAAATAAACACAAGTAGGTAAGTAATTTGGTAATTATCTCAATTTTGACTAAGGCGTAATTTAAAAGTTGGGGATAACAAAAAAGTGATTAAAGTGCAATTACATGAGTTTAGAATTGTCAAAAATTAAGATGCCACAAGGTCACAAGACTCACCAGGTCCTTGTTGATGTGGATTCCATGTTTCTCGCCCAGAATTAACATCCTGATTCGGGTACATTATATTTTGCCTAAAATCTGCAAGCATAGAAACAATTTTCGTTAATTACTTTCGTTATATTAGCAAATAAATATCTACTGTTTAATTACCTGGGTGATTATTGCCGTTGGGCCAATTATTTTCGAGTATTGGCGGCAATTGGGGAATTTGCTGACCGTATACGTCAGCGCCATAATAGTTTCGCAAGCGTTGCCCGTCCACATATTGCATTTGACTGCAATTAACAAGTTTACACATTATTACCTCCTTGTTAAAGCATATTGCAATAAATGTTTCATCAAAAATGCAAAACAACTAAAGAATCTAATTCATTCTTACAAACACCTACATTTAATTGATTAAGAACTGAATGCTTGTTTGCATAAAGTTAAAATATGGTGCGTGAATACATGCATCAGCTGCATATTCAAAGTATTTAAGTTATCAATATCGTTTTCAGTGTGTTTTGAATAGAGCAGAGTTAAGTAAAGATTAAATTCTAGAACACTATTACTAATACGAAATTCTTAAGATAGCTGTATTCATAATATCCGCTAGTGATAGTTTAAAAATTTACTGAATGATCACCCCGTGTTTGAATATCCGAGCGCGTGATGCAGCGTCTGCATTGCTCCCTTATAATATTTGTTGGTATTGTACCTTGGCTCAGCGACGTCGGGCACCTGCAGACCGGTTTCCTTATGATTGAATATGTGACTATTCTTACCTAAATTATTAAATTAATAATTAGTATAAAATATTCGCTATTTATAAGCAATTAATCAAAATGAATAAATGTACTTTGATATTGTCCGCCATGTTGATTATTTGACATCTCTTGCTGTGGCATATGTTCCCAGTTACTTTGCTGACCCTGTGGCACAAGATATTGATACTGCGACAGTTGTTGAGGATCATATTGTGGTCCGTGCAGAGGATTCTGCGGATCGGACACTGGACGTAGAAAATCAGGTTGTTGTCGGGTTGCATCCCTTCCGGGGTTTAAGTTGTCAACAGGTTGCTTTGCTGGTAATCGTAGACGATACAAGTCTGGGTTTGGTGATTGTATCTGAGATTGTGGGCCTAGTTGTAATCTAGGCTGCAACTCCTAAAGAATATGATAAATTATGTGTTATTTTATTGTTTTTTTTTTAATGGTTTATGATGCTTTAAGTACTTGTGGTTGAAGTAGGGGTGCTTGTTGAATTCGTCCTGAAGTAGCAGTCGCATCAGGACATTGCAGTTCGGGTCCTTCATCACTTTCATCTGCGCATTGTGGGATACCATCACAGGCATTGTAAATTGCGATGCATTCACGTGTTGACCGGCACTCAAACTGGAATGGACTACATTTTTTATCTAAAAAAAATATATACAGATGAATTTGTTATCAAACAGTGAAAATATTTAAATTTAAAAAAAATTCTTTTGTTCCTTCTCTTATTTTCACGAAAAAATCGTTCTATGTTAATACTTTGATTAATAATGATTATTTTTTTATGTTATGAAGAAATTTAAATGCGGTAGTTGTTATATTTGAAGTTTTGAAGTACTCAGTATTTGACTTCCATTGTTTAGTTTTTTTACTTTGTATTTTTTATGACTTGCACACTTTTCCTGCTTTCTTATTCCAGCCGTGATTCGTTGTTTAATCTGTTCACTGCCAATTTTAACGCTATAATTACTAATGTTGTATTTACGTTCATTAGTTCATTTCACATTGAATGTCGGGCACGATAAATTCGTGCTTCTTATAAGATTCGTTTCATGCTTCATTATTTGCAAGCTTTCGCATTGCAATATTTCGTCTTGATAGTGATTCAAATGAAATTTTGTGCAAATATTAACGTTATAGCAAAATTTAAACAAATTTTCATATAATTTTACACCTGTTTTCTCCCTTATCATGGCAGATTAAGAAAAATATTGCAATTTGTAGAAATATTAATGTTTCTATTCGTATTTGCAGTAATCTACAACAAAAAAGCAGAAAGACTTGAATGTTGCTCGTTTTATGTTAACGATTTACTTCGTTTGCGGTACTCGTTTCGCATTTTGTGTTTCGTGTTTTGTATTTCGTTTCGTCCGGCACGCTGTGCGAGCTGCAGCCGTCAGCTACACAGAGAGAGGACATAAACTACGTATTTCGCGTTTTGCCGTTCGTGGTTTGACTTGAGGTGTTTCGAGTTTAACGTTCATTCACTCCAGGTGCTTCGTCGTGATCGGTCTATACCTGCTTACTGATATCACTAAAAACAATCAAAATATAAACTCAAGTGTGAATATGTTATCATTGATAATACATATTAATTTGAATACATATAATTAAATAAAATTAAATAAAAGTGACCACCTGCATAATTTAATACAATTTAAGTGATTTTGAATCAACATGACTTCGAAATTCAGGAGATCGCCTTTACTAACAACTACTTATGATGGATTTGGACTGCGTGCGCAGAACGCAAGATTTAACACCATCAACAAAGGAACTCCTTCTTCAAATGTCACAAATATTAATGTAAGTATTATATTTATATACTATTGTTTAGTTTGGTAAAGAAAATCACCATAAAAGTGCTAAAAATGGCGAGTTTTTCACGCATAATACAAATATTATCATTTACATTACTTCTTATTACTAATATCCCTACTAATAATATTATAAATGCGAATGTCCTGATGTTTGTTACACTTTCACGCAAAAACTACTTAACCGATCATCATGAAAATTTGTAGACATATTCTTATTGGTCCCCGAATGGTTATAGGCTACTTTTTATTTAATAAAAAAAATTATTTTTGAAATAAAATAAAGAAATAGTTTAGCCAATAATACCTCTGCATCTGGCTATTAGTCTACTTTAACGCCATCTAGCATTCCAGCAATGAAGCTCAAACCTAAGTACTATAGTACCATCACACTGTATTATCACACTGTATTACCGACAGCTACGTCAACATCAAATCCAATTGACTACACTATGGAGACTGTACACTATACTTCCATAGACTATACTTTCAGCCATTTTAAACTTCCCGCCATTCATCTTCATTGTTACTTCTTCTGTGACTACAGACGCGTACGGAAGCAACTTCATTATTGACGTGATAACGTCTTTAAAATCGTTTTAGTTGGGTTACTGTTCAGAAGCTTGTGTCGCGAGCCCTCACGAGGCCGATCGCAGGTATACCCCCCTCTCGTTATTCCGTGAAATCCAGCGCGCCGACTGCGATCATCCGTTCCGACGGCTGTCGTCAGGAAACAAAAGAGTGCGGGGATAGACGCGATCCTAGAGTGCGTCTGTTATAGATAAATTAACAATTGAACATAGAATGTATTTGTATAGGCAGTTACTGACATGCTTGTATGTTGAACGCATGTTCACTCCGTAACAACACGCTCAACATGATGGATCCCAGTGCACACATTCCTTCAACATCCAATACGCTGAGGGAGACCGAGAATTACGTGATTTTACGTAATTTAAAATTTGAAAAAATTGTCATCTTCATTAATTCCTTACTTCACAAAAACTTATATCACCAATAAGACGTTATCACGTAAACATCTCGATCGTAAACCTACTTTACAAACAACCATTTTTTTAGATATTCGCGAGTGAAGCCGTGGGTTATAGCTAATATTTATATACCTACTACACAATTTGGTAAAGAAAATCATCATAAAAGTACTAAAAATGGCGAGTTTTTCACGCATAATACAAATATTATTACTAAAATAGCCAATAATGTGATTTCTTATTGCATGTTGCAATAAAATAAAATTACTCACACCCACATTTTGACATTTCACCATTCGCAGTTTTGTAAAACGAAAAAATATTGCGTAAACCATTAATTCCCATAGTCGTCTACTCAAGCGCATTGTGACAGTACGCAGAATGACGAAATAATGAAATAAATTGGATTTTTGTTCCACGTTCAAAATCATTACACATACCTACACATTTTACATAACATGAGCATAACGAGCAAAACAAACGTGCGCATAGTTTTTAGTTGGCACAATATTTTTGCCTCTTTCGTTATTTGCGTGTTTTTTATGCGCGTTGCGTCTGCGTGTTACATGGATCACATTTTTATGACCTGCACTGTTATATTCATAACGTTACAATGCGTAATATTCTCATGGATGATGCCATCAACATTAGCCATTGTTGGAGATGGAGCTAATCTTGCAGAAAGGGATCATTGACGTCTTATTAACGTATGTGTGGTTGCATATTCATTATTGAAGAATATTTAACATTCACGATTGTTTTTTTATACTTCCACGTTTAAAACGGCAGTTTTTTCATTGTTTTAAGATAAAAAAGTACTTTAGGCACGGGTATTAGTCACGGGTTGGAACTTGCGCATGCGCATTAACCTACGAAGCAGTAAAAAGACTATAATTCTCTCAGTTAGGACTTTTTTACTTAAAATTTTTAAAATTTTTGTTCAATATTAAAAAATAAACGCATGTAAAATTAAAAATCATCAAAAATAATTAATTAATAAGTATAGGTAATAATTATGTTATTAAAACTTAAGAAAATTAAAGGGGTTTCATTAAACAATCAAAAATTACAGGTTGCTACCAGTATTAGCACGATTCACGCTCCGATTTCGATTTTTGAATGAAATAAAATAAGTAGAAAGAAAAGAAAAGTGTAGAATGTTATAAATAAATTCCTCTGCATTTACTATCACGCAAAGCACGTTTCCTGACCTACATGTTTTCTTGAGCAAACGAGCAATTCTCGCGCTTCGCATTGCTTCATCACTTCATTATCTTGATTAATGTATAATTTGTTGCGATTTTATTTTTACGCAAATTACTTTAATCATAGAGTGAGTGTTTATTTTACATATGTGAATCATCATTGTCGCAACAATAGGACCTCATTTTTACACTTCCCACATGTTGACTTCCGGTTTTTATATAAACAATAACAGTAAATGCAAATATTTCGTTGGAATAACATTGTATTACCCTGTATGATGTCGCGCATGGAGTTTTATGCGTTTCCGCATGGTAAAGCCCGCTAATTCGCCATTGTTTCAAAGATTCAAAGCGTTCCGCAAAACGCGTAAACCACAAACACATTTACATACGCGACGCGATGCTGACTTTCAAACAACAAACAAAAACAAGAAAGTTTAATAAACCTGATCCCGAAACTTTTCATGAAACATACTTGCTGGTTTTGCAGGTGTTTCGGTGTGTGCGTTGAGAATCTTGGAGATAATTGTCGTTGACTTTGATGTGGTTGACGATGGACGCGTTGTTGTTTCCACACTTCCCGTGTTTATCACTTCCGGCTTTCTAAAACACATTTTAATGCAAATTTTGTATATTAGGGTAAAATAGATTTACAAAACCTAAGTTTGGTTAAGTCCTGTTCGTGTTTTGTAAGTTTTATCTGACTCTCTAGATCCAATAAATGTCGATTGATCGCAGAGGTGTAGTTGACGTGATGTGTGAATTTGCATTTGAAGTCTTCAGGCGGGCCGCATTGGAACAGATAACAACTTCCAGCGTTCTGAAAAATAAAATGAAACAAAATTGATTTCTTTATTTTAGAATGGTTGACGTATTAGTGTAATGTTGGTTGCATATAGTAAGGCTGATTACGTGAACGCGTATGTGAACAGCGCGAACTTTTAGAATACATGGTATGCGAAAAAGAAAAAGTTACAATAGTGCAAGCCCATCAATTTGGAATTCATAACATGTTGCGAACTCTGTTACGCACCATGCTGGAGTAATGCAATTTCCTGCATTTACTATGAAAACTAAAACAACAAAAGACGACTTACATATTCTCATAACTTAATATTTGCTTCTGTTTCAATAGAGTGTTATATTCTTCCTTACATGAGTTAAGACTGCAACTTAATATGGATATAACGGAAGTAATCCTGATTTCTTGCATGTGAAAACAGTTGTTATTCTCTTTGTGTGCATACAAAATTCGCAAGAAAACGTGTATGTGTGGTAGTATTCTACATGTAGTGTAGGCAACCAATAATACACGTTAATTTCAATGTAGTATTCACATGGATATAATTGTTTCACTTTTGAGTGAAAATTCATGTTTTCGTTACCTTTTCTTCATAAACAAACACATCACAGTTCTCTGTCTCGCAACACAACCGCAGGCATTCCTCGCGTGAGTCCAGGTCCATCTCGTTGAGGTATTTAGCGCCCATCGCGCGCGAATCTGTCGTCCTGATGATCTTATCCTTGTGGATGTCGAAGTTTTCAATGCACTTCGGTACATCAGTGTCGCCACCAATATTACGTTTCTGCATTGCCGGCGTACTATTCACACGCATCGCGCACGCCAAATATCCAAATGTTATTGTAAATAGTAATTTATTCATTTTAACACACAACTGATGAAACTGATGAAACAAACCAAATTTAAATCTAATTGGATACGAATTTTGGTTTTATAAGTTTATTATTTACTCACGTTTGAAGCTCAAAATGATATTAAACATTAATTAATAAACGAGTAAATTTTTGGAGATTTTTTGGAGGTTTCGCGAGTTTGTGTCGGTAGAAATCAGCTGACCAATGTATTTTACCTCACGTGATGTCGGAAGGATTGAATCGTTGAAAGCAGAGGCATGAATCAATAATTTTGCGTTTGCGCCGCGGGGGTGGACTGATCCACGCTACTATTGGGTTTGCGACTGTGCTATGTCCTTATATAATACTAATAATTTTCAAATCTAAAAATTAAGTCGAAAGTAAAATGTAATACTACTAAATGCGTTCTTAAATGCCTTGAATATAAGATAAAGTCCAAAAATACTTCTCTTCTTTCTTCTATTTGGGTCGCCAGTAAAAATAATTACTTTCGACGCGCGTTTCGTTGACACGCGCATGAATTACTCACGTCATAGGGTAATAAATGCAGACAGAAGTCGTCGAACAGAGAAGATTCAACGAACTCATAACTGACAAGTACGAGTATATCAACTCTTGAGCTTTAAAAAAATAACAAAAAAAATTGTTTTTTGTGTTTTTTAAACTTTTTCTGAGTAAATTTGCAAATTAATTGCTGAATTTGTTTGATAAGACATTAATTACACTTTAAACTCTAATGTTGTTATGTTGATTTAAGTTATTGTTAATTACTTACAAGAAACACTTGTGAATGATGACGCACAATTGAGATGCCTCTGCAACCAGCATAACATTAATCACACAAACATCAAGAACATGATTCATTTCTACCGCATGTTTAGCCCATTGTTCGCGTCCAGCGTTCATTGAATTCCGGCATTCAACAAAAACAATAAACGAAAGCACCACACAAATGAAGACGAGAAAGCAGCAGACGATTAAAGAATCGAAGTGAGAGCATTAACATGAATGATGGTCGCAACGGATCAAAATATTGTGCAAGCAAACAAGAAAATATTAACAACACAATACAGCTACAAATCAAGCAGTAAAAAGTAAAACTTAAGTCAAATACAAGCATAATAAATCAAATTAATTAATTTTATTAAGTAAAAGTCAATTAAAAACTTTGTATTTTTAAATTTTGCAAAGTATTGATGTATGTGTGGTTGTCAAAAATGTTTGCAGTCATTTTGGATGTTTGCATGACGTCAGAGTGGAGCGCACTGACGGTGAAGTCTGTAACTAAAATATGACATTTGTGACCTTATACATCCTAATAGTGTGCGAAACGAACGAATTTCAAAGTTTTAAAATAAAAAGTTCAAATAAAAAACCTCAACGTGGAAACAGAGTGGAAGTAGAAATAGCAATCTAATTTACCTACCAGAATCTTGAGGTATGCTTGAAAACATAATATAATTTAAGCAATTTCTAAAATTAATGATAACGATAATGGTAATGATTTTATTCTCAGGTAATTTAATGCCACATTCAAATAACGGTACTGACAGGTATGGCATATACGTTATGCAAACTATATGACTGCGAAATTTTCATCGTGTGTCGTAATTCATAACTTTAAAGCAAAAACAAAGAGATAATTGAATTAATCAGAAGAATGAATCGTTAAGATTGATTCGATAATCATGCTAATGCGCAATATTCATTTTGATCATTATTTTAATCAGCACCGTTTCCGACAATTTAATTAAGTAATTGAAAATAATTAATTGCCTCATAAATTAGGAAACATATATAATAACCTTATAAATATTGCAAATAAGTACAACATAAAAATGAAAAATGGTCAAAGTATGCAACGCATACTACACGATTTGTGTATTGTGTATTTGTTGTATTGTGGGTTGCCTAAGTCATCTAGTTCCTGATGCTCGAGCATGTTCGGGTGTTTGCTGCGTTTCGTACCTCGATCCCTCAACGATTCCTGCTGGCAGTGTGCAGCGCTTGCGTGTATCGACAGTACGTACATATACCGTATGAATGTGTGTGAGCAAGCGAGTGTGCGCTGAGCGGGGCGGTGGTGCCGTTGCGCCCGCACAGCCGGTTCAGTTCAGTTTTAATTGAACGTGCGTGTGTGTCGGTTCGCCGTCGTCGGTTGTTCCGTTCTTTACTCCTCGCTATTGGTTGCGTGGCCGCGACTGCATTATACTTCTCAAATAAACAAACAAACCATTTAAACTAAACAACAAGTAAATTGTTTCAGTGTGCATTTAATCTACTCTAAGTATTGAACACTCGGCGTGTGAGGGTTGTCGCGGGCGGCGTCGGTGGTGGCATCTTGGTTGTCTGCCTGCACCGCTTGTGCCATCGTGCGGATCGCGCTACACGGATATTTAATTTCGTCGGTCACGGGCGAAACCCAACGTAGGTCAAGCCCGAGCAGCGAGTTACTTGTGCCTGCTCTCTTCGATTTTTGAACTCGTAAGAAGCAAACCTGTTTTTATCCGTCTTTTATTCGTTCCATTGAAGAACTTTTATTCAATTACCCAATTGATAAAAGAATACAAATACAAACATTTATTACATCACATAACAGAGATGAGATAGGCAATATGGAGTACTCAATACCGTAGGATATAAAAATCAGTTGCAAATGTTTGCAACCCAATATACATCTGGAACACGAACAAGTTAAATAAAAGCTGGTTGAAGTGAACGCACTTAACAAAATGAATGTAATGTGTGATAAGAATACAATGTGGGTTTGTGTTGTACGTTCAATATATGAGCAGTAGATTGATTCATGTTGTTATCAAACAAATGAAATGACATGCAAAAATGCAAAACGTGCTGAACATGCAAACACCGGCAGCGCCACCATGCGGATATTTAAAACACTTCAAACACATTTCTGATTTCTACTAGAAACAAATGAAATAATTGTTTGTTATGAGTACAAAGAGTAGTATATATTTTTTTTACGGAGTTGATTGTGAATTGTGTGCTGCAAAGTGTAGTAAAGCAAGCAAATGGTAGTAAACGTACTGTAAATGTTGAATAAAAGTAAAGATTTTCATCTTGCGTTTCGTTGAATGGCGTTGCCGTGTCTTGTGCGCTTCCGAGATATCTGCCCGCCTGGCAACATGCGCCATTCGGTTTAAATATGAATGAGTGCCAGCCAGAGCGCGCTGAGGACAACAAGGCGAAACGTGCGAGACTCGTGATTATTATTTATACCGGAACGCAGAGGTAAAGCGACAGGTTTTTCATCTAACCGCGATGTTTAAGATTTTTAGTGTTTCAAGTTTTCTTTTTGGAGAAAATCATCAAGTATGCCTGTCGTTTTATTTTACTGAAGATATAAGATTAATAGGATAGCTGTGAGCAGCTCAATTCTGCGATTAATTGTCGTGTAATTGTTTTGAGTTTCGGGCACGCTTCACCAAAGTTGGTGTAAACTCATATTCATGCTATGACTTATGACTTAGAACTTTTTGTTAACAGTATAAGGTAACTAAATGTTTCGCTTGGTTAGAGCTAATTGTTATTACCGGTGTTATTTTACAGTTAGTGCTTTTTTTTATAAATTGCCAATTGTATTACTAATTCACTCAGTTCCAACTTCGGAGTAAACCTTAAGCTTGTTCACGAAACAATTAAAACTAAAAATAGAAGTCCACATTTTTGGAATCAATATTTCTGCATTCAATTCACACTGAACGTACAAATCTTTTTCTGTCTACAAGTAAAATAAAGGCAAATAGGCTTTTAACTCGTATTAATATAAATTGTAAGTAGAAAGAAAATGAAATTAGTTAGTCACTGTTAAATGTGTTTGTTTACTGCGTGTTCTTGACCTTTTTTGAGCAAGAGAAGACGGATTACAGCAATACGCTTAATGGATAATGTTGCGAGACTTTGATTCGTTTGCTAACCACCAATGAGGAACCATCGCTAACTCCGCACGCCTACCCCCTCCACTATTTGCGGGTTGGCCGCAGGTATAAAAGGGCGGCGTATAGGGAGCCACGTGCTCAGTCGTGCCTGAGTCGTCCAGCAGTCCAGTCGCAGTTCAATTTCCCCCCCCCCCTTCTTTTGGTCATTGGTAGGGTTTAAGTCTCGTGCGTACGCGGATATTACTTTTAATTTTTTGATTTATAGAAATGTAACTTATGCTAATGAAAAGTAAGGAAAAAAGAAAAGAATTCCTAGTTTAAGTCACTTTTGGCTGGTTACTAAAACAATTACCGCAATAATATTCCATCATGAGTCTAATTTGATTAAAGAGAATAATACCTACATGGTTGTGCACTTTGAAATAATATACGTTGTTTAATTGCAGAAACAAACCCTCAACATGGAGTGTGGAATAACGGGCGCATACGCGAACGGCACATCGGCGGCTGGTGGGATCCTCGCCGATGTGCGCACCGAGCGCTCGCCGTCCAAGGCCGGCCTCCACGTCAACTTCAAGGAGAAGGGCGAAGTTAAGGAAAAGCGCGAGAAGTTCCTCACAGCCAAGTACGGCAACCATCAGATGAGCCTAATTCGCAAGCGGCTTGCTGTTGAGATGTGGCTCTACGAGGAGCTGAAGAAGCTTTATGAAACGGTGAGTAATTAGGTGATAAGTTTGGAGATATTATAGAAATTGAGAGAAGAAAGACTTATGATTGACTTTTCGTTAATTTATTGATGAATTTTCATCCAAGCTCAAAAAATGGTATAAATATACAAGGCTCGTTGTTATTGTACATATTTTAAAATACTTTCTTTATTTTATATTATTACTAGCTTTAACCCTTGGCTTCGCTCGCGAATATCTAAAATAATGAAGTTGCTTCCGTACGCGTCTGTAGTCACAGAAGAAGTAACGATGAAGTAGAATGGCGGGAAGTTTAAAATGGCTGAAAGTATAGTCTATGGAAGTATAGTGTACAGTCTCCATAGTGTAGTCAATTGGATTTGATGTTGACGTAGCTGTCGGTAATACAGTGTGATAATACAGTGTGATGGTACTATAGTACTTAGGTTTGAGCTTCAGTGCTGGAATGCTAGATGGCGTTAAAGTAGCCAAATAGCAAGATGCAGAGGTATTATTGGCTAAACTATTTCTTTATTGTATTTAAAAAATAATTTTTTTTTATTAAATAAAAAGTAGCCTATAACCATTCGGGGACCACTAAGAATATGTGTACAAATTTTCATGATGATCGGTTAAGTAGTTTTTGCGTGAAAGTGTAACAAACATGAGGACTTTCGCATTTATAATATTAGTAGGGATTCTTGTAGCAAACATTTTCGCATGACGAGCGAGTGACTAATGACTAAAGCGGTCATCAACTACTGCAAGCTCCAATTACCTCGACCTTCAGCCCACGTTCTTTCTTGTGGGTTAACTCCCCCTAGTCCCAAGAATGTTTCAGCAGGTCATTTAACCGCATTTAATTACTACTCCTTTTTTTTCCCTAAGAAATGAATGAATAATCGAAGGCAGCCATGTATGGAATAGGTTTATCTGTGATATTATGACCTTAGGATGATTATCCTCTATGTATAATCTCATCTAATCACACAAGTTATGCAATATCTTGAGCGTATGCACTTCCAGCTGGGTTTTTTCGACCAGCGTCTCCAGTATTGTTTAAGGTCGTTCCCCACATAAAGGTCATTGCCGTAATAACAAAGCATGAAACTCGATGAGCGCGGCGGTTAAATGCCGACGCCTTTTGTCGCAAAACAAATCGTTACGTAGGCAGACAACCAGCACACGAGCTCTCAGCCACAAACCGACAGCTTTGGTTTATATGGAAAACCTAGCTGCATTAAATATTTCATTTATCAAGAAGCAAAACTTGTTAATATTTAAATTGAATAAGATGCGTAGTGTTGAGTGTGGCTTAAATAAATAATGTCTAAATGAAAAAATAGTCTGCGATGAGATACAGCAATTAAAAGAATACATAAACATGAGAGTTTTGTTTGTTAATTTCAATGTAGACAATGTAATTTCTTCTGTAGTGTTTGTTTCTGCTACTTAATTTTGACATATAAAACTTCTATTCTCAAGTAAATCTAATTACGCCGCGTAGATGGTTGTTAACAAATTCGCATCAAAATTACCTACTAACCAGGATGTTATACTAATACAAATAATATATAAAAATGACAAGTTGATATCTATTAGGCTTAAATGCTTAATGATGTGTTTTAAAAGCAAATAAAATGTTGCGAGTGCATTGTACGATTAATTTCGTATGTTTCTACATGCATTTCATCAGAATTGGGAATTCGAGTTCTTTCGTTGCCGAAAATAAAGCACACGTACTTTGTTAATCATGTCGCGGGCAGTGCGCCAAAGAAAACTTTATAGCTGTATAATTTTGCAGCATCTCGTCGCTGAGTTTCCCAACTACGTGCATTTCACAACGCAATGAGTTAAAATTTCCACAAATGATCAACGTCATCGCGGGTTAACATAGAAAAATATATCGGATAATTATATGAAAGAAAAAATGGTAACAAGACAACACAGGTGCATTATTCTATTTCTGGAAATATAACAATAGAAAACTATTACTTCCAATTGTGTATGAATAATTAACCGTATGTAGAATGATATAACTACAAAGAAAACAAAATAATAATTAGTGTTGTCAGATACGAGTATAGCAAACATATGAATTATGTGGCATTGATACTAGATAAGTTATCATGTACTGAATCTAATAATATTGGTAACATATGACAAACCATCGTTGATTTAATAAGTTGAGCTTTACAACTAAAATGGCAAAATGTGCAATTGTAACATTTACAAAAACTTCATTTTAAACCGTAAAGTTGAGCCTGTTTGAAACAATAAAATTGTAAATCAATGAATTGGTTTAATGCGTAGAAGGTCTTTGTCAATCGATAATGGGTTTTACCCTTTCAATTATTTACAGACTAGTAGTCAACAACTGCCGGAATACAATTAAATTGTATTATATGTCACGCAATAAAAACATTACGTTTACGGTGTAGTGTATTTGTTCGTTTAATTTGTTTGCTACACAAAACTTGCAGAAATGCTGGCTATGGTTGTATCACCACAGTTCAATTTTGTCTTAACACTAAGTAAGCTTTTAATGCCATCCCTACTAATATTATAAATGCGAAAACCCTGATGTTTGTTACACTTTGACGCAAAAACTACTTAACCGATCATCATGAAAATTTGTACACATATTCTTAGTGGTCCCCGAATGGTTATAGGCTACTTTTTATTTTTTAAATAAAATAAAGAAATTGTTTAGCCAATAATACCTCTGCATCTGGCTATTTGACTACTTTAACGCCATCTAGCATTCCAGCAATGAAGCTCAAACCTAAGTACTATAGTACCATCACACTGTATTATCACACTGTATTACCGACAGCTACGTCAACATCAAATCCAATTGACTACACTATGGAGACTGTACACTATACTTCCATAGACTATACTTTCAGCCATTTTAAACTTCCCGCCATTCTACTTCATTGTTACTTCCGTGGGTTAAACCTAGTACAAAGATAAAGCAACAACAAGTGCAGCGAAAAACGAAAGAATACTTACACAAAGCCAGTCAGTGTTTTAACTAGCACATACATATTTATTACTTGCAACTTCATAACAAGTTAACTCTTCACTCACTCACTTACTAAGTCTAAAAATACTTTTAATGTAACCAAGTTTAATGTACGAGCAATAATGACTGTAGTATTAGCTTTGGTCATAAATTGAATTTTCACACTGGAATTTTACGATTGCAATTCAGTTAACGTAAAATACCTGCAAATAAAGTGTACAATTGTCTTATTGTAGTTGAGAAAAAGGAAACCCGTGCCCCCTCGCATTCATTCACATTTTTGCGTTGTTCTGCTTTTATTCAATTTGTTTCGCATCGTTTTGCTTGGCTGCGTATGTTGAATTTGCCCATTTCACTTGTTGCGCATCGCGTGTACCTTTAACATTCATTAACATAGTAATTACAACAATCATAAAACTGTAACCAAAGCCTCGACGAACTTACTAAGCCTGCTTTACCTTCGTGGCATTTGTATTTTTATATTTATGCTTTTATTTCTTCTTGCGACACAACCAGCAATTGTTTATTATTCATACCATCATAATGTCGATTTAAGTAGATGGCTATTGGCTAGAGGTGTAATTTTGCATTGCAATAACATCTTTTAATGACAGTTTTCAATTTGTTTCAGCAGAAAGTCGACAGCAACGAAGAAGTGGAGGTTGATATCGATGAGTTATTGGATATGGATAGCGATGAGGAGCGGCGGAGGCATTTACACGTAAGTCTTGCGTCCTCATCATGGTGCTATATTGGTGGCCATTTTGAATAGCACGTTGTTTACACTCTACTTATTACGGTTTTCATATCTAGAGTTGTTTGCATTCTGAGAGTGCAAGGAGGGTTGCATACGTTTAATCTTCAGAAATACTGCAAAACTCAGCCGGCATAAAGAGTTAAAGCACAGGAAAATCTTAAATCTCACCGAATTATTATATATACCTTATAAAATAAGGAAAAACATGAGGATATTATGTTTAGGAATAGAAAACGCCTGTTTGTTATTCTGATATCTCCAGGCGACCCTTTCGTAAACGTAGGCAACCCGTATATCTTTTGTTCCGCTGTTGTGTTTTTCAATACGACTACGTGCTTTTTGTGTTTTTCTTTGTTTGTTTTTACTCCATCTTGAATACACGAGGGGAGCGAATTGCGGTTTTTGTTTGCGGTTCATTTACCTGCGTGATTGAGACCTGCATAATTCAACCCTAGGAAATACAAGCACAAAACTTATCATCACTTCAAAGCCTAGCATTTTATCGAACATAAATGTCAATTTTTAATCATATTTTATTGTTTTTTCTCAGGCGCTGCTCATCAACGCAAAGAAATCTCAAAACGATGTAAAAGCAAGTATCTCAGATTAATATAATACACACCTGTGTAATTTTGGATGTTTTTGTTTCAGAAATTCATTAATGATCTATTAGATAAAGCAAAAACACTCTAGGATCGTACCAAACGATAAGTGCCAAAGGAATCAAATCTACATCAAATATAAGCTTAAACATAAGCAAGCGAAACCAACATCCAGCAGGAAGCCAATAATCGCTCAGCAACGGGGTGACGCACAGTGCAATTGTCGTCCATTGAGCAAACGTATAAAATGCGCTTCGCTTTTGTCTCGAAGGCAGAACGCGTGCTGCATTAGGCCGCACTGAGTTTTAAATTAACGCATTTACCGATCAACACACCCACACACACACACACACATTTAATTTAACTAACAAACTAACTAATTTAATCGAAACTACAATCGGGCTATCTGTAAACACGTGTAAGTAAACACTTTTTTTACTTTTTAAGTTTTGATATTAGTGCCCAAGTATGTAAGTCACAACACAAACATAACCTATGAATAATCTACGAGTATGATAAAAAGTGTAAGATTTTTTAGCTAGTCTTGTTATAAATGTAGAAGTATCATATCTTTGACTGCCTCACGCAATATAATTCATATTTATATAATTGACGAGGCTGCGAAACTATATAATGCTATGATATAAAGTGCAGTATGTAGTGTATACTAGAATAAGTGCCAAACGAACGTTTTTGGCATTTTTGAAAATCGACTCAACGCGCAAATCAGGCTCAGATATTTATGTGATTATTCATGTGAGCTTCCCATTTCTCAAGTTGAAACTAACCTATATTATTCCATACATTATGAATGTTTAAATCTTTCAAATTTTGTTCTCATGCTAGACATAACCTCAAACATTGCTTCAACTTAAATGTTTCAATAAGTGATTATAGCATATCATATCTAAGCTAGTGCTTAAATAAGCACGCACTAAAGCAATCGTAGTGCTGCAACTTGTTTTTTCTAAGCAAGAAGTTTTGTTTGGTATAGAACGCGATCATTTTATTTGATCTCAATCCCATTTTTGACATTTCACTCACAATCATTGTGATGCGTGCGGGATTTGCATTTTTGGTATTCGAAGGGAAATTTGTGTATGCGTGTTAATTATTTAAGTGATTAGTATTTGCCGAGAAAACGATGACTAAAATGGAAATCATTGCTGTTTGATTTAATAAACCTTTTGATATTTTAGGCAACACCAAGAAACAAACAACAATCTGGATAAAAACAAATCAATTCTTATTCTTATTCATAATTTCATTAAAACTCAACGATATTCACACATATGCCCACATCCTGTTGGGCACACCTTATTGCCAAGAAACCATTGTTGCATATGTAGAATATGCCCACCATGTGAACACCCCTGACACCAGGAATACAACCCTTTCACCACTTGATGACATAAACTGCATAAGGAATATTCTGATGAATGGCACCGATCACAAAGCCATCCAATTCGATGCAGAGGTTTCAAGCACTGACTGCAACTTGTGTTGATTCTTGTAGATTGCTGATTCAACGTATTAATGTTTTGTATCCAGGATAGTTTGATAATTTGCGCAGCTTGATTCCATAGCTTTGATCTGCATAGGAGTTCAATGTAACCCAGCAGCCAATGTTCCTGTGTTGGTTCATCTAAACTCTTTAAACTTTTGCGATGATCTCCCAAGACTGTTAGAATACACGCAGCTGTTTGGACGTCGCCAATCATGGCGTAATGCTTGAGAGTGTCAACGACAATATTACTGGGATCCCAGATTGGTTTCTTTGGCAGTTTGTTGATGGTGATGAAGCAGGGTGTTTGATCTTCGATGGACAACTGCGTTTCATCATTTAAATCAGGAGAATGATTAGAAAACTGTTCGGGTGGTGGTGATCGGTCGAGGATTTCATGACGTACGTTGAAAGCTTCGTTAGGGAGGTGCCAGTCTTCCTGTTGTATCAAATGGCCGGAGTTACGGATACCATTTCGATAATCTAAATAATTTCACATTAAATTTAAGTTTAATAAGTATATCACGAAAAATATACCAATACTAAGAGAGTCTAGTTCAAGATCCAATTCGTTTTCGCCGAAAGAGAAGTCGCCCTTCGGAAGGCCAAACTTAGAAGTTGCGCTGAAGTCATAATAAGCGTTTACATGATCCACTTGATCTTCGTTTTCTGTTTCGTCATCCCCACTGCAAAACTGTGGAGTATCATAACCTGAAAACAAATCTAATCATAACCCTCTCTGAGCAATATTTTCCATCCTCACCTTTGGTTTTATTATTATCCCCTTCAATATTGTTTTGCACGCCCAAATCATCCCGTTGCAAGCTAGCATTATTAATACTACTTTGACAATACTCATCAGCATACATTGTGCGTACAATTTTCCACAGTATGCTTACATTACTCTTGCCACACTCTTTCGCTACAGCTGCATTGCGTTCGCACAACTCCCAAAATGGCAGATCACTTAGAACGTAGTTTTTTGCTATAACGCCAAAACTACTGTTGTCATTCGCAACTTTTGAGTGAAATGATTGTAATGATGACGAGGCTAAGTGAAATTGGTCGCTGACAACTGTATTGGAGCTCTTGCGCATGATGCTTGTTGATTTAACAGAAGAATTCGAACTGCTGCCATGTTGACGATTTGCATACAGGACAGTTCCTTGTTTATTGAGAGAAACACTCTGTGGATTGGCTTTCGTTGCAGGGCGGCTTGCGTCTTTAAATGAATGCTGGTATAAAGTACAATCCTAAAAAGATTTATGAGTTTATGGAGTGATTTTATTAGGATATTCAAATGTACCCTGCTAGTGCTTAAAAATGTTTGTGGATCTCCTCTCCAGACAACTCTACTGGTGATATCCTTGTGTTCATTGAATGAAGCGAAAGGAATGTAAGGTCTTCTTACATCCCATATGTTTATACTGCAATCAACGACCAATGCGCAGCTGGCAATGTGATATTTTCTTTGTGGACGCCATTTTACATATCCTATTGATGCGATGGTATGTATTGTGTAGTCTAATGTCGGTTTACTTGTCAAATCCCAAACCTATTTACAAAATAACTAATAATCATCAGCATTTGCATTAAATAAATTTAATCTTACTTTAATTGATTTATCACGACTTGCTGTCGCTAGCCATGCAACTTCCGGATGCCAGTCACAAGCGAATACAGGCCCACTATGCGCAGCAAATTGTTGCATACATTTTTCTGTTTTGCGTACATCCCACAATTGCACACTGCCATTTTCTGACACTGCTGCAAACATGTATGGTTGATGTGGACTGAATTGTACATCTCTTACACTTTCAGTGTTGCTGTAGAATATGGCCACTGCTGCCTTGCATCTCAGATCAAAATATCTCATGGTTCCATCTTGTGAACCTGATATTAATCTGTATGGTTCTGATACATGAAAGTTAACTTTGTTAACTGTGCGTTTATGCTCCTGGTAAACTTGTTCCTGCATAGCTTTGCCCATTTTTGTAAGGTTCCACACACAAACATGGCCGTTTGTGGCGGCTGTCGCCAAATAATTGTCTAAAAACTTAAAATTAATAACAAATAATTTTAAAATGATTTTGTTTACCATCATTTGAACTCCAAGCAACATCATTACAAGAAAAACTTAAATTTAAGTGTTTTGATGCTCTCAGATTGCAGATTTCCTTGAAGGAGTCCTCTTCAATATTGTACACCTTAAAAACTAATTACAAATTTATTTTTAGTATTAATTTTGGATTGTTTTTGGCATACCATTGCGACCGCCGATGGCGACCTGAGTGTTGTCTTTGTTTAAGGCGAGTGCATTAACGGGACCCTCCTGCGTTACGCTAAATGTTGTCATGGTGAATACAATATGGACAATACTAGTTTAATGCGAAAAATTCGGATTAATGATTGCAAACTTGATAAACACTACGCAACATCACATTTTGTCTCGCATTTGTTTTGGTCTACATAACCTTAAGACCAATAACGCATAATTTTTGCAATTGTGGCATGTGTGGTTGTCGCAGGTAGTGGATTTATTCGCACTACTCATTAATTAAAGCGGTATTTTTGGGGATTTTGTATAAGAATAATATTAAACGATGCTTGGAGGAATAATAATTCTAGGCATAATTTGACATAGCGTCATCCCTTGTTCAAATCGGTTCGCTTTTCAGTCACCTTAGGAATAGCATTAGTAATTCTTCTGTCCGCAGTGTGGCGCTTGAATCGCCCGCAGTTTGGTAACAGCTAGGAAGGCCGCTACATGCCGGCACTAGTCCAGTCTCCTTTTAGTGTTCGTGAGTGTTACACGCGTTTATGGTAAGTTCATTTCGTGATTTCGGCTGTTATCATTGTGTGTTCATCTACGTGCCTGTGAGAAAACCCCGTCTGAGCTGATATATCAACCTGAAGGTAAATAATTCTCTAATTTATTTATGTTCTAAGCTATGAAATATTCACTTGTTGCATTCGCGAAGCACCGCCATATTTATAGAGTTGTTGTGTGTATTGATAGGAGACATTCAATCCGGTTTTTGTTATCGCTGTTTTGTTGCTGCATTCCGATCGTCTTGTATCGTAAGGTGTTGCTGTGATAACTCGAGTTTGGTTTTATAGTGAATATTTTGTAGTTTAAAAAGTTCAAATCTGCTTTAAACCGTCTCAAAGTTTGAATTTTCATCGCACGCGTAGTTTTAACATTTTCCAAATTTGTAGAAATTGCTCAATATCGCGAAAACCGTTTACGCCATTGCAATACAGTTTGCATATTTAGATAGCGCGATAGTTTTTCTACCAATTGGACCTTTGTCTGCCCCGGAAATCACATGCAAAGTGCCTGAAAACTATCCCTAAAAGTTGCTCGATTTGTATGTTTGCGGTGGAAATTGTTGAATATTTCGGTAACCGTTGTGCGCCATTGTACTCTAAATAAGCTGTAATTCAATTCACGCATAAATTTTAAAGAAATATAAGTATGGATTATGTATTCAACGAAGAAGATAAATGAAATAAATGAAAATTGAGTTAAATTATTCGCGATTGGCAATTTGATTCCATCGCAGGGAAATGACAGGACCCAGAGAAATACTGTACGCAATTACAGTTTTCTTACCAATCAAATGTTTACTTTTAGCTCCCAACACTAGATGGCGCTAGTTTAGGTCGGTATGCTACTCTCTACATCGTCATTATTCTGTGCGGCGCTAGATGGCGCTGCACGTATTTTAAAACATTTTTAGTCTAATTTATTTTCAGTCAATCTTATTTTGTGTGTTGGTGTGGTGTGACGTCAGTTTTAAAGTTCGTTTCTTGTTCGGTGATATTGTTGTCTCTGTTTAATTCAACAATTCGCGCATGCATCGTTCTAGAAGTTTTATTCATAGGCGTTTGTATTTACATTTAATCTTATGCCGGGTTAGAGTGAAGAATCTTATCTTGTTATTGTTGTGAACATTTTTATCTATTTGCGTGCGGTGAATCAATTTGTGTATCCGTGGCTAGTATTATTGTTTTTAAATATGATTCAATTTTAGTTTTTGGTGAATAATTTTATTATATTTTGTAGTATTATTGGGATTAAATGTGATTTAATTTTAGCATTTTACCTACAAAGCTTCTCGCTTGCAATAGGCGTTTGTGACAATACCTATTGTATTTCTTTTGTTTTGTATTATAATAAGTTTGCATAGATTTAGTACTGTCGCAAGTGTCCATATAGTTTCAATAAGCGTATGTGACAATACTTTTGGTATTTCTTTGATTTTGTATTATAATACATCTGCATATATTTAGTACTGTCGCAAGTAGCTGTATAGTTTCATTTTATCTATGTGACAATACCTATGGTGTTTTCTTAATTTGGACTAACTTAAAACATGTGGGTAGCAAGGCGAGATAGATAGATTGTAGTTTTCATTGAGCTAGAGTAGGAGAGAGCATCATGTTCACTATCAATGTTTTGTATATGATCCTGGTGATTTTTTCCGATTGTTTTGAAACTTTTTACTGCGATTTCGTACGCGAAATTCCACTATCGATTCAGTAATTGTGTATAAACAAGTTTTCTAGTTACATTCTACGAGTTAGCCATCCAGTGCGACCTTGTTTATTGCAAAATAGTGCGCGTTGTATTGCGGCGTGCGCGCAGAATTATCGCGTGTTGTCGCGTGCCGCCGCTGATTGCGCCGCGCGGTGTGCTCAGCGCAGTTTTGTGCCGGTCGTTGGTTGTGTCGGGCGTGTTTCTCGCGGCTGTTATCATTAAATTTTGTGTTTTAATTCGGTAAATCGTGTTCATTTCGTTTGTCCATCGACTGCATTTAGTTGTTACTTACGCGTTTAGTATTTTATTAGTAGGTAATCGAGCGCCGAATATACAAAATCGTCATTTTTCTTTGCGTTCCTTGTGCGTATTGCAAGATGGCCGCGTGCTATCAACCTGTTTTTCATTGTTCGCCCGCGAGTTCGCTTTGTCGTTGTGTTTGGTATTTTGCCCCGGGAACATGGACAATGTTCTGCGTGGAAGCCGAGAATGAACGGTAAAGTGCAGGCTTTCTTTATTTTCTTATTCTGAAATTGTTGCCCCTGTTTAATTCCTTTATTCGTGCATGAATTGTTCTAGAAGTTTTATTCATACGCGTGCAGTTAAAAGTCTTTGCTTACGTCTGGTTAGAACGATATCTTATCTTGTTATTGCTGTGAACATGTTTATCTAACCGTATCTAGTATTATTGTATAATATTTAAATGTGATTTAATTTTAGTTCTTGGTGAATTCTGTGCCAAATCTTTACTCGAGGATCATCTTGTGGCTACCAACAGCGGCGTCCGTTTTGTCCATGTCCTACCGACCGCAGTGCTTGCGGGAAAGAAAGGTAATTTGCACATTTTCATTAGTTTTGTTTACTGCAATTCAATTCAATTTATACGCGGCAGTTAACTTAGCATCACATGCCTTTTTACTACAATGTCAAATTTAATTTTAGGATTTGGAGTATAAGACACCCACTGCGGTGGAAACACACGCGAGAATCGCCCGCCACGGCATCAACCAAGGGACATCTTCCAACCTGGTGGAGAGCAGCTGCGTTTCGACGGGATACGACACCTTTATAATTTGTCACATATCTTGAAATCACTTCTTGCGCCCACACTTTATTTTTCAAACCAGTTCGAATAATGCGCACAGGGAAAAACACACAAAAAACTTCCCGAATTTTACACCACAAACGCATTCTTTTAATTCACTTATAATTAGAATTGTATATATTTAGAGACCTTTGAAATTTAATTTGATGAATGCTAGTGGAATAACATGCAGTGTAAACTCTTTATAACGATGCTTTCTAAGATTTGTTGATTCAAGGACGGATCATACTCGTCCTGTTTATTTGCCATAAAACAAACCTTGTACAGATTTCTACGTCATTATAAAAAAGGTTATCAAGAGTTTACATTGTATTGCACATTTAAGCGCCTCACGACTTACTGTATCGTCTTATTGCTTGTTGTTGCACTAGCGGGAGGAGTTTGCGATTTATTTGTTGGTAGTAATGCGGATAAGGGTACTTGGTAGTTGCTGCACTGTTGTCTAGCTTTAACTCGCGAAGGAGGCGCGTATAATGTTTGTATTTTTTCGGGTTTGTGCGCGATCTAGGCGGCTCACTAACTTCAGCGCGGCGTCTAGAGATGCGGAATTAAATTCTCCATCGGGCTGTATTTGTTTGCTGCAGGAATTCGATCTGCAACCCGCGAAAATATGCACAAAAGCATGACTTTTGTCATTCTTTCTCGTGAAATGTTAGTATTTTTTCGTGTTTGCACGCGATCTTAGCGACTCCGTAATTTCAGCGTGACGTCTAGAGATGCGGAATTAAATTCTCCGTCGGGTGGTATTTGTTTGTTGCAGGAATTCGACCTGCAACCCGCGAAAATTTGCAAAAAAAGGGTGATTTTCTCACCCTTTATCGTGAAATGTTTGTTTTTTCGTGTTTGCGCGCGATCTTAGCGACTCCGTAATTTCAGCGTGACGTCTAGAGATGCGGAATTAAATTCTCCGTCGGGTGGTATTTGTTTGTTGCAGGAATTCGACCTGCAACCCGCGAAAATTTGCATAAAAAGGGTGATTTTCTCACCCTTTATCGTGAAATGTTTTGTATTTTTCGTGTTTGCACGCGATCATAGCGACACCGTAATTTCAGCGTGACGTCTAGAGATGCGGAATTAAATTCTCCGTCGGGTGGTATTTGTTTGTTGCAGGAATTCGACCTGCAACCCGCGAAAATTTGCATAAAAAGGGTGATTTTATCACCCTTTATCGTGAAATGTTTGTATTTTTTCGTGTTTGCGCGCGATCTGAGGGGCTCACTAACCTCAGCGCGGCGTCTAGAGATGCGGAATTAAATTCTCCGTCGGGTGGTATTTGTTTGTTGCAGGAATTCGACCTGCAACCCGCGAAAATTTGCATAAAAAGGGTGATTTTCTCACCCTTTATCGTGAAATGTTTTGTATTTTTTCGTGTTTGCACGCGATCTTAGCGACTCCGTAATTTCAGCGTGACGTATAGAGATGCGGAATTAAATTCTCCGTCGGGTGGTATTTGTTTGTTGCAGGAATTCTACCTGCAACTCGCGAAAATTTGCATAAAAAGGGTGATTTTCTCACCCTTTATCGTGAAATGTTTGTATTTTTTCGTGTTTGCGCGCGATCTAGGCGGCTCACTAACCTCAGCGCGGTGTCTAGAGATGCGGAATTAAATTCTCCGTCGGGTGGTATTTGTTTGTTGCAGGAATTCGACCTGCAACCCGCGAAAATTTGCATGAAAAGGGTGATTTTCTCACCCTTTATCGTGAAATGTTTGTATTTTTTCGTGTTTGCGCGCGATCTAGGCGTTTTTTCGGTATAGGTCGGTATTACCGACTCGGTAAGGGGACAGCTTAGAATCTTCAGCGCGATTTATTGAGGAGTCGAATTAATTCTCGTCACGTTTGTTATTTTTTTAACTAAAGCTTCAGCTGCAGTGCACGCAATGGTAGATTGTGTATGTACGTGTCATCCTGTCTCCCACATTTCCTTTCTTTTGTGTCCTTTGTGTTATCCATGTAGAATTTGAGATCTAGTTTAAATGTGTATATGACTTCTGTTGTTTTTCCTATGTACTAATCTGTAAGCTACTTGTGTTGTCTATGTAAAATTTGTTTTGTATTATTTTGTTCTTGTAAGTTTGTGGGGCAGATCCATGGTGCTGTAGTTGTTTGTGTTTTAATGTTTGCTTGTACCTTGTGTGTGTGTTGTACGTAAATTAATAAATGTCTGTGGTGTAGTATCTAGAAATAGTAGTTTGTGTTTAAATATTGTTGTCCGCGTCTTGTAAATGTAAACATGTTATTTGTTACCTGTGTGTAGTAGATGTATTGTCTTGCAGTTGCCTTGTGTTTGGGTGTGCGACATGTGCTTGTGATGTCAGTGTAGCACTAGTTGTAACTTGTTGGTATATCTATTGTGTTATCCTTGCAGGTATAGGAACCAGTATTGCAACGGCAATACTTGTAACATGTATTGCTATAGCAATACTAGTAACACTGTGTTGCCTATGCAACACAGGTAGTATGGTATTGCTATGGCAGTACAAGTAACATGTCTTGCTGCTGCAATACAGTATGTATAGGTATCAATAAAGAAGTCTTTTAATATATTGTTTAAATTATTTATTTATTATCCTTATTTCCCTCACCACAAGGACTGTCCCCACTAAGAAAATTGTTGATGTGCCTAAGAAACTCGGGGATGAAGCGTAGAGACATCGCAGCTGTAGGTTGGGGCCGGCAATTATTCTTTCTTCAGTTAACGCACTCGAAGTAGTTAACTGTCTTATTGAACGCGTTCTCGAAGTGGTCCGTCGATAAGTTCGGAGCGCCGCACGTCAAGACCGACACGCCAAAACTCAAATGGAAAATTTCCCCGGAAATTTTGCAAGTTTCGACTTTAAAATTGAAATCTGTAACAAAAAAAATTATTTCAGGCGTTGCAACATTCAAAAGTGAGTTGAGATGAAATGTGCGAAATAAATTAGATTGTTAAGGTGAAGTGACTCGCCCATCGGTACTCGAAGGCGATATATCACACTTTTAATGCAAATTTTCGCGGGTTGCAGGTCGAATTTCTGCAACAAACGAATACCACACGACGCAGAATTTAATTCCGCATCTCTAGTCACCGCGCTGAGGTTAGTGAGCCGCCTAGATCGCGTGCAAACACGAAAAAATACAAACATTTCACGATAAAGGGTGAGAAAATCACCCTTTTTATGCAACTTTGCGCGGGTTGCAGATCGAATTGCTGCAACAAACAAATGCCACCCGACGGAGAATTTAATTCCGCATCTTTAGACACCGCGCTGAGGTTAGTGAGCCGCCTAGATCGCGTGCAAACACGAAAAAATACAAACATTTCACGATAAAGGGTGAGAAAATCACCCTTTTTATGCAACTTTTCGCGGGTTGCGGATCGAATTGTTGCAACAAACACATACCACCCGACGGAGAATTTAATTCCGCATCTTTAGACACCGCGCTGAGGTTAGTGAGCCGCCTAGATCGCGCGCAAACACGAAAAAATACAAACATTTCACGATAAAGGGTGAGAAAATCACCCTTTTTATGCAACTTTTCGCGGGTTGCAGATCGAATTGCTGCAACAAACAAACACCACCCGACGGAGAATTTAATTCCGCATCTCTAGACACCGCGCTGAGGTTAGTGAGCCGCCTAGATCGCGCGCAAACACAAAAAAATACGAACATTTCACGATAAAGGGTGAGAAAATCACCCTTTTTATGCAACTTTTCGCGGGTTGCAGATCGAATTGTTGCAACAAACACATACCACACGACGGAGAATTTAATTCCGCATCTTTAGACACCGCGCTGAGGTTCGTGAGCCGCCTAGATCGCGTGCAAACACGAAAAAATACAAACATTTCACGATAACGGGTGAGAAAATCACCCTTTTTATGCAACTTTTCGCGGGTTGCAGATCGAATTGCTGCAACAAACAAATACCACCCGACGGAGAATTTAATTCCGCATCTTTAGACACCGCGCTGAGGTTAGTGAGCCGCCTAGATCACGCGCAAACACGAAAAAATACAAACATTTCACAATAAAGGGTGAGAAAATCACCCTTTTTATGCAACTTTTCGCGGGTTGCAGATCGAATTGCTGCAACAAACAAATACCACCCGACGGAGAATTTAATTCCGCATCTTTAGACACCGCGCTGAGGTTAGTGAGCCGCCTAGATCACGCGCAAACACGAAAAATACAAACATTTCACGATAAAGGGTGAGAAAATCACCCTTTTATGCAACTTTTCGCGGGTTGCAGATCGAATTGCTGCAACAAACAAATACCACCCGACGGAGAATTTAATTCCGCATCTTTAGACACCGCGCTGAGGTTAGTGAGCCGCCTAGATCGCGCGCAAACACGAAAAATACAAACATTTCACGATAAAGGGTGAGAAAATCACCCTTTTTATGCAACTTTTCGCGGGTTGCAGATCGAATTGCTGCAACAAACAAATACCACCCGACGGAGAATTTAATTCCGCATCTTTAGACACCGCGCTGAGGTTAGTGAGCCGCCTAGATCACGCGCAAACACGAAAAAATACAAACATTTCACGATAAAGGGTGAGAAAATCACCCTTTTTATGCAACTTTTCGCGGGTTGCAGATCGAATTGCTGCAACAAACAAATACCACCCGACGGAGAATTTAATTCCGCATCTTTAGACACCGCGCTGAGGTTAGTGAGCCGCCTAGATCACGCGCAAACACGAAAAAATACAAACATTTCACGATAAAGGGTGAGAAAATCACCCTTTTTATGCAACTTTTCGCGGGTTGCAGATCGAATTGCTGCAACAAACAAATACCACCCGACGGAGAATTTAATTCCGCATCTTTAGACACCGCGCTGAGGTTAGTGAGCCGCCTAGATCACGCGCAAACACGAAAAATACAAACATTTCACGATAAAGGGTGAGAAAATCACCCTTTTATGCAACTTTTCGCGGGTTGCAGATCGAATTGCTGCAACAAACAAATACCACCCGACGGAGAATTTAATTCCGCATCTTTAGACACCGCGCTGAGGTTAGTGAGCCGCCTAGATCACGCGCAAACACGAAAAATACAAACATTTCACGATAAAGGGTGAGAAAATCACCCTTTTATGCAACTTTTCGCGGGTTGCAGATCGAATTGCTGCAACAAACAAATACCACCCGACGGAGAATTTAATTCCGCATCTTTAGACACCGCGCTGAGGTTAGTGAGCCGCCTAGATCGCGCGCAAACACGAAAAAATACAAACATTTCACGATAAAGTGTGAGAAAATCACCCTTTTTATGCAACTTTTCGCGGGTTAAAGGTCGAATTCCTGCAACAAACAAATACCACACGACGGACAATTTAATTCCGCATCTAAAGAACTACTTCGCGGGCTATTGCAACACGGAGGTGAAAGGTCATAAAACATTTAACTCAATAATATAACTTAATTATAACCTTACCAATGCTGCACTTATCGGATTGCAAGGGTACGGCAAGTACTGCAATTAAAAGAAAACATATGTTACAACAAAAACATTTCATACAATATAATACTAATATATATATACAATATAATAAATTTACAATGCCAATATAAACTGCAACGATGTGATTTTATTTCAAGAAATAAAGATGGGATATCTGCAGGTAAACAAACTTATCTCTGGTGCAATATCGCGTCATCGCACACGGTGTGCACTCACTACCACCGACAAGCAATATTTAACGCGAAAACGTGCATCGTAGTGCCATCTAACCGACTATTAAGCCCGAAGGGACCTCCTCAGAACGGGAACAATGGCAGCAATATGTATCTGATTGACCCAGCGATCGACAACGTCACACCATAACCGACAATAAAACCGCGGCATTCTTGTAATTTGAAATATAAAATCAAAAATGAGCAAAAAAATAACATGTAGTTGAATTGGAAATCTACGAAATTAAACTTTAATTCTTAAGAAAAATAGGGAAATAATTTATTATTTATAATCTATCTATCTATATATATATATAAAATTTGCGTGTCACAGTGTTTGTTTCCATACTCCTCCGAAACGGCTTTACCGATTTTTACCAAATTTTAAATGCGTATTCAGTAGGTCTGAGAATCGGCTAACATCTATTTTTCATACCCCCAAGTGATAAGGGTTGTTCACCCTTAACTTTTTTTTAAATTTTTGGACAAATTCTTTTGTTTTTATTTTTTTATAATTTGCAATAAAAAAATACATTCAACCCTAAATTTTTAGTTTTTTATCACCTACCCCTATTTTCTTTATAGCCATTTTAGTAATTTAATCATTTTTCATCCCGCTCAAAGAAAATTTTTATATGCGTATTCAGTAGGTCTGAGAATCGGTAACTTCAAATCTCTAAGTGATAAGGGTTGTTCACCCTTAATTTTTTTTAAATTTTGGTCGAAATTTTTTGTTTTTAATTTTTTAATGTGGCATTAAAATATACATACAACCCTAAATTTTTGGTTTCTTATCACCAACCCCTATTTTTTATAATAAGTAAGTTACTTTTTGTCTACACTAAAATTTATCTAGAAACTTGAAATAATTTATATGGCAAAACAACGTTTGCCCGGTTAACTAGTATAATATAATATTAATTATTTATCATAATAAGATTGGAAAATTCTCTATCAAATGGAAATAAATTAAATTAAATAAATTAATTTAATGGGGTAAAAGGTCGAAAAAGTGACTGAAAGTGCTAAAAGTTGCAATTTTTCAATTTTCGACAATTTATGAATATCTCTTAAACTAAAAGAGATAGCTACCAACGAATTGTTGATTATGAAAGATTGGAACATTCTCTATCAGATAAAAATATAAAATAATTATATTTCCTACAGTAAAAGGTCGAAAGACGCGACTAAAAGTGCTAAAACGTGACATTTTGCAATATTTGCCCATTTTATTCAATCGCGAATATCTCGTAAACTAAAAGAGATAATTAAGATCTGATCGCAGCGTCTTAATCTACAGACCAATCTCTATAAGATAGGCTAGTTAAAGTGGAAATCTGAGAGATGAAATTTTCTTTCTTAAGAAAAAATTGTCAAGGGGGGGGTGCTTGATACTTTTTTTCGACGATTTTCAAAAATTCATATCTCTTAAACTAAAAGAGATAGCTACCAACGAATTGTTGATTATGAAAGATTGGAACATTCTCTATCAGATAAAAATATAAAATAATTATATTTCCTACAGTAAAAGGTCGAAAGACGCGACTAAAAGTGCTAAAACGTGACATTTTGCAATATTTGCCCATTTTATTCAATCGCGAATATCTCGTAAACTAAAAGAGATAATTAAGATCTGATCGCAGCGTCTTAATCTACAGACCAATCTCTATAAGATAGGCTAGTTAAAGTGGAAATCTGAGAGATGAAATTTTCTTTCTTAAGAAAAAATTGTCAAGGGGGGGGTGCTTGATACTTTTTTTCGACGATTTTCAAAAATTCATATCTCTTAAACTAAAAGAGATAGCTACCAACGAATTGTTGATTATGAAAGATTGGAACATTCTCTATCAGATAAAAATATAAAATAATTATATTTCCT